TCTCGAGCCGATTTGGTCGGCCGCGGGCGGACGGGTTGGAGAGGCCAATGCTGACCAAATCGTCCCGAGATCGCGGTCTCGAGCCGATTTGGTCGGCCGCGGGCGGACGGGTTGGAGAGGCCAATGCTGACCAAATCGTCCCGAGATCGCGGTCTCGAGCCGATTTGGTCGGCCGCGGGCGGACGGGTTGGAGAGGCCAATGCTGACCAAATCGTCCCGAGATCGCGGTCTCGAGCCGATTTGGTCGGCCGCAGTCGGTGTGCTCGTTCACATTTTCAAACCAATCGCGCTCTTCGGTCATTTTCAAACCAACTCCCCCTCCCCCACATTTGTCATGCAAAATACCCACTCCACGCTTTCGCTTTGCCTCGTGGCCCTGTTTGCATGACAAGTTCTGGTAGTCCAAATACCACTATATTCCAGTGCCAATTTGTCATGCAAAACCGGCATTCTTTCTGATGCTTGTGTTGCCGTTGGTTCATGCTATACAGATGATGGGGAGGGGGAGTTGTGCACTGTTATAGGCTATGCGAAGCGGGCCGGCAAGCGCAAGCAGGTGGTGATGCAGCGCTACCAAAAACTGGGTCGGGACTACGGTTCTTGTCACGTGCGGAACAAGAAAGCCACGGCCGCCGGCGCCGCGGCCTCCGCCGCTGGCTTCGGGTCCATGATGTTGAACGCGACTGGAGTGGTGCAGGCGGTCCGCCGCACGACGCCGAAAGCCTCCACGACCTCTGTCGACGCCGGCGCTGACCAGGCGAAGAAGCCCTTCCTGGCTCGCCGCCCTCGCAACACGGGCGAGGAACTAGAGGACGAAGCCGAGAAGAGCTCGACCTCCACCACTTCCACTCATTCCGACCACAGGAAGAGGCCCTTCCTTGCTCGGCGCGGGCAGACGGCTCCCTCCGACAGCACCTCTGCAGCACCGGCGGAAGTGGATGTGGACGGCAATGTAGAAGTTCTTGCTCCCAGCAATCGGCGAGAAGGGGAAAGCGCCAATTTTCTGCAGAAGACGCTGCACAGGTCGACCGCGTCTTCGAGCGAGGCGGACGAAGACCAGAAGCTGCGGAAGTGGGTTTCTGATCTCGCACGTGACAAGGAATATGTGCGGAAAATTCATGTTGCCACCGAGAAATTGCTTGACGCAGTTTATTTTTTTGAAGCTGCCAGCTCCGCCATCATCCGGGAGATCCCGGCCGTCGAGGAGAAAGCCGGACCTCACGAGGCCGTGCCAAGCCTGAACGATCTCGAGACGTGGCTTGACAAAGCAAGGCAAGAGCTTAAAAGCGAAATTAGCAAAGTCAGCGAACCGCTCGCCGCCCTCGAAACCTTGTTAGGCCAATTGAGCCTGGACGTATTTGGTGCGCAGCAAGATGAGCAGAGCGGCGAACGCTCCGTGTGGGGCACCGGGTTCCCGACACTTGCATTCACTCGGAGCACTCTTTGGGGCCCGCTCCGAGTGCAGGGTGAAACGACCGCTGCAGATTTCAGGAAATGGCTGGGAGATGTGCATCAAATGCTAAATGAGTTTTGGTCAGACCACCCGGTGGGCAGTCAACATGAATCCGCGCGAGATAACTTCATCTCCTCGCTCGCTCATGTTGCCGACGCCGCGGACCCTGTCGCGGGGCGTGCGCCGGGAGTAGTGCTCGTTCACATTTTCAAACCAATCGCGCACAGTAACTGTGAATCGCACGACACGACATTCCCAAACGACCAATTTCGTTGCTATTCGGTTCTTATCATGAGAAGTGTGCTACGCGGTGAGGTTCACTTTAATCGGTTTCATCTTCCTCGTTCTTGCAGTGGCCGCGGCAAAATTGGCGCAGCTCCTCGGTATTAAAGCGCAAAGAAAACTCGGGAGGCTCGTACTACTGCTCTTCGCCTTTTTTGTTTACTGACGTGCTTCGTCATCGTCGGCACGAAAGAATAATCTGCGACGGCCTCCTCGGTTAAAGCAATTTGTTTGGTTTCGTCAGTAAGGACACTAAAGAGGTAGCAAGAAAGGCATAGGTCATTCGCGACAAAACTACTTAAGTACGCACATGGACCAGCAACAGCCCCAAAGAAATGAAAAATAAACCCCCGCCCAAAGAACAAGCGGTCCTCCGCTAGAGTACCTCCAATCATGCCCACCCCCATTGTTCGCAGCGCTACCATAAAGCCGCGACGCGGCCCCTTCTGTTCCTTTTTTGGCGGTTCTGTCGCGGCATTTTTGCTGACTACGACTTTTCGGAATGTACTTTTATTTGACCACAAGCTCGTCCTCTTCGGAATGGGCAGGAAAACGGAAACTGGGAAGACGACGAGAACCGAATTCCGGCAACAGAAGCTGGAGATCGACATGAATTACCACAACATGCAGAGAAACAAGATTGGCCGACGTACCGGCACCCCAACGCCACAGAACGACGACCGACATCAGTGCTACCAGGGCGAAAACCCCCCTATCCAGGAAAAAACACCCATCCCCATCCAATTTGTCATGCAGAACATGCATGAAATCCACTATCTGTCATGCAAAAAATGGAAGGGGATGGATGTTTTTTCCTGGATACCCCCGACACCGATCGCACAAGGATTCGACGGGTGCCCGGGTGGACCAGAGTGCAAGTTTCTGTGCAAGGATTTGGTGAGGGGCTTCAACGAGAAAAATCCAGACAATAAGATCAAATGCTTACCGCACGACGAGGAAAAATACCCGGATGACCCGTCCTCGGCCGACATGAAAAGAGGGTGTACGCCGACCGTGGATTGTGATTTGGATCAAAACAAATGCACCTGGTTATCAAAAGGAAAAATCCCCCCTCCCCATATCGAAACGAAACTTCTGATGCTGGATTTGCGTACACAAATCAGCTTTGTATTGCAGGAAAGCATTGCAGTCAGGTCCCCAGGCTAGGTAGGGGCGTATGCGTCTAGTTGTTCAGCATGGCAAGCGGCTCCCCTTTAGGTTCAACAGCGTGACAAATCGCCTCCATAATGGGGCGGAAGCTTCTGCCCTTGCCTTCTTGCAAAACAAATGCTATCTGCGACCTCAAATCAGCAACACAAATTTTCGGCAACATGCCTTTTCAATATGGGGAGGGGGGATCTTTCCTCTCGATACTGGTGGATCGCCGTCGTGGTCGCCATCGTCATTGTCGTCCTAGCCATCATCGGGATTTTTGTTTTTTTTTGGCTTTGGCAAGCGTAAGGCTAAGGGGGGCTGCTCAACAACCAACATCGCTGTGATAGTATAGACAAGGTGGAGGAGGTTCTACAACTAAATCTGTTTCCACCGTGATCTAGTCGTGCCCTTTTTAAGTACTAGTTCGATTCCTGAAGAATTTTTTCTCGTCTTGAACCCGATTTTGTTCTTAATAACAAGCTTTCGCTTTGTGATAACTACATTCAACCTGACAGCACCGATTTCTATTTGCATCAAGGACGTCGAGCATTGACTTTCTTTTTTCGCTCAACAATTTTATTTCCTTTTGCTTTCCACCAACAAAAAGAAAATGTTTATGTCATGACTAGTAGATGAGCAGTGGCCCCCCCGCATGATGTTTCGACACTATCTTTGACGAGCTATTGACTCTTTTTTGTGATACAGGATGATTAGAATTGTGGATGTCCCCTAACTGGGGTCGCGGTCGGTCCTGTTCTTCTTTTGAAAATACACAAGCACACTCTTCATACGTTGTCGGTCGTCTTTGTACTTACTAACCCGCTTTTCCTACCTCGCCACGATGTCGTCCGTGTAATGGTAATCTTTCTCGGTCCGCACAAACTGGCCCTTTGGTCTGCTCGGTGGTGTTGGAGCCGTTTCATTAAGTTGAAGAGAAGTGGTCTGTGTGAAAAAATAAAAAATCACCTTCGGTCGAAATGTGTAAGTACACACCATTCGCCTCCTTTGATGTCAACAGCAACACGTATTGCAGCAATCGCGGTTCTTCGGTTCCACTTTTCGCATGTACGGCTTCGGTTTCGTTGATGTGGATTTTTCTGTGTGTAGTTTCGAAAAAACCAAGCGGTCTGCAGCTATAGTTGCATTTTATCGCTGCAACTCAGTGAAGATGATCGTCTGGCTTCATCTCTTTGTATTTGGATGCTCATGAACAGGATGTGATTGATGTGCCACTTAAACTCAATTGCTGACAGAGTAGTTTGAGTTTCTTCTTTTACTGTGCAACTCGTACGAGCACTAGAACCTCCTTTGGATTTGTGCCCGCTCTGAGTACTAGTAACGAGACACTCATTTCTTGCAAGTCTCGTCTCTGCAAACTAGGAAACTGCGCTTTTCCTCGAACACAGTAGAAGTCAAGTTTGTTTTTGATTTTTTACAACTCAATTCTTGATCATAAGCACACTCCGCCGGAGCCAAAGAGGAGCGACCTCCTCCACCGTCCAGCAAGTAGAAGAGCAGCTGCCTGGAGCGACGACCACGACTAGCAACGCGAAGAACCTGAAACATTACGGGAAATATTAAGTCAAAGTAAAACAAGAAAAACTGCAGGGGCGGCAAATAAAGTCGACTCTTGTCAACAAAAATGGTGCCGTCTTTCTCCTTCTCGACATCTTCCGCCTTCCGGAAGATCATGCTCAGTGCGATCGTATCAAATGTAAAAGTGTCTGGGTCTGGAAGAATGCATATTTGTCATGCTTGTCTGGCATGACTCTTAGACCTGTCATGCACGTTACCCAAGAGCTCCATCTTTCTGTGATGCTGGAACGCAGTTTGTCATGCAGAATAGGCAACACCTAGAAGCTCAGAAACTTGCCATGCTGAGCCAGCATTTGTGGCCTCATCATGAGACGCCGCCCAGCATCACAAGTTTCCAGACCCAGACACTTTTGCATTTGATAGGTCGTGGCGGGAATGGGCATGAATTGCGCTGTATCCCAGGTGAAAAAATCTTCTTGCTCGCGATCGTCACTTTTCATCTTTCGACCAGCTGCTTTTGCAGTAGAGAAAGAAATCATCTCCAATTCCATGAAGGCTGCGCTGCGTGGGGTTTGATGTATAGCGCATTATGCATGGAATGGCTGGAAGTGGAAACAAGGGGATTTCAGTTTTGAGGTCGTGGGAAGGACAAGATTTTTTTCATTCGGATAGACTTTGTTTGCTCATGCCGTGAGGGTGAGCATGGATCTCGTCACTCAGGTAAGTAAAAGAACATACTCTGCGAAATAACCTGCATAAACTGCTTATTCCTTATGATTGAAAATGGCTAGGGACGTCGAGGTCGACATCATCATCCAGCATGAGTTTTTCATTTCTGTTCGGTTGTTTTGTACCTACTTATTTCAAAAAATGGAATTAGCTTGCAACGGCAAAATAAACTCTATCAGGAACATCAAACCAAAGTCCTGAAGAAGACTTCCACCGCGACGAACACGGGCACGATGGTACATCACCGCACCCGTCTCACCTTGGGGGAGCGGATCCAACTTGCGGTGGGTACCTTCCAGGCGACTGGTGGGAACGACGACGAGGAGGAGCGATATGCATTGCAAAAGCAAGTATCGTACTAGTATAAATTGCATTACAAAAATGGACTCAGCATTTTTACAAATTCAATTTGTAATGCGGATTTGCCTTAAAAAACAGATTTGTAATGCGTAAACGCAATTTAGTACGAGTGCGATACTTTTGCAGTTCATAAGCGTCGACGACCCGGTGTAACTTTCACGGTGAATAGTGAAGACTTGCGCAATATCCTGAGGAAAAGCTGCGTCCCCACCCCAGACGAGTCAAGATGGGGATTTTGCAACAGAAACCTAGAAGCTTTGTTAGTCACGCATGACCCGTAATGTAGTGCAGGTTAGCAAGGACAGCCGCATCACGACAAACCCAGCTGATTACTCTGTTCGCAGCATTAGAAATTCCAAAACACGATAGGAAATGCCTGTCAACAACATGGGGCTGCGCATCACAAATGTTCTTGTCATTGCAAATCTGCATGACAGCTCTCAGGTGGGAACGTTTTTACACGGGATACGCAAAAACCTCCACCTGCAGGAGCCGGATCCTTCTGATTATCCGAAGGGCGAGGATGATATGACAGTGCACAACTCCCCGTTCTCCTTCCCTTCATTTGTCACGCAAGAACACCAATCCAGTTGCTGCTTTGTGGCGCAGTGTGCATGACAAATTCCGGAAGTCCAAAGCCAAACAGTACTACACACCCGCCACATGAACTTGTCATGCACAGGGTCCACCTGTTCTGGTGTTTGTAATGCTGTTGATGCCAACATGCAAAAGCAAATGAGGGGGAGGGGGAGTTGTGCACTCTGATAGATGATCCGGATTACATCGAGGCGAAGGAAAAATTCGACGAAAAAGTCAAGGCAGCCGCTTGCTGCTGCTACGCCATCATCATTACCGTTGTTGCGGTCTATGGACTACAAATAAAAATTTGCCGCACACGTACACATTAGTAAAAATGCCTCACAAATTTGAATTTCTCATTTTCCCAGCAGCAGCAACTTGAACTTGACCCCGCATGCCATTTGTCATACTGAATAGGTTTGCAGGAAACCCGTTATTGTCATGCAGATACTTACGGAATATTTTGTACGTGTGCGGGAAATAATATTTCCGATGGATACGATCCCCCTCCTGATTATTATCGGGATCGTCTTGTGCTGTTGTTTATCCTGTGCAAAGGTAATGTCGCGCTCGTAGTAATCGCAATCCCAATCGCCTTTCCATCAAGGTGAATAAGCATGACAGATTTCGTTTGTCGAGCTTGTTGTGTTGTAAATGCGATTACTACATCGCAGCGCGATCATGCTTTTGCAATGCATACCTTTGCACTCTTGCCTCGTGTTGTCCGCGGGGGTGAACGTGAAGGCGGTGTCTGAATAAGAGCTGTAGTTTCTTCTAATATCCGCAGCCACTTATTCCTAAATTTGTTTCTGTTTCCGCTTTATTTTCATTGGATAAATTTACGAACCTTCAGTATCTTGCAGAACTGAAAGTGAATGACGGTCTTACATCAGATAGTTATTTTCATTATCATCGTAGCAAGTGCATTTGCATTTGCTACACGACATTACAGAGCTTTCTCGACTTTCTTGTCTCTATTCTTCCTTCTGACGAGATTGGTTTCCTTCCGAACATCAAAGTGCTTTTTAATTCCATGAACATATCCGCATGACCGCCGCGGTCAACATGAAGATGAGTTCTTGCTTTCATCAACAGATGAAACATCCGGATTTATTTGTGAGCAAACATCAGTACGATATTTCTAATTCTTTTTCTTTGTGAGGTCAGCTTTGACAACTCGTGCCAGGCAGGCATAATTTGCCTTGACACGCCTCGATAGCGACTCGGAAAGCAGACCTGAACTTCTGTTCACAGGCATCACCGTCTCGTCCAAATAGGAAACTGCATTTTTTTTTGTCAGATGATCGCCAATTTCAAATCCTCGTCAGCGTCAGTATGGTAACTACAGAAAACCAGAAGAAAGCGCATGAATTCGGTTCGTTCTTTTCATTTTCGTACAACTTCGCGTTCTTCGCTTCTAATAGAGTTAGAGCCGTTTGAAGATTCGTTGTATGAAAGGTCGGGCGAAGGTGACCTCCAACATGTTTTCATCCTGCTCTGTAGTCGTGCTACCGAAGGAAATTTTAATTTTGCCCCTCTGCACAGTTGCGTTTTCGTCGGTTCTCGTTTGTTGTCGGCTCGTCCTCGTGTGCCACCACTGCAAAAATGATATGGAGGTGTTGCTAAGTATCAACAGCGTGATGTTTCTCGTCCGCGAAGATGCTTCGTCATGTACCAATATTGACAGGGTCTTGTCTACTTCACCGTTGTAGTCCCTCCTCCCTTTCCCGGAAGTCCAAGCTTTTTTGAAACACTCAGGAAAAATTTCGAAAAAACAAAGCGCACCCCGTCGTCCTTCTCCTGCACAATAGAAAATTAAGAAACCATGGCTTTATTACCCGCGACGTTTTTCTCCGCGGTTGCATCCAGTTGCTCTTCGTCAAGGCGACTGTTCTTGCTCCTCGCGATCGCGGGTGGAACCTCTCAACATTTCCTCGGCACCGCCAATGCGCTGTCTTATCCTGTGCAAAAGTATCGTACTCGTCGTAATTCTTGCAGTCATGATGCATTACAAATCTTTATCTCAAGGTAAATCAGCATGAGAAGTTTCATTTGTAGTGCTGAGCAAATTTGTCATGCAATTTATACGAGTGCGATACTTTTGCACTGCATATGTCTATGGGTACATCCAAACTCGTCTTGGACCACTCCCACGCGACGGCTACGAAGAAAACGGCTGTTGAAGAAGCGATGAACAAAGCTGGTCGGGCTGGGACAAAAAAACTGGGCGCGTCGAACAAGGAAAGTGTGAATGTCGTGAGCTATCCCTGGAAAAACTGTTAATGTTAACGAAATTAATTTGTGATGCAGTAATGCTAAATGCATCAGAAAAGCTGGCCAAATTTCAATTTGTATTGCATAGCACGCATGCTAGGCAAAACTTGTCATGCATAGCTGCAATCTGTGAAAACCGTTTTTAACGTTGACACTTTTTTCTTTGATATGAGCAAGGTTTTGTCCATGAACAAAGCGAAAAAGAACTTGCAGGAGCAGCAGGCGCTGGCGACGATGATTATGGGGCAAAAGCTATCCTGTGTAAAATGTTTAAAAGCGCCGTCCCCACACGATCAGAGTGTTCATAATGGGAACAAATCTGCAGCGCAAAAGATCACCAAGTGCTTGTGAGAGTCGCGCACCACAGTGGTGCTGGTCCTTTTCTTAGCACCGACGGCCGCATGATCAAATGTCCTGTTTACAGCATATAGTACCAACACACAACCAGAAATGCCTCGTCTCATAGGTCGTGGGAGCATGCGCATTTTTACAAGTGTTCCAGTTCCACTAGTTGCAATAAATCGAAATGTGCATGGCCACAGCTCTGCGGAGGTGGGGACGGTTTTTCTTTTTTTCCGCATGATAGAAGCATGAAACCGCCGAAGGTGCGAAGAGTTCGACAGCAGTTGTGCAAAACAAAAAGCATCTTCGTGCTGACTCGGATGTTGATGCGGTTATCGATGGTGACACCTTGCTCGCCAAGACGGAACCCGACCCGAGTGCTTACGCACTTGGCGTGATATGGAAGCGTCAGGTTTGAAATCGACAAAGTTGAAATGATTTGCCATGCATAACATGGCTACCAGTTGGAAGACCAATTTCCAAGCGGCGCATGACAAATTTTCGGCGCACCGAAATCCAATTTGTCATGCTGTTTGGGCACAGAAGACTGCTTTTGTCGTGCTTCTTAAATAGGCTCACAATCTGCCTCACTCGCCATCCCGGCAACACAGGCACTGCATGCCTTGCATTTTATGCATGGCAAATCATTTCAACTTTGTCGATTTCAATCCTGACACATCCATACGTCAATGACCCGGAGTACATCGCGGCGCTCGACGCGTGGAACGCCAGCGTCGAAGCGTTGGCCTACCAGTGCTACTGCATGATCATTTGGCTCACCCTGATCCCTCTTCTCTGTTGCATTGGCGTCATCGTTATGCATTGCAAAAGTATCGTACTAGTTCTAGTAGTCATTGCATGACAAATTTTTCCAAGAACAAAAATGCAACTTGTAATGCTGATTTGGCTAAGGACTAAGATTTGTAATGCATGGTTACAATTCGTACGAGTACGATGCTTTTGCATTGCATAATCGTGTTCTGCTTCTGCATGGGCGGCGCGGCGGTGGTATGAATTGCAAAAGCATCGTATTCGTATAAATGCATTACAAATTCCCCCAGCATTACAAATTTAATTTGTAATGCTGATTTACCTTGAGAAAGAGATTTGTAATGCATAAATGCAATACGATACTTTTGCACAGGATAGGTGGCCGCGGCGGCCCAGGCGTGAACGGGCGGGAGGACAAAGACGTGGATGAATCGCGCCTAGTATTGTAGCTTGTTGGTGGTTTTACTTTACTTGTTTGTGTTTCGAATACATCAAAGAACACGAAGAAGAGCTTCGACACACCAAGTCGGCTCTTATTACAACCTTTTGCCCTCTCTGCTAGAACAAATAGTTGTTGGGCGGTGTTTTGCTTTCTACCATGTTATTTAAGGCTTTTTATTTTTTAGATAGTCGCATCACAATTCCGAGAACAAAGAAAAAGAGGGCAGCAAACAAAGCTAAAGTTTGTTGCTGATGTCATAAAAAGATTGCAATTTTTATCGCAGCTGGTATTGTCGTAAAATGGAGGAAAAGTATCCCTTTTCCGGGCCAGAATTCGTGCGTTGCTTCCTTTACAACAAGATGTCCCGCGTCCGTATTATTTTGTTTGCAAAGTATTATAACCCCCAAAGTCAAACTGTAGTTCTGCCCGAGTAACCCTCACTGAAGTAGAGCGCAGCGCAAAAAGAAAAGAAAGTGAAAGATGAAGGAAAACAAGAGAGGAATCTTCATCCTGTTTGCTTTTCGGACGATTTGCGCTGGACTTACTTGACGGAGCAGTCGCTACGACTTCAAACATGCGAAAAGGAAAAGCAAGCATGCTCCTGGAGGCCGCCCTTAATCGGAGGTAAACGATCAGCCATAGCCAGATGTTCTTTTTGGGCTATAATGTGGTGCTTTTGTTATTGTTGTAGTTGCACGGCCTGCTGCGTCCATTTAGCTCGGTGTTGCATCATTCGTTTTCGGTATGTGGGCAGTCACATCAGCGGACTTTCATCGTGCCTGTACGTCCAGCGTGAGCCCCCAAAGCTTGTTTTTCCCATTCACCACACCTGTTGACTCTTTCGTGGTCGTACGTTCACGTTCATCGTGCATCGTTCATTCTTGTCGTGATTGCGTAGTACTTACAATGTTCGTCCTACTTTCCGTAGTCATTTAAGTATTCTCTAGACTTTGATGCTACTAGTACACGATCTACCAGCTCGTCGTTCTTGTCGTGTAACTCCTGTTTTCGACGTCCGCCCTTAGGATCTTCGTCGCGGATGATCAGCAGACCGTTAGCTTCCGCCTGGCGTGGCGTATGTACTCCTATCCGTTGCTATGCCCACCTACAAACAATCAAATTCAAGTCTCAGTTTTCGAAGAGTAAGGTAGTCGACCATAAGAAGCCCAGCCCTTTAGCGAACAAGCTAGACCCAGACGAGGACACAACCACATTTATTCGTTGTCACAGATTCTCACATTTCCCAAGACCTACTTTGACGTAAAGGCACCTTATCCGGAGGAATTCAAGTCCTTCTTTCGTTTAAGTACTTCTTCCCCCCTCTACTTTGATAATTACACAAAATTCGCACACATTCCTCTAGTAGATCTGCCTTGACGATAAACTTGCAACTAGTACCGCTAGTACTACTACTTCTACTTCTCCAGTGTGAACGATAGAAGCAAAGCCCCCGCGATTGTGAAGCAATTGGAGGCAGTGAAGTATTCTACACCCCCGTTCTCCATCAAGAGAATAAGTAAAAAATCATGCTCCACCGCCAGCAACACCAACTCGCGTCCCCCGCTGCCGGACATAGCCACGCTGTGCGCGCGAAAACAGGTGCCCGGACGATGCGCGCCCAGAACGTGCTTGCCCAAGACCAAGATTTAGACAGTGCTGGCGATATTCAAGACGCCCACCACAACTCCTCCCCCCTCCAAGGTGCTCGTCGCCGTTCCTCCTCCTCCGGATCAAACAAGGAGCAGCAGCAGCAGTCTATTGAGAGGAAAAATCCCCCCTCCCCATATTGAAAAGGTAAGTTTAGAAAAATTTGTGTTGCGGATTTGAGGTCACAAATCACATCTGTCTTGCAAGAAGACAAGGGCAGAAGCTTCCGCCCCATTATGAAAGCAATTTGCCATGCTGCTGGGCCTAAAGGGGAGTCGTTTGCCATGCTGAACAGCTAGACACGTGCGCCTCTACCTAGCCTGGGGTCCTGGCCGCAGTGCCTCTCTGCAATACAAAGCTGATTTGTGGCCCCAAATCAGCATCACAAATTTCCGTTTTGATATGGGGTGGGAGGATTTTTCATTTTGATACAGTCTTTTCTAACACTCCAGCACCAGGTGAAACAAATTCAGCAGGAGATCCATATCCACAGTAAATAATTTCCCGTATACGTACAAATGCTGCTTCTGCATGACAAAACTTGCCTTCAATCTTGGTCAGCATGCCAACTTTGACGCTCCAAGTTTTCAGCGAAGTTTATTGTCATGCATATGGTACATGTACGGGAATAAATTTGTGTTGCATAATCCATCATCTGGAGCAACAGGAACTCCCCGACATGCAAATCGAGTTGGAGCAACTGCTCGAGAAGGAGGAGCAAATCGAGGAAGAAATCGAACTCCTCGCGAAGAAGTATCCTGTGCAAAAGTATCGTACTCGTATTGCAATCATGCATTACAAATCTTCTTTTTAAGGTAAATCCGCATTACAAATTTTATCTCTCATGCTGAAGAAATTTGTCATGCGTTTATACGAGTACGATACTTTTGCAATGCATATGAAGGTGAACGAAACGAAACACACTTTCGGCGAAAAAAACACGAGAAAGGCGAGTGAGCTGAAAATTTTGAAGCACAAATTGGAACGGACCAAAAAAGCGAACGCCATCGTGGATCAAGAACGGCTAGAATTATCTCTCGGCATGCGGGTGGTGAAAGCGAACAGCTTAGAGCCGGAAGTCGATAACTTCTTGTTGATGCGAAAGGCGTTAGTAGCGTCTAGGGGGCTTAGTCCGTCCGCGGAATTGCAGTTTGAGAGAAATGCGGGTGGAAATGCGGGAATAAACAATGCCGGCGGTAATGCCACTTTGTTCGGATCCGCGGCGGTCAACGTGCATCAACACATTGAGAAAGCGGTGCATTTACACAGTAAAAACGTTGGTGGAGCAGGGCTTGAGCACCATGGTCATAGTGCTGGTGCTAACGGTGTCACTAACGTGAATAGTGTGGAATTGTCCACGGCTTATCCTTCTTGGCAGCATCCGCACGCCCATGCCGTGCCAACCACTACCGCCGGAGGGCAGCACCAAGATGCCCCGGGAGCTGCTTCCGCGGGATTTGATGGAATCAACAGGTAAAACGTGTATAAAGTTGACGCCGTGCTGCTCAAACTGCGGTTTTGAAGTAGTCCGCCTCGTGTTCTTCTCAATATCCTCGTGCTTGAATCTGGTGAGGCGCTGTTAGCCTGAAGACGCCAAGCACCTAGCTTGGCGTCAGCTTGTTCTCTCGAAGTGGTAAATAACTTTTATCAATCAGAGAAAACTAAAAATTTTTTACTTCCTCAGGTCTTCTGCCCCCCAGGAGCATGAAGCCAGCGTGGCCTCCCGCACCGGAACGGCAGGGGGCAATATCATGGGCAACAATAGAGCAGGACAAGCACAAGGGCCCTCGTCTACTTCCCGTATTAATAACGGTCTCTCGTCGGCTGCAGCGTCCCCCGCACTATCCAAGGCCTCCGTAGTTCGGCAGCAACAGCAAGCCCGGTCTGCAGGGAGCAAGGTGAAATTCAACTACCTGCCGACCAACCGCACGACTGGCGGCGGGTCAAATGGAGCGGTCAATGGAGCTGCTGCACAAGCTGCAGTCCGAGCAACCCGACCGCAGACGGCGATGCAAAATTTGCCATCGCGAGCAGGAGGTCCTCGTGAAAATAAAGGGAGTAACATGATCCCGCAACAGGGCGCTCCGATCAGCTTCACGGCAAATAACGACGATGAGCAAGAGCGGAGGACGGCGTTTAGCAATACTAATACAGTATCGGTACAGGTTGTCTCTCCGGAAGCGAATAGGGCGAGGAACAAAGGGTTTGACGTCGGGCAAACCAAGATCAGACTGCCCGAGGGATCGGTCGTGTCGACTTCATCGATGAACTTTCGCGACAGCGGGATTTCCGAGGGTGCAGATCCTTTTGATCCGACGAAGCCCATGGCTCCGATGGTACGGAAGGCGCCAAACATCTCGGGACTGCGGGGGCGATGAGAAGCTGATTTTGGTCATTTTGTTGAAGAAGTTGCCAGATTTTGTAATGCTGCAAATTTTGGAATCGGCTGCCTTCGGCATAATGTGTAATAGCCGTAAGAACGAACACTGCATAAACAAATACAGGACTTTAAAAACTGTCTCTTTTATGATTCTTATATCGCATTCTTTACAGGAGGTATCTGTGTTTTTCCATTTCCTCTACGACGATTTCTACTTTCTCTACCCCATCACCTCTAACTAGTTTGTCTTTGTCCCCATGTCTCACAAGATCTGCATAAGAATTGCGCGCCACTCTATGGATTTTCACTTTTCTCAAGCGTTTCAGGAAGTGATTGTGAACCTGAAGAAGTGACATTGATACTTATGTAATTAAGTAACAGTTTCTTGACCGCCCCCCGCCGAAAGAACAAGAAGTGCGAACTTCAACGGAATTGATAATCGGCAATTGAAACACACGACCCGACTTGATGCGGTCAATGTCATCTTTATTGTAAGCACGCCGCTCCTGTTGTGTATTTTGTGTTCACGCAGCAGTGCTGGGCACACGACGAAGACGAAGCGGTAATGCTAACGCGGCACTATACAGGATCAGGAAAGTATTCGGTTACTACAGGAGCTGTAGTGATACATGATCCGTTTTTTTCAGCTCTGAATCTCGTCGGTTTCAGATTTGTAGCAAGAAGACGCCTATAGTAAAGACAACACTTTGATGGTAGCTCCGAGTCTACTGAGATCGCTGCTGCTCGGAGAAAAGTTTCCGATTTTAGCTTGGTTTTGTCATGATTTGCTGATACCGGCAACATAAAAACAGCCTGTTCGCTGTGCCAAGCATGATCAAGCAAGTGCATGGATCACCAGCAATAGTATCCGTATTAATTGCTCCGCTAACTACATCTCCCGAGTGGAATTGGAGGAACTACTAGTAGCTTCCACGTTCTTGTGCGTCAGTTTTCGAAAGGAAAGCTCAGCCTGACCGAAACACGTACCAGCAAGATGATACCCCTTACGCGTTTTTTCTACTCGAATTTATTTCGCTTTGCTACCTGATCCTGAAGTATTGAAGAACGTTTACGGCGGAACTTACCCTCCTAGAGAAAATGTACAGCTCGCTGTAGCGAATTATTTCAAAGAACTTGCTCGACGCACCGGCTTCCCGTTATCGCCTAAACTCGCTGTTTGCGCAAGGCAGATGAAGGAGGCGGCGTCGAGACGAACAATCGGGCAATCATGATAGATCTATCAGCATCAACGCGGTCGAAGAAGACAAGGACCGCTGGCGAGCAGCTCGGTTGAAGACTCTTGTCAAGAACGGAATCTAGTGCCCCAGGCTCCTCGGTGAGAAATAAGTACACGGCGTCTTAGGTGGCAAGATAAAGTTTTTCCCCCAGAGGGCTCACTCTCGGCGGAGGCGGCGAAAGTCGGCATCAAGAAGTTATCAAATCGGCAGCCTAGGAGCATGGTCTTCTTTGGGAGACGAGGAGGTAGCTCAAGCTCTACCTTGATGTTTGGTAGAAGAAGACCAACTCAGGAGCCGCGCAACGCGGAACAAGAAGCACGAAGCAACAACGACGATCGTGAGCGTCGTGAAGAACCCACTGGCAGGCTTGAGGATCTTGCGCAGGAGCAGATACACAACTTCCACGACCACGCACAGGACAACAACTATGATTGGCGCGGCACCTACAGCCTTCAACAGCCTGCTGAGCCTGCAGCTGCGTCGTTTAGTAGGAGAGGGAGTATGAGCAGTGGGGGGGACGACCACAGGTGGAATTACACGACTTACGGAAGAAATTCCCCAAGGCGTAGTCGTCGTGCACCTGATCATCATACGCAAAACACCCCAACCGCCGCGACGTCGAGCTCATCGTCCTACCCACGGGTAGTTGTTCCGCGGGGTCACTACGGTCGGTGGGACGTCGTTTGCCCGCCGGATGCACAACATACTGGAATGTCAACTCCGCCTTCATCCGGAGGACTTGGAATGGGTAGTGGTGGAGCAGCTGCTGGCACGACAGCTGCGCCTCCTCCCCAAGTTCTTTCTTCGTCAAGTGCTGCTGTCGCTGAGCAAGGTTTTTACCACGAGGACGAGTTTGAGCGGTACTATCTCCGAGGTGGAAGTGACGTCGGACGACGTCTTGCAGCTACATCGTCAGAACAGGTAGATGCAAGACCAGCAGCGCCCGCGGGGGCCCCATCGTCTTCCTCTCATCCGAACCGGCCCGCAAACGGCGGCGCCCGTCGAAATAAGGGTGGAGGTCGCGGCGGTGAAAGTGGAAAGCGAGGGGCAGAAGACACCAGTTCAGGCGGGGCTTCTGCACCACGGATGAACAAGGGCAAAGGTGGCAGAACGAACTACAAAGGGAAGGACACGACGAGCAGGACCAGGAGAGGGGAAGGCGAGCAACAAACTACAGCCCGTTATTTTGAAGGCCTCGATGTTTTATCTCGTCCTTCTGGAAGTAACACTTCCCCTGCTCCCGGTCAGGAGCCGTATAACTACTGGTGGCACACAAGCCACGATCAGATGAAAAACGTAAAGGAGTCTGCAGATCATGAGGCGAACATCAAAGGCCTGCGGAGCACTTCATCCACGCGGGGAAACAAGAAAAAGAGCAACGACATCAACTGGTGGACAGGTCGTGGAAGTGACGGCGCCACCAAGTGTGACACTTCTTACAAAGATCGCACAGGCGCCCGAAATCGTCCTGGACGACGAGGAGAAGTAGACTACTCGGGAAATACAAAGCAAGGTCAGAAAAAGCTTCGGAAGGAAAAGCAGCTGCGGGAAGCGGAAGAAGAACGAAAGACGAAGACGCAACCTGCTCCGATAGTGGACCCCTGCTACCTGGATCCACACGTCTTGCCCTACAACGAATTCAGGCAATTTTGTGACGAACAAAAGACACTGAAGGAGCAAAGAAGTAAAAAGAACTTAGATCGCAGCCGCAGTCCGCCGCTTCGTTCAATCAACAAGTCTACTTCATCTTTCCCTCCTCTCATCACTACCGCAGTTGCCGGCATGCGCGAAAAGGCAAAGGCGGAGTTGGAGGCGAAATACAAATACCCCAAAAGTGCAGGAGCTCCACATGGAAAACAGCAGGAGCTCCGGTTGTGGAATAAAGATGAGTGCGAAGTAGAGTTTTACACCGATATCAGGAAGGAGCAAATCAAACCAAGTTTTTGTGGTTTTCAGCAGCTTTTTATGACAGTACACAAATCCCGGGATCCCCCTTATTTGTCATGCAAAATACCCAATCCACCCCTTGCCTCTTGGCGCTGTTTGCATGACAAGTTCTAGTAGCCCAAATAGAACTACAATCCAGTGCAGATTTGTCATGCAAAACCGGCATTCTTGCTGATGCTTGTATTGCCGCTCATGCTATACAAATGAGGAAGAGGGGGAGTTGTGCACTGTCATACTTTTCTGCGACAGAAACGGATCGGCCGTCGATAGTTTCAATTTAGATCCAATTCAAACTTGTTGTTTTGCGAAGGACGATTCGGAAGATGACAATGATTTTGAGGAGAACATTAAGCTAGACGAGAACAACGGCGCCGAGGAGCGTGTAAAAGGTATAATGCGTAATATGAAGCCGCACCAGAACCAGCTCACCCAAGTGGAAAAAGACCACTTACAAGCGCACTACCTGCAAAAGGCGGTTTTTGGAGCGAAAATTTTGAAATTCCGCTTCAACCGACACTCTCCCGAGGCGATCTACATCTTCGAAATGTTTCAGCTTTTGTTTTCCGAGCCAGTGAGCTTACCCCGGGAGAGCGGTCTGAAGAAAAAACTGTACTACCTGTACCTGGAAGATTATTTTTGGGCTTGCGACGAACACGATTGGCGGCTGTTTTTCGACTACGTCATGAAATTTTACGAAAACTGTGGGAACTACGAGGATGTTGTTTTGAGCACGAACAAGAACAACACCTTTCGTTCTACCTCAGCACATGTTGCAGCTTGTCGTCGTTCTTCTAAGGTGAAATTCCTCCCGCAGATTCCGGAGCCGAAATTCAAACACTTCGTCTACGAGACGTTTCTATCGCAGATGCAGAACGAAAGGAACAAGCACCGCGCTCTATCCTGTGTAAAAACGTCCCCGCCCCAGAGTTGTCATGCAGATTAGCAAGCACAGGAGCACTTGTGATGCGCATCCCCAAGAGAGGCAGTTCCAGTCGTGTTTTGGAACTTGTAATGCTGTAAACAGGATGAGGGGATGGAGTTGCTATGCGGATTCCCTTGCTAAACTGCACTACACTACAGCCTGCAACTTGTCATGCGTAACTCGCAAAACTTCTAGGTTTGTGTTGCAAAATCTCCATCTTGATTATGGGGTGGGGACGTTTTTACATAGGATACGCCCAGTACCTCTACGAGAAGCTCTGCCGGTTCGTCATTTACAGCAAGGACGAGAAGCGCGACATGCCGCCTCTTTGTCCATTATGCATTGCAAATATGTCTGGGTCGTCTGGAAGACTGCAACTTGTGAAGCGGATTCATCTGGAACAGGCAAAAATCTGTATTGCGTAGTCAGCAAAAGGTGCCCGATTTTTGTCTCCAGAAGAACGCATTTGTCATGCGGAATAGGCATGGAGAAGGAGAAGCTGCCACAGAGTTTGGCATGCTCTGTGTGCATTCCAGACCTTTTTTGTAGATGTAAAAAATGCATGACAAATGTCGGACTTCTTCCAGACCCTGACCCAGACACTTTTGCATTTGATATCCATCCTTGGTGGCCTATCTCCGTGCCGCGGGATTCGATAATATCGAAGAGGAGCGACGACGTGGACTCCCTTGCTTTTTCCAAGACGCGTTGAGTACGCACCGCTCTTGGGTTTATCCAAATCCGGATTTCGATCGGGAAAAGCACGCAACGATAACGAAGCAAGCGAAGCACGACTCATTTGCGGTCGTGGATGATGAGAGTCCTCCAGGTGGACTACATCAAGCGAGGTGGGCGGGAAAAAACGGCAAAGGGCAGAACAACGCGAATCATGCTTCGGCTTCAGTTTCATTTTCATCTTCGCCACGACCGCAAGGTGATTTATTTGATACGATGAACGAGAACGGCGCGTCGGCAGTCACGGCGGCCACGGTTGAAGATCGTAAGCTGCGCCCGTCGATCCTTTTCGAAGAGGAGAAGTTTCGAGAGATTCTCCATCCCGGTGGAGGGTATTGCCCAGTAGATACAGATTGTCTGGGACTAGATTTTCAGCCGCGAGCCGGAGCCGGCCTCAGCACGACCAGCATTCCGAATCCCGTCGAGCGTTCTGCCTGCAAGTTCTTGATGAGGGAAAGGCCGGTGCTCGTGGGAAGAAGTTCTACAGATTTTTATACAAACGGACGAGGCAAAGATCATATCGGCAACGCAGGCACATCAAGATCAACAGACACGACGACCGATGCAGCTGCAGCTACCCTTCTGGAAGTCTTGCTCAGTCCTTCCGACCGTCTTTTCGCAAAGGAACTGATCACCAACCTTCGCAAAGCGAGAAAGTTTTGCCGGACGGCGACGCGAAGGAAGTTGCTCAACGCTTACGCAGATTTTTTCGAGTTTGGGAACTACGACAAAAATGCAGTCGAACTGGGGATGAAGGACGAAGTTTGTAGTGCAGCTCCAGAAGAACCTTTTATCGATGATGGAGTCCTTTCAAGTGGAGAAAGCGACAAGGAGGTCGTTGCGTTCCATTTACTAGACGATGCGCTTTTTTTAAAATGGAAAAACGTTTTTGACGCCAAATACGCTCCAAAATCCATTCCGACAGGAAAACCGACTTGGCGGATGGGCCACGGGATCTCGGACGACCCCTCAGCAAGAGCTGCCAACCGCAGTAGTCGACAACCGTCGAAATCAAATTCGAGGGATATTAGGGACGTAGCGGCACAAGGCGCACCCGCGACTTTGGCCGCGCCAGCAGATAGCACAGCAGGAGGAAGCCTCGGCGCGATTATACAGGAGGAGCAGAAGATTGATTCTGCTGTTTTGGTCCCAGCACACGACGAGGGTGCCAGCGTGGAGAAGATGAATGACATGCTGCAAGAATTGCTCGAATTCGAAGGTGCGTTTGTCGGGATGTTGGAGCTACGAGATCCAGCCGCGGTGGCGCAAAACCGTGCGGAAGCACCGAAAACGATTGGTGCAGACTGTGCGCTAGGATTAGGCCAAAATATTTCTGCATCGCCACGACAAAATCAAGATGACTACATTGGAGCTTCGGACACGGAGGACCAGGACGACGACCTCCACTATGCCACCCAAGAAGCCGCTTTGACTTTCTCCAACCTCCCAGAAAGGTCACCCGAAGCGGTTCTGTGTGGTCCTCGCGGCTCTACTTCTTTTTACAAGGATTTTTACCTCCAAAGAATTTCCTCGTTTCGCGGACCAGATGATGACGAAAGTTCTTTCATAGGCTTCAGCGAATTTGAGAAATTTGGCGGGGACTCGGTTTCGTGTTTGAAATTGACGGAACAAAGAGCGGAAGATGACGACTCAAAATCGACGATGGCGCTGAATTTCCTTCCGCTGCCTTGGGGCATGGAGTGGAATGTCAAGAACGCGGCTGAAGCTGATCATGGTGCTAGCGCTTCGGAGTGCCACGCGTTGATGATACGTCGGGGGCCCCCGCAGTCTTCACTTCCTAGGGGGCACGCGCCCTTACTGCCCGGACAAAGGAAAGAACCGCCTTCGCTTCACCTGCTCGCCGCGATCGACTGTAAAACCGTTGCCACGACGGAGCAACAGGGCGTCAACGTGCAAAACGGCATCCGAGCAGGCCCTCCATCTCCTCTTGGCGAAAACTACATCGCCAGTAGAACGAGAACATTTCTAAAGCTGAAGCCCACTCCAATATTCGCCCCGCTGCCTACGGACAAAACCGAAGCGGGAAATTACAACGCCGAGCGCAAGCCATTATTTGACACACAGTCGATAATCAATGTCAAAGAAGTAGACTCTTCTAAAACTTCAACGTCCTGCTTTTTCGCCCAAGCCTACCCGTTCGCGCGAGATCCGACGGTTTTGTTGAGCTGCACGGGAAACTACAACTACTACAAGTCGGCCGCCCGATGCAATTTTTTCACCGGAGATGTCGACACGGTGGCGCTGCAGGCGGTTCGGATGAAAAAGTTGGTCCAGGACAAGTTGGACACGGTTTATTTTCGACGAATAGTAGAAAGCTCTACTACTTCGTCTGGGCGGGAGGTTCTTGACTCCTTGTCCTTCACGAGATTGAATGACAAGCTGATGTACTTGGAGAAAGACGTCTTAGACCGGTTTCTCGTCGACCCAAGGACCATCAAAAGCGCGGAAGAACTGCAGCGGGAGAGTTGTAAATCTTCTTCCACATCTCCGGGGAACGCGAATAACAAGAAGACTTCTGTCAAGCACCCCTATGAGTTTCAATTCAAAGGCTATTTGGAACACGAAACCTTCGCCGGAAAATTTGACAAGGTCGGCGGCGGTGGAGGGAAAGGTCAAGATGCACGGCGGGGTGGACGCGGAAAAAAATCTTCTCGAATAGATGGAATAAAGAGGAACAACCGAGACGGCGACTCAGTTGGTTCTTGTCGTTTCTCCCTGCAGTGGGACGCTTTGCTTACGGAAGTTTTTACCTTGTATACCTTCATGTGTGGGAGTTCCGAATTTCTGAAGGGACTAGTGCGAAGCGACGAAGGTGGGAAACAAGGTATGACCGAGAAGAAGAACGAGGGGCACAAGAGCGACAAGATAAACAAGCCGGTAGATTATGAAAACACCAGCGCGGCGGGAAAAGAGCGACCCGGTGCAGCTGGTGAATATGAAAAATCGAGACCTATGCAGGGGAAAACAACAAGCGCCGCGACGGAAACGACGGACGATGAGAGAAGCGTAGGGGCGGATGTTACTGAAGATGTTCTGGAAAGCATCAGCAACAGCGTTTGTTCCAACTTGTTTGAACGTAAGAAGCAAGTTGACCGCGCCAAAAACGAACGGCAGGCGTTGGAGCAGCTGCAGCGGATGGTCCTGCTCCAAACTGCGCACGACGGGCTGACTGCGCTCCACGAGGCGGAGTTTGTTGCAAGTAGACCGTTTTCAGATCATGATGTTAACAACACGAGGAGGGCTTCTGATCGCACTACAATTTCAACTTCTACAGCAGCATCACTTACAGCAGCCTCTAACCAGCAGGAGCAACAAGAACTCCACTCCGCTCTGTATGGAGTTCTCAAACGTTACATTCTCAACTGTTACATGAATTTGTCATGCAAAATTACCATGAGCCACCAGACGATCAAGCCACCTCGCATGACAAATACCCAAAGGGCTAAACAGCACCTGAATCGGTGCCGCATTTGTGATGCGAAAGGTGCAAGCTTGCCCCTTTCACTGTTGCGGTTCTAGCATCACAAATTCATGTAACAGCTGAGAATGTAACATATGAGAGCGCCACACTCTGCGTTGGAAAAATCCGGGCTCCGCGGCTCGCTTTGCCCTCTTCAAGTTTCTGCTGAACACGAAAATGATCCACCTCACATTCGACTTACGCATTACAACAAAACTATCGTACCTGTGGAGATTGCGTTACAAACTGAAAGAAACTTCTTCCGAAAGAGGAACAAATGCAGGTTCAGGCTTTGCATTGAAGTGGAGACCTTCTTTCTTGTGCTTGTCAACATGCGCGCTCACGTACAAAGAGTACGATAGTTTTGGGCAACGCGATACAACTATAACCACGATGATTTTCGGCGATTTTTTGAAACGCCGGCCCTGCAGAAAATTTTCCGCAACGTCCTGCCGATTTCCAAAAATGAAGAACGAGCACTGCTTCGGAGCGATCATTCCGCACAGCCTAAAGCTTTAGAAAGCTGGGTACAAAATGGCAAAGCGTCGAAGAATGTCGGCGGTAGTAGAAATGAAAGCACCAGAGGAAAAATGAGACCTCCATCGGAAATCGCAGATGATGAAGAAGGAGAGCAAACAGCTGCGGCAAGAACCGGGGCTTCGAATGGGAAAGAAGAAAAGGAAGCTGCAGGAAGAGAGCCTTCTACTCCATTCCATTTCCACCCAAGCGTCTTGGTGAATTGCGATAACTTTTTGACGAAGCAAACTATCAAATGTAAAAATGTCTGGGTCTGGAAGAAGAGAAGTTTGTCATGCAGGTTTTCCCTGACGCATCAGGTCTGGAATGCGGGACCTAGCATGACAAAGTCTGTGAGGTGTCTACTATGCCTATCCTGCATGAGAAACTCCCTCCAAACTTGGCCGAATGTGGACAGCTTTTGGCACTCATGCGACACAGATTTCTGCATGATTCGGATTTAGCATGACAAGTTCCAATCTTCTACTAAACTGAAAAATGTCTGCAACTAAACTGAAAAATGGCTCACTTTTGGTTCAAACCTCGCGGCCTCGGAGGAGGTCGACTCGGGGATGAGCTCAAGCTGCAGGCTTCTGCCTGCAAATTGAGCTCGATTCAGCTCGGGGCAATGCGGAAAGGGCGGCCGCAATTTGTCGCCCCGGAGGTCCGCGACTCGGGACGGCTCCGAAGAGGTGTCCGAGGACACCTCATCTGGAGGCCAATTTCGGAGGTGCAGACTTTTTTCGCGGCGCAGACAAACACGACCTATCTGCCCCACTTTCCCCCCCCCGCGCGAAAAACGTCTGCACCTCCACTTGGGGACCTCATTGCCGAGGTGCAGACTTTTTTCGCGGAGCCACGTTTTGCATCAAAAATCTGAACCCTCACAGCACGGCATTCTGCTGATCCAGGGGCTCAGATTTGTGACCTGGCCCGAAGAGCGAGCCCAAGACGGGTCATAAAAGAAGGCCATTTGAAATACGAAACGCGCATTACAAATTGCCACTTTTGGGGGAAGGGGCTCTGCGCCCAAGCACCTCTCGGAGGCTCGCGTCATGTTGTTATCTTAGGTGCGAAACTTACCCGAAAAATGGCAGTCGGAAGCCCCAACCTGTTGCCGCATTTCCGTGTGGAGGTAGCAAATCAAGCTCGTGCGGGACCTTCGAGCAAATGACGCAGGAATGGAGCGCAACACGTCGGCCAAGTTCCCCAGCACAAAGTCCGCAGCGCTCGCAAGCGGGCCGCAGTCCGGGCGAGAAGTGAAGAACACGAACTGCACTACCAAAAATTTTGATTTTTTTAGCTGCAGACAAATTTCAAGTTGGTATCTTCCAGACCCAGACACTTTTACATTTGATACAAACGGCCAAAGAGCAAAACCTTTCTACTCCAACATTCCACCCAAGCGTCTTCGTGAACTGCGATAACTTTTTGACGAAGCAAACGGCGAAAGAGCAAATCGCGAAAGCTGGCATGAGCAAAGCTGAACGGAAAGGAGACGAACTACGTGCCCGCATGAACGCTGGAATGGAGGCCGCTCAGGGGCAGGCGCGTGCGGCGGATCGCATGTTGCAACAACGATTTATCATTACCGGCCTCGGTGGCGCTGATTATGTCAACAGGACTTCTGCAAGTAGCACACCCACAGCCACAGGAGGCTCGGATGCCCCTTTTGCCGCTGATTCGAAGGTGGAGGAGCAAGAGGTTTTCGACCTGAATGGCATCCAGGAGAGGGCTTTCAAGCAGTACGGCTTTTCCATCGGGCTAGGCCAGGTTTTGCGGGAGGGAAGTCGAAATACAGTGAGCTTGCGGGAGTACTATGAAGATAAACAAGCCGGGGCGGGGGCAAGAACTACAACTACCCACATGATCGCATTCGACGGCAAATCGTGGCTTGAAAATGTGCAACAGCAACTGAAAACCTTCCTCCAAGAGATCTACATCTGCAAGGCCTCCGGGGAGGCGCAGAAAGCCTGGACCATCTGGCAGGACCTGGTTTCCGTGGAGCCGAAGGAAAGCGACAAGCTCGCGCTGGGCGACGGCTGGAGGGTGCTGCGGAAACAGGTGCGGGAATGTTTCGGCGATATTTGTAGTTCTAGTACAAGCAGCGAGGGAACCGAACCATCGATAAAAATAGCCCACAATGGAGCTGCATCAAGTAGGACAGATAAAATTGACGATCGGGCTGATCATCCACCGCCGCGTCCAGCTTCTCCTTCAAAGAGCGAATTAGAGGACGAGAGCTTGGCACTGTTCGCTGACATGATGCGCAGAGCAGAGGGGGCGCGAGCCAAGAACGCGGACAAACAGGAAGAAAGTCTGACTCCAACTGGTCTTTCGCCCATGTTGTCGTCCAGGAGGACTCCGGGTGACGCTGACCAAGACCGGTCGTCCGCGAAAATAGAAATAGGCCGCGGAGCAGATGGTGGAAGGAGTATAATTGATTTCAGGCCAGCGCTGTTCCCAATCAGTGTGGTGACGGTGAACAAGAACACACTTTCACATCCTCAAGGAACAAAACAAGAAAGAAAAGCCACAACGACCAGCGAGCAAGAAGCTTTCGACCAGCGAAGTGCGGCAGCGGGGGCGCGGCTGGGTGCTACAAGTGAAGCATTAAAGTCTGTTGTGCAGTACAGGACCACTGTGGAGGCGACAGCGGAAGGTTCAACTCATTTTCAGTTCTTCTTGTGCCAAATGGAAGTTGAGCAGGATTGAGTTCTTCTTCTTTCTACTTGAGCTAGTGCTAGTGCTACTCTCAGGAGCTCGAGCATTAGCGCATTATATGCCTGATCCAGTGCCAGACTTTCATACTGACTGCACTTCTGAACGAAGATGGCAGTCGTTGATGAAGATGCGTCAGGACGCCGCTCGTTCGACATGTTTTCCATCTGACCGCACCAGATGCACAAATTTAGATTTATTACCCCTGCTCGTGATATTCGTAAATCAAACTCTTCATCTTCAACAGGTTACCTCTCCCAACTTGCCGCCATGTTCCCCGTGCAGAAGTTGAAGATTTTCCAGAGCGATTTCTTGCTCCAGCGCCACACGTTCGAGCACTTATGCTGTGCAAAAGTGAATGTATCGTACACGTACTAGTATAAATTGCATTACAAATTAGCTTAGCCTTAGGATGACAGATGGGATTTGTAATGCTGTTTTAGCTAGGAAAGGCGGTTTGTAATGCATGCCTGCGATCATTGCTACGCGTGTGATTATACTTTTGCAATTCATAGCACTACTTTCTCCGCGATTTTTCCAAGCACGAAAACCGCGCCCATGATTTCAACCTGCGAGAATTGTGCAGGTTTTATCCTGAGTAAAAACGTACCCACACCAGAGTCAAGATGGGGAATCGGCTAGACAAATCCACAAGTTTTGGCTGTTTTGCATGACAAATTTGGATTCGTAGTGTAGTGCTGTTTGAGCTAGCTCAGCAGCATCACAGATCTAGCCTACCATGCTGATTGGAGCATGACAAATTGCAAAACATGACTAGAAAATGCTTCTCATGGAGCTCCGCATGAGAAACATTTTCAGCATGCAGATTTGCCTTACAACTCTGGTGTGGGTACGTTTTTACTCAGGATAGGTTTCGTGAGGACTTCAACACAGACGGGGCAGGAAGTTCTTGTTCATCCGGCTTTAGACCGTACATCAACTTCCTGTTGGAAATGAAGCGAAAGCATCCAGAGAAATTCAACTATTTCATGCGCGACAAGTTCCTCACAACTCGTACTTCCCGCCCTAGTATAAAAACAACTACCTCGTCCGGGGCGGGAGGAGGAAGAAGCAAATCTTGTTCCGGGGACGGGGGCTCACCAGTCGTCGATTACAAGGATGAAAATCGAAGCTCTTCCAGTCGTGTCTTGACAATCTACCGCAACGAGGAACTTTTTCGAAGTGCTAGACAGCGACCACAGGGTCGCAAATTGACCGAAAACAGTACGCCGGCGACGGGTAGCAGCACTTCCAAGGCGGATGCTGTAGATACGGACACCGAAACGCAGCTTCTGCAGGAGTTGCTAGCGATTGAGAACGAGGAACAGGCAGCATTAGTACCGACAAAAGAAGGTCCTCCGCGCGTTAGGATTTCACAGGCCATAGTGCCACCCAGCGCCGGCGCATCATTTTCAGCAAAGAGATCCTGTCGGGGAGAGCGAGAACACGAACAGCATCATGACCACGCTCTTCCGGATGAAGTTGAAATTGCCCCGGAAGTAGATGGTCTTCACGAGGACGAGCAAAGTACTATTGACCGACTGAAGCTGGAGTCCATTTTCCCGCCACGGGTTTTCGACTTTGTAGCCAAAGTGATCAGGAAGGTCAGCGTGGTACGAGAACTCGATCATGATCATGGAACAACGGAAAACATAAAGGAAGACCTCCAAGACCACGAGCAACTCCAAAAAATCCGACTGGTGAATCAGAAGTACCTGGTAGCCGACCGCAGTGCAGCCATCGTCCTTTCATTGACAATTGACATGACAAATTTAGTAGACGGCTCTTCTACAGCTCGCCCAGAACAAGCACAGTTAGAAATCGGCGAGGTTTACCTGTTCAAGAACTGCACGGCTGCAATGGTGGAAGTGGCCGAGCCGAGGTGGACGAGACCGCGTCCCCATTCGTCCTCGCTACCTATGAAACTGAAGCCGGGGCAGGCCGAAGAACAGGAAGAGCGGAAGAGGAACAGCCACCGCATCAGCATCAGCAGCGCCTTTGTGCCGGATTCTTATTTCAGCTACGAATTCCTGTATGAAGATTATCCCGGTAAACGTGGTCAAGAACAACTACATGGCCGCGGGAGAAAACGTACTAGCACCACGGCAGCTGCAGCCAGAAGAACTTCTACTGCAATAAACTCGTCCACATCATCACAACGACCTAAGGCTCCTCGTGCTGTGGATCATGATCATGGAAAGAAACATAGCTCGTCCTTGTTGGGCGAGCATGCGTTCCACCTATCGGACGACGATCCTGATTCGTCCGACCTGCCCGCTGATGTTGAGTGCCAGGTCCTCTTCAGTAGCTCGTCCGAAGATGACACCCTGACCCACGACCTCAAGAAGGTGGTCTACCCAGAAGATCATTCATCCAAAAAACTAGACGGAACTAATAGTCAAGACGGCGCGAATGAAGAGATGTTGAACAAGTCAAGCAATAAAACCAAGAAGTGCGCGGCTTTATGCACTGCAAAAATGTCTGGGTCTGGAAGGTTGGAACTTGTAATGCTGGCTCTACACCCCTGGGAGATCTGTACTGCATAACCAACAAAAGTCGCAGCCTCTTTTGTCATGCAAAAACGCAGCTTGTCACGCGGATTTCCTATGAGAAAGCGTTTTGGAGAGTTGTCATGCTGGGCTGCATTCGGAAGCGTTTTCATCATGCACGTTTTAGCGTCACAAGCTTCCAGACCCAGACTCGTTTGCATTTGATAGGCTTCTTTCTTCTACCACTACGAGCCGATATTTTGGACCGAGGAGATGCTGAAGGCTGTGCCGGGGTCCAGGAAAGAAAGTTTACTGAAGGAAAAGAAATACGTGAAAGAAGTAGTTTGTCCAACTGCAAGTTGCTATAATAATATGAGGGGAAGAAGCAGTGGCAGTCGTGGCCCGCTAAGTTCTCATCGTCGCGCTTCAACATCTTCGGTATTCCAGCTCCTGCCGAAGGAGAAGCGGGTTTTCGTCTTGGGAAAGTGGCGAGACATCGACAAAGAGTTCGGATTTGGCTTTTATCCGGGGGAGGATGCGACGAATTGTATCGACCCGCTGCTTCAGAAGCTGCAAGTCCCGAATCTGTCCGATCAAGAATTCCGTTGGCGGAAAAGAAAAGTGCAATAGTACTTACTAACCCTAACCAGCATGAGATGAAAATAAAGTGTAGTCGTTCTGTCATTCTAAGCTTTGGCCGCTGAGGGGGCAATGAAGAATAAACAACAAGCAGGATAGCCGTCTTCGGAACCTCTGTAACACTTTTGATCTGAGGGTACATGATATGACTACAGCACTGGTAGTTTTCGCTTTAGACGCTTGGTTATTTCAAGAAGATGATCTCATCCGTTTGTTACAACAATTATTTGAACCTGTGTGCTGGAAGCTTCGGCTGTCGTTCTCATTGTCGTGAAAAAAATTTCGAAGATTCTCGGTCTTCAGCGAGTGACTCTGCTGGAGTTTTTCAAGCAGAAGTCTCGGTCAGCCTCATCGTATTTCGTACAAATAAAAAAAGTCGGCGATCTTCTTTGGATTTTTACTGTCAAAAACCTGGCGTCGGTTCGTCCTCTTGGTGCATCGTGCAGATTTTTCCCGTTTTACTTTTTGGCGTTCTTCTTGCGGCAAGGTACGTTTTCTTCATCTCGATGTCCAGCGCAGTAATCGTACTTTGATTGTTTAGCCCCTCGTGGTTTTCGTAGCACTAGAAAGCAATACTTCGGACATTCGGTGCAGGGTGATGAAGTAAAGCCAAGAAGATGAATCGGTACTATAATTAATAATTCGTGCGTTGTACAGAGCCCGCAAATCGTCCGCTGGTCTGTTCGTTGTTTGCGTTATTTCTCGTGATGGCACTATACGACCATGTTATTTCGTACAACTACCATTAGAACGAATGCCGCCGACTATGGTAGACAGGAGAAAGGATTTCTATTTTCGCTCGTGCACAAAAAAGTTGGCATCATGTGAGTGTGACGCTTGACACCACCCTACTTATGGAAGCATAGTAAAGTAAGTTCTGTGGAGCTGCTGCTGCGGCCTCATCGATCTTGCTTCCCCGCCCGCGGCTCTCTTGCAGCGGACTCTTCGTACTCCGGAAGTGACGAGATTTTTTTTATCCGTAGCAGGAGAACAAAATAGAAGACTCCGTCTCCACAAATTATAACCTACAGGAAAGCCCGAGGACAAAAACCAACGGAAGATCTACTGCCTCTGTGCCTTCATCTTCGAAGAAATAACTCTCAAACTACTCCAACTCAAAACTGTTATACGTCGCGTTTTGTACAAGAAGGCATCCCCTTACCACAAATACAAAAGTAGAACCTACTTTTTCCACTACGAGGAGCTACAGGAGTTTGCTTCTTCTAAATCCAAATCCAAGAAGCTCGATCCGGCACTACAAAAACCATGGCGCCGGCGCTGTCTGCTGAACTGTCCAGATTCACCACGATGTTGAAAAAGCACTTTTTTCTCCCGTGCTTGTTGGCGGGGGGCCACATCACTAACTTTACCGGCCCCGATGTGCTTGTCCAAGCGTACACTGCTACCATTCTGAACAAGCAGGCGGGTGGCCCCCGCCGCGGCCGCACAACTGTCGTGCAGGAGCAGGAGCGCGAGAACCGCCGGAGCCACGGCAAGAACAAAACCGCGTTTCTACACAAATTTTTCACGAAGAAGGAACAATATGGGACTCTCAATTGTTACATTCTCAGCTGTTACATGAATTTGTGACGCAAGAATGGCAACAGGGAAAGGCCGGATCTTGTAACTCTTGCATTACAAATTCGGCACAGATCCTCATCCTGTTTAGCCCTTCCAAAATTTGTCATGCGGAGTAGCTTCAGTTTGTGGACGTTGACAAATCATGTTACAGTTGAGAATGTAACATTTGAGAACGCCATAAACAAGCCAAAGTGGGTATGATCGTGACAAAAATTATTCATAGCGTGGCCTCCACGCCGGCGAGGACCCCGTAGAAGAGGTACCTACAACTGTAGGCAAAGGTATTGTTGGAACTTGTCATGTGAATGTGTTGTCAAGTAAAAGTGCCCTTCGTAGGAGCACCAACTGGAACTGCTCCTGAGGTTCTTTTTACAGAGCTGTGGTTCATCCCGTAGTTCTAGTTGCCATTTCTGTCAAAGCAGAACATGGAGACATCCTGTGTTGGACCACGAGCAGGCGATATCAACATCTCTGACTTCATTTTACGGATCGCCATAGCATCTCGTGTAGGCCACGCAATTTTACTTTTTCCACTGGATAACGGGCTGTGACATTGACACTCCGGCGCCGTTGGAACTGCCCGCTGCTCCGATCGCCGTCGTTTCTGCCGTGACCACTGCTGCGCCTCCGGGAGGGGGTTCCGCCACCAAGCAGAAATGCGTGGACGGGGTTGCCCAAAAACTGATCTGTCAAGATCCACTTCTCACCAACGCCACCATGGATGAAACAGCGAAGGCGCTGGAGTGCGCGGGAGCCACGTGCGCCACAGTTGACGAGGCTCAGTGCTGTGTTGTATCATGTGTAAAAACGTAGTTGTCCCCACGACCCCGTCCTGGTGAACAAGACGGGGAATCTGCTATGCAAATCAAGTAATTAAGTACATACTTTTCGCATTCATGCGCGACAAGAAGAAATTCGGATCCAGTGCATTAGTAGATGTGGTGAGCTGTAGTTGCCATATAATCTCGACGACTCCTGTTTTTCATTCCCATTACAGGAGCGCGATAACTTGCAAACCACGACTAGAAAATACCTCACTGCATGCGCAGTCGCATGAGAGGACACTGTCCGCACTACATTCGAGATTTCGTTTAGATGCGACCTACTGGCGCGGGGAAGGGAAGTACATTCATTTTTACGTTGGATACATCGAGGCGCTCAAGTTGGCTCTACCGAGTAACCACCGCCAGCAGCAGACGTGCGAAGCGGGGTTCGAGGCCAAAAAGTTCACCTGTGCGAACGGAGTGGCGGAGTCTCCGGAATCGATACGCATCGCAAAAGAATCGCACTAGTGGAAGTTGCATTATACAGCAAGGATCTTTTGAAAGATGACGCTGCAACATTCAACCAGATACAACAATTTGTAGCTAAAGAGCGCTAAATTAGAAGGATGATCGTGTGATGAAATTCGAATTTGTCATTCAATATTGCAGCTGGTGCGATTGCGCTGCTTTTGCGCTGGACATCCAATCAGCTGCAGCAGCGCCGAGTGCGGCGAGGAAGATGTGGACGCGTGCTGCAAGGAGGCTCCTGCGGCAACTTCTGGTCACGAAACTTGCCTGCAGGGGGTCGAAGCGAAGCGGATTTGTCAAGCAACTGGCTCCGTTCATCCTGAGGTCACCACGGACAACATGCGCGCTGATGTGAAGGCGCTGCATTGTGGAGCGGAAGAATGCACCAGCGATGACGAGGCACAGTGTTGCGTATCGTTTACCTCCTGCGGCGCGATCAAGACCGAAAACGCTTGCGGGCTACAGGCTATCAACCTGAAAAATGAATGTTCTTGATAGTGCTACCCTGCTGTACCTTCGTATCGTCTTTCTCTCCATTGGATGTTGGGACAACTGGAAGACGAGTCGAAAAGCAAGCTTCGTTTGTTTATGCATTGAAGGACTTGCAAGAAATAAACAAGACTCATACACTAGTAGTTCATACGACAGCATAATTATGCGGCTGAGAGCAAGCGTTTGCAATTGCAAATGTCGGAAAAGCTAAAAAAGACTGCCTCATCTATCTTCGTTCCCTCGGTGCATGGGATAAACAGCTGCTAGCTTCACCTTTTCACTTGATAGCTCCGAGTGAAGGCCACCAATGTGTCTGGACGCAGAAAAAGAAAGACGAGATGCTGAAGATCGAGGCAAACGGCTGCCCGGACCGAGGAGTACCTCCCTTCTGTCCACGGGTGTGGGAAAACGACGGAGCAGAGCAGTGTTTGGACTGCGGGGCTTTGACGGATATCTATGGGGGGGGTCTGATAGATGTATGCGAGACAAATCAACACTGCTGCCGTTGAAGATCTTCCTCCGCCCTTTACTCCTGTTCCGCTGATGGTAATTCTTGTCATGCTCCCTTGCATGAGAGGCACCTGTGGTCTAGTACAGGTCGTCTGTTCGTCTATTGATGTCTGGTGTCAGCAGCAGTTGCAGTACAACCGAAGAGCTCGTTTCTTGGATCGAAGCAGCTCTATAGTGCCATGCTATGACCACCATAGCATGTCTGCCACTTCCGGAGCACCTCTCCAGTGGTCGGCCACAACTCGTCTCGTGTTTTGTATCTGCCAATAAATGTAAATCTAAATGTGAAGCGCCGCACCACCAGCATGACAATCACATGCGTGGCACGATGTTGAACTTCGAGTCGTGCTGTGCCTGCTCGGAGTTCTATTATACGTAGGGTTTTGACGCGGACTACATCATGAGGGAGCAGTGCGTATTCGCATTTCATATCTCGGACTCGATTACTGCGCCGGACAGTCCGATGGGAAGTGCGAGTTGACACGGCAAGTGCGTTGCCAAGGCCTCGTAATGAGCAACGGGTGGTCCGAGGGGGAATGATTCGTTCTTCTTCTTGGCGGTCGTGCCAGCTTATCACGAGGGGAAGCAGTGGTACCGCAAAATGATCTTACACTTAGTTATCAACCCGCGATGAAAAAGCAACTTCCAGTATTGTTTGTTTGGTCATGTTTTTTACGCCGCTCTCTTTGAGTTAAAACGGCTCCAGACCAAGAGTCGTGCAGCCTGGAGGTGGTCAATGCGGCCATCCAGTGCAGATGAGCAGCTGCAACCGGCACGGCTATTCTCTTAGATCGCGAAGGCCCCTCGCTGTCAAGCTCTTCAGGGGCCGTTTGCAAAAACCAAAAAATAGAGCTTGCGTTTTTGTTGTGTTGAAAAATCGAAAGAGGACGAACCCAACGACTGTCACTAGTATCGCTATCGTAAATATTAAGGGAAACCAAACCGCGTAGCCCGCAAGGTTGGACTCGTAGAATTTTCTATTTCACTACTTCTTTTTTCCATATCGTTTTACTTTGATCATGAAGAGCCTTATACGAACTACTTTTTCTTTGACGTCGAAACAAATTCTTATAAACCTTGTTGCTGCAGAGAAGTTAACAACTAACTATGATTAATATCGACCGCTTACGATTTCCAGTTTCTTCACTTGTGCTTTCAGCGATTTCATCCTTTTTTTTCCATGATCGTATCAGCCCCAGTACAATATATGAGCGACGACCAAATGAAAGAAAGTACGAGTACAAGATCCCCCTGCTCGCAGCCCGAGAAAAAAGCGAAACCGATGTCGACATGAACAAGGAACTCCCAAAAACTCTGTGATTTCTAGAGGCAATTTTCGTGGCAATGAGTTTACGTTATTGCTGGTCCTGAGGGTGAAGTGGTTCAGTTTGTCGTCCTCGTACTGGTGCTCGTACTCAATAAGTAAGTAGAAGGAGTAGTACTATTTTGCTTCCCGACAGCAGGGCGGTTTAGCTTGGGCAACATACACAGCACAATACAAAAAACGTTGCGACCTGCTTTCTTTCGGTTCCTGCTCGTCATCTCGGTTCGCTCGTAGTGCAGTTCGTTCCTTGGCGTCGGTGTCGGACGGTTTGTTGTTTTCGTTCTTTCCTTTCGTGGTGGTTTCGTCTGATTTATAAAATCGTGTCGTGCAACATACTGCTCTTTTTTGTAGAGACGTCGTCGTCATCGTCAAGTTCTGACCGCGCCTCGGCCTCGCCGGCCGGTCCGACTGAAAAGCTCTTTGCTTTTCCTTGTCAGCGCAATAAATGGCAATAACCTGTCCGCCGAGCCGTCAGTCTTTCTCGTGGGTCTTTTTCGTGCACGGGTCTTTCTCGTGCATGCGAATTCGGATTGGGGGTCCAAAGAAAATAATCGTCGCCGTTATGAAATTATTTCGCGTCACCAGGAGTTGTACCCCCCCGTTTGCCTATTCTCATCGTCTGGTCTCGATGCGGCCCAGGTCGAGGGCATTGTAAGTGAAGCAGGACGACGTCTTCGGTTTTCATTGCTCCCTCCTCTTTTATTCCCAGAAGACCGACTCGACCTTAATATCCCCGATGAACAAGACGTGTTTATTGAGCAACATGAGCAGAGCAGGAACAGCACCAAGTGCTCGCTCCCTCGAAAATGCCCTCGGCATCCCGTGGTCGTTTGCGTTTCCTCGTGCTGGTCACCACAGCAAATCAGCGCTTGTTTTACTACTCGCAGTGGCGCATTCATTTCTACCGGAGGTTCACCAGCTGGTATTGTTGTTTCACCAACTACCAGAAACGTGCAATTCCACCAATTGCGACCTCGCCCAAGATGATGCTCCTCTGCAGTTTGGGATCGTCCCCGTTGTCGTGAACGCAGAATTTGTGATGCAGATGCAGCCAAGCGGCGCTGGAGGTGAAGCTGCCCCTGTGAGCAAGATAATTGCAGGAGCAGCAGCTGGTGCAACTAGAACGACGTCAATTAGAGCTCCTTCACAGGCCGCGAGTAGTCGTAGTGCAGCTGCAGGTAATTATGGGTCGACGGTGAAAACCATTCACGGGAGGCCTCAAAAAAACAGCAAAAGCAATGGCAGCGCGGCGACTCGAACAGGACGAGGAGGACCACCACCAGCTGCATCAAAGGCGGTTTTTGTTTGGCCAGAAGCTGCGTCACCACCAGGAGGCGGTTCTGCTCAGGGTGGAAGTTTCGTGCCCACTCCTCCAACTGAAGACACGATAATGGGCCAAAACATGTTGAAGGAGCAACAGGAATTATTGTCGGAGAGAAGCAGCAGCAACAGTGATATTAGAGTCGCAGATGAAGGAGGAGGAGGAGGAGCTGATGCAGCCGGATATACTGGCAGTGACCACAACAGAGATAATTCTCGTCGTGTGTTGTTTCTGACTCCGAGTTTTGCGTCGCCGGAAGAAAACGAGTTAAGAGACGAGCAGAGTAGAATAGGGAAACTTACTAAAACAGCGCCGGTTTCATCTAGTAATCGAGTGGCTACAACTCCACAAGGAGAAGGAGGAGGACCGCCAGATCAGCACCAACATCAGGGGGCCCGGCGCCCAGGAGCTCGAACGACAACAGATGGAACGTCGTCCCGATTGTCGGATCATGAAGCTGCGTTGTTTTCTCCTCCAAACCACGACTCTTCTTCTCTTGCTGCTGCTAGTAGTTCTAGTTCGTCTACAAGAATAAGCTCTTCTACTCTACCCACTTATTATTCATTTCCAGCAACAACTACGCGACAAAATGAGGCACCCGTCAGCACAGCGACCCCGCCGTCGTGGTCGACCGACGAACTCACTGATGGAAGTCATGCTGCAAGAACGGCGAGTCAGGACCAGGATGAAAAAATGAAGAAAATTATCGATGAGGAAAATTTGTCAACGACGTTAACGTCTGTTTTTGTAGCTGGTGCACCTGGAGTGCCGGTCGTAGGAGGTATAATACCAAAAGCCCCTACGAAAGATGCAGCAGTGCTTGGTTTCGAAAACTACTGCGAGATCTTCTTCACCAACTTGGCCGCCTGTCTGCGGTGCTGTTTTTTCTTGTTTCTCTTCTTGAGTATTGCCAACTACGCCTTTTTCGACGGACAGCTGAAGAAAGTGGTCCGGGAGAAAATCGAAAATGGGGTGGGTGTTCTGAAGAAAACCATTGCGCCATCGTGGGCCGCCGCAGCGCGAGGAACTCGAACTGCGAGGGCAGGTGATGTGAATAAAAGGTCAACAACTACTACATCAATCGGCAAGATGAAAAACCACGTCGGAAAAAGCAGCAGTAGGAGATCGAATAAATACAACAGAAGTCATTTCTTGAAAAAAGGCACACTACAGCAAACCACCGTTCTTGAGCCCATAGCAGAGCTGTCTTCAGAAGGCGGTGGGGCTGGTCTCAGTGGACCTGACGGCGAATCGGGGCCACCTTCGGGTCGTACAACAACAACGAGCGCAGTTCTTGGGGACGGCATGCGACGGAACCACAAGTTACAACTTCTACAAGGGACGTTCACTTCCAATTCTGCAGCTGCAGGCGAGGATGAAAAGGGCGGGAAACGACAGCAGTCGTCGTGGTGGTCTTTCGGAAAGAAGGTATTGCCCTTGACAAGACACTTGCAGCTTAGTAGCATGGTGGACGCGGTCTGACGAGGACGGAGGAGGAATACTACACCGATGTAAAAGAAGATATATAATTGTATAAGCAAAAATCATGCCGCCACCACTCAACATATTGTTGGTGTGGTCATGAAATTCTACATTAGGTCGTTCCGTTTCGAATTTCAATTTGGACCTTGTGTTATCGGGCAGGAAAAATGACGCTGCGCAAAGCGCTGACGCTGTGCTCGGTCTTTTTCCCTGTAAGATGAAAACTCAAGCAGATTTTTGGAGCAGTACAAATATCAGGAGCCTTTTTCCAGCGGTTTATTGTGTTTCGTGTTCCTGTTTCTTGGAAATCAGAATGTAAAGGTTGATTGATGTCACGACCGGTTTTTCTGACTGTGTGGGGCTTTCGGCTTCGGGCTCTTGTTTTTCTTGAAAATTGTTGAATTTGAAACCTATTTCTCCGAACAAGACGTCACCTCGGTCACATCGGTTTTTCGCAGAACTCGCCTCAACTGTCATTTGTTTTACGACAATATTGTATTTACTCGCGAGCCACTTCTCTTTGTCGCGGGTACTGAGCAAAAATCGGTCCCTCTGAGTCGAGCAAATCTTTGTTTTTCGTTTTCCCGCACATGACCTGCTTCAGAAAAACAAAAATCTTCAAAGTGCCCGGGTAAGTAAGTGAAGGAAAGAAACGGAGTCGAATTTCTTTTGGGGCTACTTTTAATGTAAAAAATGTGGAGCATCATGCAACTACTTTTACTACATTGCGTATCTCTATTTTTTCTGAATTCAACGCGGTCATATGGTTTTTCATGGCCTTCCGGTCTGAGCGAACTTCTGCAAAGGGCGGTGGTGGTTGTTTTTATGTGTTTACTCGTCTCCACCAGCTGTTGCTTCTTCTGCCGGGATGTAGTTCTCTATCGGGTAGGTTTTTGAGGACGTACTTTCATTTTTGTTCATCTAGAGTGAAGCTGTTGTAGCTGAAGACGAGCATTTTGTTATTGTTCCTCGATTGACGTTTCCCGCTTCCGCCTCTACTTTCTACTGAAAGCAAAACGTGAAGCAAAATGTCGGCGACTCGACCTCTGGTCCCTGAAGACGAGGAAGACCACTTGAGCAATGCCTCCACATCCTACCTCAACAACCGCGTTGACACCCTACATATGGTCGACGCGGCACGCCGTTCTCGTGCTGGTTGTACCGCCGGAGGACCTCCTTCTGCTCCAGGGAACAAGAAAGGCGGGGGCGGTACAACTTCTACAGGAGCCTCCAAGAACGGACGCACAGGTAGAAACGTCGCAAAAATCGTGACAACCTCCTATCACGGCTACGGAAGTTTTGATCACGCGAATTCATCAAAGATGAACAGGGAAGAGCCGATGAACAAAAAGGACCACAACTCGTCCGCGAGAACGGTGTCTGCAACTACACCAAGTAGTAGTACTCCCACTGCTACGAACACCAGTTATACCGCTTCTACGCCGACCTCAGTCAGTGTCGGGAAGAACAAGAAGAACAAGGTTGCTGCGACACCGACTGCTGGTGTCGTGCTGTCTGTACGCATTACAACATACGCATTGTTGTACTGGGTGGAAACTGCGACATCACAAACTTTGCCAATAGCAATAGATCATGAAAAAAAATGTATTCTCCATGTAAAAATGCTGGTTTTCCTACTTCGAAGTCATGTCATAGATGATCTGTCACGGACATTGTCACGCATGACTGCCATCAGTACGAAACGAATGCGATGCTTTTGCGTTGTATAGTTGAACAAGAACCACAACTACAGTCCCGCTGCTCGTCGTCGTAATCGGTCTACATCACAAATAGCAGAAGCTGCGTCAACGGCACCACCACCATTTGTCAGCGGAAACAACACTGTACGCGTTTCTGGGCAAACCGGTTGTAATATCAATTTTGAACGACCCACTACTTCCTATGATCTCTTCGACCACCCGCCCAAAGAGGACTACAAAGGAAATACGAAGCCGGCGCGGAAGACGCAGCTATTGAACCAACAAGAGCAAGTATCCAAGAAAAAAACATTGTAGGTGTAACTTTCTTGGAGGATTAGCATTGCAAATTTGTCTGACATGACAGCAAAACCCTGTCATGCGCAGATAGTACGTGAAAACGCCCTTTGATGGACCCTACGACGCATGCCAAGCATGACAGACGCAATCACCTTGCATGTTGCGCATCACAAATTTACACTAGCAACGTTTTTTTCCTGTCATAGCAAGCAGCTCCTGCTGCACGAGGACCTGCTTTTTCGTCGTCCCCATACCTGACTAAACACGAGCCAGCGACTAAGAAACGCCCCGTCGGAGTTCATCCGGCGCTGCCGGGGAGCAATAGTACTATGGCGAACAACCACTCGGCGACGGTCGTTTCGCGGAAGTTGAACAAAGTAGATCTAGACCGTCCCAAATCTTCAACTGCGGTTGTAGCTGCAAACAATAACAAGCGAGGGCGCCAGCGGTCATCCCCCGCAGAGATCCGGCGGAACAAGGCCGACCAGCAAGAGACAAAACGCTATTTCGTAGCGCCATTGGTGACCCCGACCACCTCCGGCGCTGCAGACTCTACTCCAGAAGCTGCAAGCGCGAGCAAGAAGCGATTCATCGAGATCCTTCCGCAGGCAGAGAAAGCGAAGACAGATGAACAAAATCTTCAGTGCGGCACCAGATCGCAGTCCTCTGCCTCTCAACAGTCGGATACAGTTTCAAAAGGAGGGTCCTCGCGTGATCACGGTACTACAGAAACTCCTGATGTACGAGTTGCAAGTGCAAAGGGCAAGAAACCGGACCACGACGGCGCAGATGCACAACTACTCGCTGACTCTTCGTCGCCCACCTCGCCTGCTCGACGACACACCGGTAAAAATTCCGGGTCGAAGCAGGAAGGGCCACTCTCTCGTTCCGTAAAGCGCACCCGGTCTGGTGCGTATTCCGACTACACTTATTCGCCGGCTGTGGGGAACAACACTGCTGCTGAACCGGGTGGATCTACGTTCGACAAACTCAACAAAACTTCTATTTTCCAACCGGAGAAGAAGAAACAGAAAACTTCTACGACCTCTAGTCAAAAGGGTGCAATGAAAAAGTTGGAATTTGAAAATAATCAAGACGCAAATAAATTGCTGCGCGGCCAGAAGATGTTCGTTTCCAAGGGTGAGAAGACGAATAAAAATGTTAGTACCACTACTTCTACGAACGCCAGCAAAAATCACACTGCACTATCAGCATCCACGACTTGTTCCACCAACAACAATAAAAGCAACAACACCACGCAAAATTACGTTCTGGACACGTTGGAAGACCGCCTGGCCCGGATTGACCGCGATTTCAAGCGCACCCAGCTTCGGGAGGGAACAAAACGGCGGGGGAAGATTGTTCATCCGGCGAAGGTAAATAAACTAGCTGCGGAACAGAAAGCTCGCAGCGGCGCCATGAAGGAATTATGCGGGGCAGCTCCTGAACATGATGACGCGGACCATTTCGACGGGGATATCACCAGTCCTATTGCAGCCACTCATGCGGACCACGACAGTAAAAATGGTCCTTCGACCGCCACCAACATCAAGCAAAAGCGGCGGCACCCTTTGCTGCGGGGAAAAATCTGTTACTGGGACAAGGGGTTGACTATGATGTACCAAAACTACTACAAGAGCGGCAGCTCCACCGTTGGAAAGCGCGTGCTACTGAAGGCGAGGCGAATGGAAGTAATGGGAGAAGAAGGAGAAGAAATTATTTTCCAAGTGCCGAAAGAAGCGACGACCATGGAAATGGTGCAGAATATTAGCGCGAATTCTAGCGGCATTGTGGATCATCTCGACCTCCGTCTCGCGGCAGACCACGACAAGTCTGACCACCAGCAGGAGAAGCTGCAAAATGATCTTGGTAAAGTCAAAGTGGACCACGATGGAGACGACTTTATCACGACTAAGCACCGCTACTACTTTCTCCCGGAATTCATCGTGATTCCCGGTGCCGAATACCCCGATATCTACCACGAACCCTCGAGGACCAAGAAGAAAAAGAACGAGAATACCGCTACGGAACAGCCGAACAAGGACGCAGTTCCGGTCTCGGGACGATATCTCGAGGACGATCATGAAGAAGATCAAGATAGTGGAGTAGATGATGAATCAAGTGAGCAGCAAATCGCTTTGCAAGTTTTGACCTACTGGAAAACGGTGTCTTTCAAACAAGAGCAAGCAAAATGGGAGGAATTGAAAAAAGACTTGGAGAAGGAGATGAAGTTAGACAAATCGGGTTTGACCAAATCTTACTTCCTGACCGGACTAAGTGCATCCACCACGACCAATTTGATGAGCGGGGGAGGAAATGTTGGAGAAACAAAAACAGCAGAAGCTGCCGCGGTGGAAAATAAGAATACACATTCCGGAGCGGGTGCGGCGGGGGCACAAGGTCGCCCACGGCATCTTCTTTCACACGGTACTAACAAGGTGAAGACAACTCCTGCTGCGAAGATCAAGATGATTACAACAACTGCTGATGCTGCCAATCTGATTTGTAGTACGTGTACGACGACGCCCAGCAACAAAAATACTTCCTCAACTACGGCCATGACTACAGGCAAAAAAAATCATCCGAGCACTTCACCCGGGCCCACCACGACCTCGCAGGTTGTCGACGTTCTTGGTATAACTACAACAAAACGCACTGGCGGTGGATCATCTGCACGGGCGGTCCACAAGCACGGCGAAGAAATCTTCGAAGATACTGAGGCGACCGCAGTCGAAGATCTCATCGCGGATGAAGTCGACGAGGTGGAGAATATGATCGAGATGCAGCACGGGCTGGTTGATGTTGACGAGGAATCATGTGAACAAGATGAAGGTGTTGAGCAAGAACCTGTTGTTGATCCGCAACTTCTATTGGGAGGAGAAGATGAAGGTCGACCAAATCTACTTGTCGAAGAACGGGTAGAAATTCTAGATCCAGATTATGGATTGCAAAAGTGTCTGGGTCTGGAAGATTGACACTTGTAATGCTGTCTTTGGATTCCAAAAAAAATCTGTATTGCATGACCAGCAACAGGACTCCGGTTTGTGTTACGCGGAGAGGGCATTTCTCATGCGGAATAGGCATTAGGAAGCCCCCTAAAAATCTGTGTTGCTAGAGTATGCATTAGAGACATCAATCATCATAGAAAATATGCATGACAAGTCTGCATTCTTCCAGACCCAGACATTTTTGCAATGCATACAGATGGTACTTCATCAACTTCCGCTGTGGTCGTGGTCGTGAACGCGATGAACGAGCAAACTCATCTTCCGGACGAGGGGACCACGGGCACGAACGCAACAACGTCGAACAAAGTTCCTGTTTCTCACTTACGTCCCAGTGGTGTTTTGGTTTTGGAGGACGGCTCAAAAACCACGCAACTTCGAGGAGATGCAGCAGCTTCTTCTGGTGTTGTTTCTGCTGGTTCCGTGACTAGTAGAAAAGCTCCTGCTGGTGATCCTGATCATTCAAACAAGAGCCACGATGTTGAAAAGGAACACGTCGAACACGAACATTTATCCACAGCAACAGTAAATTTTCGTTTTCAATACTACACGTAGACGAAGAAAAACAAAAAGCTGCGGTCTCTGCATAAAAAAAGTTTCCCCGCAGATCCTAGAAAGCTTGATAGATATACAAGTGGCATGCTCTAGGAAATACAAACTTTTGTGATGCATTGGGAACGCGGAGACGCCGGTATTAAATCGAAATTTGTATTGCATAACACCAAGAAGAAGACCACTCAGAAGACATCGACGCGTACCGACGGCGGCTGCAGCTGCGGGCTTTGGAGATCGAGCGAGGGACGACATCATACAAGAAGAGCATTTTCGTGGGAAAGCAGCATGTGGAGGAGGTTTTGGCTTTTGGAGGTGCAGCAGGTCCAGCACGAGCGCAGGAAGATGATCATCAAGATGAATCTCCGACGGAGTCGGCAAATAGAAGAGGAGAAGGGGCGGAGCAAGTCAAGAACTTCTTCCCGGCAGCCCGTCATGTCGTGGATATGCCAAAAAAGACCATGCCGGCACCGTTTTCGCGCGAAAAACTGAAGCAAATCGTCGAGGCACAACTGAAAAACTACGGGGACGCAGCAGGAGGTGATGAAATAGACAACAACAAAATCGATGTAGCAGGAACTGCGCCTCCTGTTCCAGTAGCAATAGTAGAAAACAGCAACCGCCCCGATCCTGTTTGTGTTCCCAACCTCAAGGATCTACTACTTCGTGAAGATTTTCACGAGAGGACGTCGGGGCTGTCTGCAGTAAAAAGTCTCCACCTACCGCTTCCATCGAATAGCGTCACATCATCCCACTTGGAGCTGCTGCACGACGACTTGCTAGAGACAGGTAGCTGGGAGGAAGAAGAAGATCATCTGGTGAGGACGTCGCAAAATATTGACCACAGCCCGGGTAAGAGAAGTGCTGAGCAACACAACGAGCGAGAAAATGAAAAGCAAGAAATTCAGAAGCAAGATCCGCCCAAGGAAAGAAATCTTCCGCCAACAGAGAAAATAAACTACACGACCAGCACGAGGAGGAGGAGGAGGAGCACTGCGGGGGCGGCCACAGAAATACCGGAGGAAATATCGTCTGCAAGAAAAGTAGTGGTAGTGGTAGTCTCTAGCTGCATATAATTTTTAACTTTAAGTAAAATTTCTGCGTTTTTGGTTTTTGCATGGCAGATTTGGTTTCTCACCCAAGTCTGCACCTGCGTGGCAAATTCCACTTTTCTCTTTCCGACCTTTGGGAAAATGCATCGTGCAACTTGTTCAGGTACGTAGAAGTGCATCAAGAAGTACGATAGGAGCGATACTTACTACTTGACTTGCAATGCATAGGAACCTGCAGAAAACGAGCTGTCGAAGGTGCGGACGCGGTCTGACGAAGTGCGAGAAGTACGGGCTGAGCTGGAAGCAGTTATGCAATACAAAGTTGCACTTCCAGCACCCGTACATCAACATCTACATCACATCATTCACAGGAAATGTATGCATCACCGATTTTGCCAACGACCTAAGTGAAGAGAATGCTATATGAATTTGTCATGCTGACGTGTGAATAGGAGTGATCAAGTATTTGGTACGTTATGTACGTCTACGTGTACGGGATTTCTTTTCTGTGGATCGCAGTGCTACTGTGCGCACAGGGTGCTGGTCCTGACGCGGGGGACCCTGCGCCGGGGACCATTCCGCGGCTTGATATTATTGCAGGAACAATAGAACCGCGAGGACCGCCACGACAAGTAGAACTACAAGAGCTGCCATCTTCTTCGGGAAAGAAAGACAAAGAATATCCCGTGTTGCTGAATGACACAACAAGAACAACAACAACTACAGGGGTTGTCGCCGTAAATGGAAAAATAAAAGAAGAAGGCGAAAAACAAGCGCGAATGATGTCGCTCGACAGCTGCGAGCAAGACGACATAGACAAGCTTCTTCTGGAGGCGGATGAAGATGAGGACGAGCAACAAGAAGATGATAGCTACACAAACCACCCTGACGAGGAGACCACTCCGATGGAGGTCGCGGCCAAAAAGAAAGTGACATTCGTCGTGAAAGAATCACTTACAACAGAACAATCACCGGCTGGTGTAGTGCCCCATGCAGATCATTCAGGCAGGAATACTTCTCGCTCTAGCAAACGACCGAAAGCGGCGGCTGGTGTCGCGCTGGGCACTGCAGGCCAGGTAGAAAACCAAATCATTTCCAAGCCGGGGGCTTCGGTCGTGGTTTGGTCCGGCGAAGGGGGCGAGCGCTTCATTCGTCACCAGCCGGGGCCTGGGCCGCGACTCGAGTCGGCGCACGACAAGAGAATGCGGATAGTCATGAAAGAGGAAATCCTCAAAGCAAAAGCACAGTATCAGGAAACTCTAGCGAAGGCCAACAACATGATGAACGACGTTGCAGCCCAGCAGGACCCGTTGCAAAAGGCCCCGCCCATCAAGGAACTACAAGCGCAAGAACACGACGAGCTGCTTGGAGATCGTAGTAAAAGTAGCCAAAAGGCGGGCGAGGGGAGGCCGAATCATGGAAGTTCGGACCAGCACCAGCAGCAGATGTTACCCTCGAACACCAAGAAGTCGCCCGTCGTAAGGAATAAGGTCGTCCTATCAGGTGTAATACAAGCGACGTCCCCGCGACCTCCGTCCAGGTTTGTTATGCAAATTTGCATACCCAGCAACCCACACTGTTTGTTTCTAATGCATAGCCACATCAGGGCCAGGGGCGTTTTCCTTTTCTAATGCTGTCTGGCAGCTTCAGCTCAGGATGGTCGATGTGTGATTTTTATGCGGCTGCGCTACCACCTGCTGAGCATCACCATACATTGCACTACGATCCCAAATTGTCAGGCTCAAAAACAACCAAATCTTGTGGACTTGTGTAGCCAATAAATTGCCCATCATGACTCTGGGCCGCTCGTGTGAGCCTCGTTCTTCTTAGTCACGATACGTCCCGAACAACAGTAAACCTTTGTCAAACTCAAGGTCTCGACGTCGTTCCGGTGCTCCCGCAGAAAACAACAGCAAAATTACTAATTCTCCCCACAAAACTTTACTGGAGCGGATTTTGAAAGAAGTAGACCGGAGTGACAACGTCGACCCGCTTGCGAAGCCAAGCTTTTTGCTATCGATCTGCGAGAAAGAAAAAAATGATCCGAGCTGCCTCAGCTGCCAGGCGCCCCGAGGAGATGTAAGGCCCCGAGGACACCACTTTGTGCCAGTCGTCGCGAACATGAACAACCGGCTGGGCCGGGAGTCTCGCGTCATGAAGACGAACTACCCCCAGGCTGCGTCCATCGAGTTGAAGACGCCGATAGCCCGACTTTCTGGGGTGTACAAGTGTGAAGAGAGTCGGGATCGTCACGGATTTCCGATCTGGGCAAGTTCGACACACAGGCTGGAGGCCGAGGTAAACCTTCTATTATTTAAGATGAAGTACGCATCAAAAATAAAATCCATACACTACGCCAAAATCGATATACAACTAGAGTCTCGGTGTCATCATGAATCAATTACTACTTGCATGCTCCTGTGAAGAGTTCATTCTTCTTGTGCCTCCTTTGAATGAATGCTGCACTCCATAGATAGTACTCTACAACTCCAGAAGCGAAAAAAAAAAAAAACAATCACAGGTTTTCCAAACTCATACCATTTCGGCCCGACCACGATATGATCCTAATGCTGCTGCATCTGTGGACAGTCAACGCGGAGCCGCCTGGGAAGCAGAACAAGAACACGAGCGAAGCACCACTACAAACGAAATACAGGCCAGCGACGAGACAACTGCTTCTAAACCAGAAACGACGACGGGAGCAGCTGCGACCGGGAGCAAGACCAAGACAGCAGCGACTTTATCGAGTAGCAACACGTCAAACACCTCTTGCTACGACAAGATTCTGGATGAAACCATTTATCAGTGGCGGTATAAGCTGATCGAATTGGAGGTGGGAGATCGTGTGCTCTCCTCGGTGAACAGCAGTTCATCTTCTTCTATTGTTACAACTTCGACGAGTAGCCTCCGTGACAAAGTCATTCTTTCCACGGCGAGACAATACAGCAAAGCCTCGCTATTGTTTTCAACGAGCAGTTATGAACTGCAAAGGTATAATCGTACTAGTATAAATTGCATTACAAATGGACTTAGCATTACAACTTTAAATTTGTAATGCGGATTTGCCTTAACAAACACGACTTGTAATGCATAAACGCAATTAGTACGAGTACGATACTTTTGCACAGGAAATCAGTCACGTGACAAATAACGGCGTCCTGCTGAACCCGTTGCGAGCGGGCCTGCAATATGAACTGCAAAAGTATCGCACTCGTATAAATGCATTACAAATTTTTTCCTCAGCGTGAGAGATCAAATTTGTAATGCTGATCTACCTTAAGAGAATAAGATTTGTAATGCATGTTTGCAATTACTACGAGTACGATTCTTTTGCAGTGGATATCCAAAGATTCGTGGAGGTCGCATTGAGCGGCAGCGTTTGGTTCTTCGGGGACACAGAGAACCAGAAAAAGCAGAGGTTCTCGTCCGGCTGCACAAGAACGAAGTCTGTCCTGCGTATCAAATGTAAAAATGTCTGGGTCTGGAAACTTGTGATGCTGGGTGGCGTCTCATGATGAGGCCACAAGTGCTGGCTTAGCATGACAAGTTTCTGAGCTTCTAGGTGTTGCCTATTCTGCATGACAAACTGCGTTTCTGCATCACAGAAAAATGGAGCTCTTGGGTAACGTGCATGACAGATTTCAAAGATTCATGCCAGACAAGCATGACAAACATGCATTCTTCCAGACCCAGACGCTTTTGCATTTGATACTGCGCTCTAGAGAACAACAAACTCCGTACCGCGAAGGCGATCCGGTTTGTCTCGAAATTTCGTTGGCTGCCAGCAGTGACAACACAAACAACACAGCTTGATCTAAAAATATGGAATGAAAATGATACTACTAGCACGACCACGATATGAATGAAGAGCCAATTTATTTTGTTTACCCGAGAATAAAGTGAGAAGATATAGCGTCAGAAACGAGAAGTTTCCTGTCATTAAATTTCCGCATTTATTTAATTGCATTTGCTATTTATTGAGACGAGATGAAAGCGAGGAGATCCAGATGTCATTTGAGAGCGAACAGATTGCTCTTGGCTATGATGTACCTTGTAGCCGTATTCATATTGATATGGCCATTCTAACTACGGATTTTCCAAGTAGTCCAAAAAATTTCAGGGTCTCCGCGCGTATCCCACACCCTGTTGTCTTTGATTATGTGAAATCTGTCATGCGCCTATGGGGCAGTGGGTCGTGCGCAGCGTAATTTAGCAACTTAAGGAGGCAGGCCACTACCGGGGCTGGCAGCTTCCGGAGTGGTCACGGACCCGGGTAATTTTTGAATCTCTGGCAAACGCCTCTTCGTCTCGGAGGTAATTGCGCCCCCCAAGAGAAGCCGAGGGGCGTCCAACAGCTTCTTGCCCTCCCAATGTGCGACGGGGCTGTTGTAGGTGGAGACCCCGAGCTCGTCGACGAGGCAGAAGACATTGGGGGTCTGGCCATGGGCCACATTCACGACGTTGCTCCGCCTTTCGTCCGACATGTTCCACGAAGCCTTCTTGACAGAAAATGCGTGGCAGACACAGTCCCCGGACTGCTTTTTTCACCCCGCCACCTCCTCGCTGCTGCAAAAAGCACCACCCCCGCCTTCCCCCCAAGTTCTGCCCCAGCCACCCCTGCCAGGTTTTTCGCTTCTGCGCAGCGCTCTCCTGTTTTTGCATCGGCAGTGGGCACTTAACCAAGCGGGCTAGGCTTCAATAGCGCAACCACATGCGGCACGGCACTATTTCGCGAAGCCTTTGGGCAAGCGGCCCCATCGGTGAAACTTGGCGGCATTGTGCTTGCTGTGAAAGGTTTTCAAGGCTGTATCGCTTTGCGCCATGATATACCCAAAACAAACTGAAGGGGGCGGGCGCATTGGACATGGCAAATTAGGGTCAGGCGCCGGCGGCCTGCGCCTGTCGCTGCCTTCCTCTACCGCGGGCAGGTCTTTGGCCCCCTGGCAGCATCGCCCGAAAGCAGGCGGGGAAAGCCCGCTCCCCTATGGAAATATGGATCCCGAGCTTCTAAGACGGAAAATCTCTTCCCTTGCGGGAGCCTTTCTGAGGACCCTCCGGGAGGGGTAGCCAAAAACACCACTCTTGGAAGCTTCCCCCGATGCTACGAGGGTTCCGGAAAAAACCCGCTTTAGGGGTCTCGCGGGAGGACTTTTCTTCGCAGAATCCCAAGAATTCTCGGAGGCCCCGGGCCGGGACTTTTAGAAAAGTGGCGCCGCTGCTTCAGCTTTTTGGCGCGGCGCGCCGGCAGTAGCCTGCCCGCCCCCTTCGACCGCGTCCTGCCTGGCGGCATGCGATTTCGTCTGCGAAGGCTGCCGGTTTTTGATAGCGGGCCCATCACCGTGTGTGCCGGCCTTGGTTTCTTTTGCGAGGGCCTTGACGATGCGGGGCAAGTTGATTGTTTCTGGGGATCTCGCATGGGCCGCGCCCTTGACAAAGGCTCTTAGGCCTTGGCTATGATGTACCTTGGAGCCAATTCATATTGAAGTATGTATAGCTGATTATAGTATAGCTCGAAGCTACTAGCCTAGAATGTCATTGAAATAAGCAAGTGAAGAGTTAATCAAGGCCCTATAGTTTTTTGCATTATATTACTTTTTATCCTCAGAGGTAAAAACTGACACACTATTTTTTTTTCAACACTGAATGATAGATTATAGTCATATTAAGTACAAATTTTTTTCACATAGCATAAGCATGTCACAGATCTTTTTACATCAACAAAAACAGTGAAGAGCCTCTTCCATAAATAGCACGACTTTTATGCATAGCGTGGTCCGCTGCAAATAAAAACCATGATCAACCAAACACGAGCGTCTGGCAGTGCTTGCGCTTCCAGCAAGGCAGCGGGAAAAAAAGTTGTTCCGTGCTCCTGCGATATGTAGGTAACGAGAAGGAGCACCATCACCTCATAAGGTGGTGACCGACCTCGTGCGGTCTTCTGACCATCTGAAAAAGCGGTAAGTAACAAGGTCGTCGACGTCCACCCAGTCGTGTTATGAAACAAATATACTCGACGTCCAAAGATTCCCTTCACGATTTTCGTTTTGCTTTTTTCAGTCTGGTTGTGAAGACTGACGTAAAAAAACAAACTCAGACTTTTTTTCCTATAAGTGCTCTGTATTGGACACTCGTGGTCTTGTTCACTCGTCGCGTCACGGCTGTCTGTGAAAAAGATCGGGCTTTGTAATAGTTGTGCAAAGCCCTCTACTTACAGCTACGTCTTTTTTTCGTCGTCGACGGACGGCCCTGAACCCAAGAGCAAGAAGAGCGTATCTAACGTGGCTAATATTAAAAAGCTAGAGTAATTGTCAGGCGGGAAGTTTTTCGTACACGAGTTTTTGTTGTGGCTGTCCTGCTACAATCAAGATCAACATTGTGCGTTTTTTTTACGGACCTATCGTGGTGAGGAAAAGAGGGGGTAGGACGGATCACGTCCATGAGCAAGTCTTTTTTCGCACGTGGTGGAGCAATGTGAACAGCATTTTGGTGCTGTCGGAACGACCAGCAGTGTGCTGCGAAAGTGTGTCCTCTCAAAAATGAACCTATGATCCGTTTACAACAACAGCAGGGCCCTCCTGATGCTACGGAAGTTTTTCTTCGGTGCTACCACACAGATGAAGTATCAGTAAACGAATCTGAAAAACAAGAAGATGTGTTACTTGTACGCAACATGAAAAATTCTTCTGCTCTCTGAGCACGATATTAGACCAAGTACACCTTTTGCTTGAAAATATGGCGTCTTTCAGCACCGGAAGCGGAGGTGGGAACCGGCCTCCCACATGCAAGGACTCAAGCAGGAGCACGACGAGCGTGAAAAAAATCAACAAAAGTGCACCGCCTCAGCATCTCCCGCCCACCGCCTCTTCCGGTCGCGACTTGGAAACCGATTTGGCCGATTACCCGCGGGACAGCCAGACCGCCCTGGATATGACGCCCTCCGCCTATCGTTCCAAAAGAACCTCCAGTGACAGGAGAAATAGCCCCGATAACGCCGCGCCCGACAGTTCTTGCAGCGGAGGAACGCCGGGCCAGGGAGCAGCCCCTGGAGCAGTAGGACGGAGTAGTGCTTGCAGTGCTTGCACTGGTGCAGCAGCGCCTCCACCTTCTGCTTCACTATTACAGCAAAGAAGTTCTAGCTCAGCCACCTTCAATGGGAAGACTACAGGGGCCGTCGGAAGTTGTAGTGGCACCATCGAAGTTCCTGGTGCACAAAGCGCCGCCTGCAACACTTCCTCAAGGACTACTTCAACTAGTAATGCAGCTTGTCCAGCAGCTCCTCTAAATTCAGGTGGTGGACCCGGTGCACCACCACCAGCGGCGAGTGGTGGTTGCGCCCCCGGCCTGAATGCAGCAGCCCAAGAAGAAGATGGCGATGATACGAGCAGTAGCGCATCTTCGAAGAAAATAACAACTAGCAGCAACTCTACATCTCCCTCTACAGCCTCCGCATCTACTAGCAGTAAAGATGCTGCAGCAGCAAAACCCAAAAAATCCCGGCTGCCTCGCGACGGCTTCGCACCCATTGGGAGTTTTCGGGACCCGGAGCCCGACAGCGCGGAGAGCACGCAGCAACTCCTGCGATCTTCCATCGAGTTGTCCCCCGCCGAGGGACAAAACGTGCGACAAACCTATTATTTCCGCGCGCGAAAGGAAAACCTGAAAACGCCGCCAAACGGGGCGCACATTTTCGGGGGGCAGATTCTGAGCCAGGCACTGCATGCTGCCAGTGGCACGGTCGACCAGGTATATTTGGATTTTCATTTTTCACAACTCCTACGAGAAATATTGCAGCTCTTGCTCTTTGGTATGTAGTGAGGTCACGAACGTTCTATCCTAGCGGTTTTTTTGACATGCAGCACGCAAAACGACCGGCAGTTACCAAGCGGGCGGAAGTGTTTTTGGATATAAAAAATTTTCAATTATCAAGCAGCCGGGGCTTTGCCGTCAAACAAGCCCGGTCGAAAACTATCGATTTCCGCTTGATAAAACGACGCAGGGGAGCCGGCAAAAGGGGCGCCCTTCTGAGGCGCCCACCGCCTTAGTTTCTGGCGATTTGGGGCGCCCAAAAGGGGGCGCCCAAAAAGCAGCACTCCGAAAAAAACAGCGAATCCGCATAGTATGGGCCTCATTTTGGCCCACATTCGGGCCGCGCAAAAGAGGCCACCAAAATCCGCCATTTCAGAGGCGGACTGAAGGCCAGGAGATGCGGCATTTTGCCAAAAAGAAAACAAAAAAACAAAGTCCGCCAAAAGGAAAAAGCCAATCCGCATGCTATGGGCCCGATTTGGGGCTCCCAAGGGGCCGACCCTTGCGGGGGCCCTTGCGTGGCCATAGCATGCGGTGAAGGTTTTTCGATTCGAAACCAAGTGGCGGCCTGTTCTGGGCCGACATTTTTAGCGACCGCCGTGCCGTCGCGCATAACATTACTCACGATGGCATGGTGGGCAGAGAATTCGTGCCATTTTTTGGCGTGAAGACAAAAAAACCGCCATGACCTCACTACCCCCGCGGACGCGGCTATTATTGGTATATTTTGGGCTGACAAGAAACTTCTGACTCAAAATGACACTACGGGAACAATTACATGATGCCAAACGTCAGATATAATTCACAGTAGACATCAATCTCCATTACCATTTCGCGACCACGTTGAAAAAAAACAATCCTCAGCGCAAAACCGCCCACTCGTTGCACGCGTACTTTCTGGGAACGGGGTCGCTCTCGGAAGACCTAACGTACCGCGTGCGGGTGATCCGCGACGGCCGGTCTTTTTCGACGAGATGCGTGGACGCGCTGCAGAAGGTATTGTGAGGAAAAATCCCCCCTCCCCATATCAAAACGGAAATCTGTGATGCAGATTTGCAGTTACAAATCAGCTTAGTCATGCTAGAAGGGTGGAAAAGATGCGGACTGTAGTGCTGGGGGGCGTGGGGAAGCCTTGCATCTTCAGCATGACAGGAAGCAACTGGAAGTGGGAAACAGCATTGCAAATTACCTGCAAACGAGGTCACAACTGCGGCTCTTGGCCTTCTAGCACTACAAGTCGATTTGTGTACCCAAATACAGCATCACAAGTTTCGTGTTTGATATGGGGTGGGGGGATTTTTCCATTTAATAGAAGGGCAGGGTGATTTTCTCGTGCATTGTGTCCAGTCAGGCAGCAGAGGAAGTGGGAGATGGCACACGCACCACAGCTGCATCTAGTAGTACCAGCAAAGCTGCAATAAAAGGAGGAGGTGAAAGTGCTGCACACTACCCTGAGGACATCTTTAGCGGCACCGATAGTAGAACAAGACCAAATGGCACTCCACGACCTCCTGCTCCTTCCGATTCCTACTGCGAACAGTTCCCGGCGGATGTGCTGGCGGTATTGCAGCAGGGGAAAAACAAGACCCACGATCTCGATCCCACGCGCGCTGCTGTTCCGCCGACTGAAAGAGCTGCAGGTGGGATGATGGGCTCGGACGTCGGCAGGAGCAGCTTGATGCTCGACCACACAGGAGCTGCGTCATCTTCAACCTCCGACAAGGAAGAACTAGAGCAACGTGCCATCAACAGCCTGAAGCCATATGACGAAGTGATTTTTGCCTCGTTTCTGAAAGTGTATGGGAAGGACAAAGTAGACGTGGAGAAAAATACTAAGCACAACATCAAAGGAGCTCCTGCAGCGCCTAGCCATGACGCCGGAAGTTCATCTTCCACTTCCTCCACGACCCGTGTTGACGAGATCGACGTAAAAAACCACCGGGATTTCCGTGGCGGCCCCACGCCGCTGGACATAAGGCCAGTAACGATCCTATGAACTGCAAAAGTATCGTACTCGTATAATAAATGCATTACAAATTTCCTCAGCATGAGAAATAAAATTTGTAATGCGAATTTACCTTAAAAAGAGATTTGTAATGCTTGACTGCAATTACGAGTGCGATACTTTTGCACAGGATAGATCCTTTCCGATGACTGGCCCGGCGGGACCCGGGATAACCCTGGCAGGCTGGTGTGGTTTGTATGACACTCTCAGAATGGAAATCCTCAAAGTGGAAATAATTTGTGATGCATGAAATGCGACACCAAAAAGACTGCATTGCAGAGAACGCATTGGGGGCCGACTACTTATTGTGCTTCTACGGGTTCAGAATTGGGCTGCTGATTAGCATATGAGAACGGCACCCCTTTGCCTAACTAGCATGACAGACACGCTTTGAGTGCCCGGGAAATTTGTCATGCGCCGACTAGAAACGGCGCTCCAACTGGAAGCGTTTTTTTGCATTACAAATTATTTTCACTTTGATGATTTCCAACCTGAGGCTTTCATAGTTCGTAAAGACGAAGTACGGGATTGATGATGTGGTCTCGACGACGAGTGTTGCAGACGGGAAAAAAAATGTGGGTCTTGATCCATCAAATTCGAGCGAGAACCTCTACTCGCAGCACATGCTGTACCACCAGAGCGTTCTGGCACACATGACGGATACCAACCTCGCGCTCTGCGCGTTCGCACCGAACGGCGGGTACCATCGTCGGACCAGGAGAATTAAGAACTGCAAAAGTATCGTACTCGTATAAATGCATTGAAAATAAAATTTGTAATGCTGATTTGCCTTCAGAAAAAAATTTGTGATGCAAGACTTGCATTTATACGAATGCGATGCTTTTACACAGGATAAGAGTCAAAAATATGGTCTCGCTCGACCACGCTTTGTGGTTTCATGAGCCCTCCTTCCGAAGTAGTTTTCATTTTTCCGAGCAGCGGCACATGTTGAACGGACAAACGCAAACCACGCAAGCGACATTACATAGTACAGAAATAAGAGACATCAACGTGGGCATCAAAGAGAAAGACGCCTGGAACTGGCGGGCGGACGAATGGTTGTTGTTCGATTGTAGCTGCTATCCTGCAGAAAAATGGTCCCTCTTGTCAACAGTCCGCATGCAGTATTACGATTTAGAATTCTGTAGTTTCTGCGCAAGGACGAGGAACGCACGTTCACGGAAAGAAGGAAATTTGTTTTGCGAGGTGGCGGGCTCCTAAAGTCTGTCAATACGGTTTGGGTGGACGAGCTACAGAAAATTAATAAATGCAACAACCGAAATTATAGGTAGGCTTTGTAAGTCTATATCCACTTGGACTTTTGCATCATAAGACCTTTGTAGATGATGACAGTTTTTCTACTACAGGATAGCTGCTATTCCATCGGGAATGCGAGAGCGATGGTCAGAGGGCAAGTGTACTGCGTCCGGACGAAGAAGCTGATAGCCAGCTTGGCGCAGGAACTGCTATTGCGGTTCGATGTCGGCGGAAATAAAGGAACAGGAAGTGGGAGTGGCACAAGTGGAACCACGACGAATAAAACAGGTCGCGTATCGCCGCTGAAGACCAACGGGAATAGTCAAAGATGTCAAGAGCAACACATTGGGCCGAATGGACCTGGTGCTGGTCGTGGAGAGCAGCATGACAGTCGTTCTGATCAGGCGAGCGGGGGGCTTGTTGCACTACAACATAAAGAACTAGAGGAGCAGCATCTAAATCATGATGGTGATCCGGGGGGCTTTGGCAGCAGGAGAGTAACTTCGTCACGTCTGTAGTCATTCTTGTGTACTAGCTGCGCTGACAACTCTTGACCCAGTTCTTACTCCAGCAATGGCAGGAAGACCGCTGTCGCCCCTCTTCGCGTCCGCCCTGCCGGTCGCGGCCACAATGGAATGCAAGCTTGCGCCGGACGATCAGCAAACTCTGCGCGGGGCGGTCAGGAGCAGGGAAGACCGAGGACGAGAGGAACAAGTGCCCCGCACTGTAGCGCGAACAATGCAATATCGCGGCAGAAAAAATACGAAAAGCAGCGCGACGGCCCAAGTCCTCGAGAGCAAGGAACTACTCCAGGAAGAGGAATCTCGTGCTGGCTCGGTAACTGCACTTGTGTCATCCCTGCTGTTCATCACGAAGTGTACTTCCGTTGTAAGCGATTTCGTTTTGGACCACTGACTGCTGTTGAATCTTCGATCAGTGTGTGCAAGAACATATCAAGTGTAAAAGTGTCTGGGTATGGAAGACGCCCAGAAAAGCGCCGCAAATGCATGCTTTTTATTTGCGTGAGATTTGCGCGAGATTTGCGCGAGATTTCCAAAAATATTAGGAATATTGCCAAATCCGTTGAAAGTTCCTGAATATTAACAATATTGCCAAGGCGGGCAGCTTCTTGAGGCGAGAACCCCCTCCGTGAATATTTTCAAGTATATTCGCCAAGAAATATTCCTGAATATTAATAATATTGCCAGCTCGGGCAGCTTTTTGAGGCGAGAACCCCCCCCGTGAATATTTTCAAGCATTTTCGCCAATAAATATTCCTGAATATTAATAATATTGCCAAATCGGGCAGCTTTTTGAGGCGAGAACCCCCTCCGTGAATATTTTCAAGCATATTCGCCAATAAATATTCCTGCATATTAATAATATTGCCAAATCGGGCAGCTTTTTGAGGCGAGAACCCCCTCCGTGAATATTTTCAAGTATATTCGCCAANCACGTCTGTAGTCATTCTTGTGTACTAGCTGCGCTGACAACTCTTGACCCAGTTCTTACTCCAGCAATGGCAGGAAGACCGCTGTCGCCCCTCTTCGCGTCCGCCCTGCCGGTCGCGGCCACAATGGAATGCAAGCTTGCGCCGGACGATCAGCAAACTCTGCGCGGGGCGGTCAGGAGCAGGGAAGACCGAGGACGAGAGGAACAAGTGCCCCGCACTGTAGCGCGAACAATGCAATATCGCGGCAGAAAAAATACGAAAAGCAGCGCGACGGCCCAAGTCCTCGAGAGCAAGGAACTACTCCAGGAAGAGGAATCTCGTGCTGGCTCGGTAACTGCACTTGTGTCATCCCTGCTGTTCATCACGAAGTGTACTTCCGTTGTAAGCGATTTCGTTTTGGACCACTGACTGCTGTTGAATCTTCGATCAGTGTGTGCAAGAACATATCAAGTGTAAAAGTGTCTGGGTATGGAAGACGCCCAGAAAAGCGCCGCAAATGCATGCTTTTTATTTGCGTGAGATTTGCGCGAGATTTGCGCGAGATTTCCAAAAATATTAGGAATATTGCCAAATCCGTTGAAAGTTCCTGAATATTAACAATATTGCCAAGGCGGGCAGCTTCTTGAGGCGAGAACCCCCTCCGTGAATATTTTCAAGTATATTCGCCAAGAAATATTCCTGAATATTAATAATATTGCCAGCTCGGGCAGCTTTTTGAGGCGAGAACCCCCCCCGTGAATATTTTCAAGCATTTTCGCCAATAAATATTCCTGAATATTAATAATATTGCCAAATCGGGCAGCTTTTTGAGGCGAGAACCCCCTCCGTGAATATTTTCAAGCATATTCGCCAATAAATATTCCTGCATATTAATAATATTGCCAAATCGGGCAGCTTTTTGAGGCGAGAACCCCCTCCGTGAATATTTTCAAGTATATTCGCCAATAAATATTCCTGAATATTAATAATATTGCCAACTCGGGCAGCTTTTTGAGGCGAGAACCCCCTCCGTGAATATTTTCAAGTATATTCGCCAATAAATATTCCTGAATATTAATAATATTGCCAACTCGGGCAGCTTTTTGAGGCGAAAACCCCCTCCGTGAATATTTTCAAGTATATTCGCCAATAAATATTCCTGAATATTAATAATATTGCCAACTCGGGCAGCTTTTTGAGGCGAAAACCCCCTCCGTGAATATTTTCAAGTATATTCGCCAATAAATATTCCTGAATATTAATAATATTGCCAACTCGGGCAGCTTTTTGAGGCGAAAACCCCCTCCGTGAATATTTTCAAGTATATTCGCCAATAAATATTCCTGAATATTAATAATATTGCCAACTCGGGCAGCTTTTTGAGGCGAAAACCCCCTCCGTGAATATTTTCAAGTATATTCGCCAATAAATATTCCTGAATATTAATAATATTGCCAACTCGGGCAGCTTTTTGAGGCGAAAACCCCCTCCGTGAATATTTTCAAGTATATTCGCCAATAAATATTCCTGAATATTAATAATATTGCCAACTCGGGCAGCTTTTTGAGGCGAAAACCCCCTCCGTGAATATTTTCAAGTATATTCGCCAATAAATATTCCTGAATATTAATAATATTGCCAACTCGGGCAGCTTTTTGAGGCGAAAACCCCCTCCGTGAATATTTTCAAGTATATTCGCCAATAAATATTCCTGAATATTAATAATATTGCCAACTCGGGCAGCTTTTTGAGGCGAAAACCCCCTCCGTGAATATTTTCAAGTATATTCGCCAATAAATATTCCTGAATATTAATAATATTGCCAACTCGGGCAGCTTTTTGAGGCGAAAACCCCCTCCGTGAATATTTTCAAGTATATTCGCCAATAAATATTCCTGAATATTAATAATATTGCCAACTCGGGCAGCTTTTTGAGGCGAGAACCCCCTCCGTGAATATTTTCAAGTATATTCGCCAATAAATATTCCTGAATATTAATAATATTGCCAACTCGGGCAGCTTTTTGAGGCGAAAACCCCCTCCGTGAATATTTTCAAGTATATTCGCCAATAAATATTCCTGAATATTAATAATATTGCCAACTCGGGCAGCTTTTTGAGGCGAAAACCCCCTCCGTGAATATTTTCAAGTATATTCGCCAATAAATATTCCTGAATATTAATAATATTGCCAACTCGGGCAGCTTTTTGAGGCGAAAACCCCCTCCGTGAATGTTTTCAACTCAAGCACATTCGCGAACATACTCGAAAATATTCACGGAGGGGGTTCCCGCCTCAAAAAGCTGCCCGACGGATTTGGCAATATTCCTACTATTTTCTAAATCTCGCGCAAATCTCGCGCAAATCTCACGTAAATAAAAGCGACGCACTTCCGGCGCTTTTCTGGGCGTCTTCCATACCCAGACACTTTTACATTTGATAGAACATCGATCCAAAATTGTGTGTGCCTTATTCGACATCTTCTAGCACTCCGTCGACTTCGACGGACTTCTGAGAAGCGTAACATGCCGCGTCCCTTATTTGATATGGACAGCTGACACAGACACTGACATCACACAGCTCTTTCTCGTGAGTGGTGGGGATGCCATGCAGTTTGTATTTGTGTTCCAGCTCACCTTCAGAACTACTAGCTCGAAGTAGTACTAGGTACGTAGAAAACTAGAAACTCGCTGCTGGGACATGTTGATCGTGGAATTTATATTTGTCGTGGCAGTCGTCAAAATCGTAGTCGTTTTGATGTTGACCGTGGTGAAAATGTTGAGGAAGTCGAAATTTTTTAGTTATCACCAACATTTTATCCACCTGGGTCAGGAACTACAACTAGAGCGACGTTGGTGCCGGGGTCGTTCTTCTCATTGGTCACAGTCGTTTTCTGTATGTGTGCTAGTGCTCGTATGTGGATTGCAAGTTCTTCAAAGAGTAAATTAGTGCCTCTGCACCTCTTGCTTCAATCGTGGGCCGTATCGTGTGGAGACTGACCAAGCTATGCCAAAAATTTTAGGCTTTTCCTGCTCGCAACCGATCGTAGTACTGGCGTCTCGTGATAGCGGCTTCCTCTTCCTCATCAACAACAATAAGCTGTGCTCCTTTTTCTTCACGATTTTCTCCATATTTTTCTCGTCATTTTTTTCTTCATCTTTATGTTTATGTTGATTGTATCTCGAGCGCGTTTTTTCTTTTTCACGAGATAAAAAAATTAAAAACTAGTAGAATGCTGTGAACCGTACAACTAGACGTTGAAGTAGTTCAGCTTCATTTTATTGGCCAGACGGTAGGTGATTTTTTTCATCATGCCCCCCAGACGCAGAACGTCGTATGGAAGTAATCCTACTCCACCTGCAGCTGCAACCCCGAGGAGCAGCGGTTCTGGGGCGCATCCCGGCAACGGCGGGCAACATCAACCGCGTGGAGGTGCAAGAGTGCAATCACCCACGACGACTGGCGCCCATCACACGACCACGGGAGCACGAGCGGGACACCAGCAGCATGGTGCGGCTGGAACACAGCGGCCCTCCCGGGAAGAAAAACCAGGAAGCAACCCCACCATGATGGATAGAATGAGTAACCTGCTTAATGGGAATAGCGCCGCGGCGGGGAGGACGGCGAGCACGGCGAGAGCAGCTGCTCCTGCTTCAGCAGCTGCCCCGGGGCAACAAGTACCGGAAGTAGATGACAGCAGCTTCCAGCATAAGAGCGATAAGGAGTACGAACTGGGCGTGGACATAAAGAGGCGCATCGCGCAGTTCTTTGCGACATCAGAGGACCCTACCCACGTGAAGAACGCCGAAGCGCAATCAACGGCTGCGAAGCTGGCCACCGAGTACTGGAAGTGGGCGGCAAAGTCACGAAAAGTGAAATCCATTACCGAAGCGATAGTCCACGACTTCAAGGACGCGCGGTTTGCCCAGCTGCAGTATTTTCGAAAGGAATTCAGCGAGGGATTTTACCACACCTTCCTAGCGCATAACAAGCATGGAAGCGGGCGGAACGGGCACTCTCACCATCATCGCAACATCCGGCATGTGTTCGAAACGGATTTATGCTGCGAGAAAAAAATGCTACAGTTAATAAACCCAAGTACACTCTAGTATCGACTCCAACAACTGCAACACGAATGCGTGACGCATGACAAGAAACTACTAGACTTGCAATGCGATTGCTGCTGTAGGCTGAAAGGGGATCTACATCTACTTCGCAAAGAGGATTGTCGTTATCCATTGTCATGAAGCTATGCTTCCTCTGAATGTCTTGCATGATACAGCTTTATCCTCTACTTGCCGGTTTTAATGCGTGTTTTGCAACTGCTAGGTGCTTCGCAGAAATATTGTGCTGCTAGCTATAGCTTTTTTTTTTTGTTTCATAGGGCCCCGACAAGCTGTACTCGGTTTCTGAGTTGGTGAAGAAGTACTCCGAACCGGTGACGCACCTAGTCGTATGAACTGCAAATGTATCGTACTCGTATAAATGGATGCATTACAAATTTTCTCAGCATAAAAATTTGCAATGCTGATTTGCCCCTTTGACAAAGAAATTTGTAATGCTGCAAGACCTTCCTGCATTTAAATTTATACGAGTACGATACTTTTGCACTGCATAAGTCGGTATGTTTGTCGATGAACTGGGAAAGCAAAAGAAGAGCGGACACAACTTTGTCGGAAATCGAGTCGACGCATTTCCTCACGAACAAGTACCCACCTTGAAGCAGGGCTTGCGAACGTCCGCGGGTCTAAGCGCGGAAGGAGTGCAAAAACTCCTCTGGAGCGAGCTTATTCCCCAGCACGACGCGGACGCGATTCTACACGGACACCGCCTCCCCATCGACTACGCTGCAACCCACAAGCAGGTTTTCGACGCGGCCAACGCGATCACCGAGGGGCGACTAAGCGAACAGATAGTGCACGACTCCCACGACTATCAAGAACAAATTAAGAACCATAAGCACAAGCAAAAAGAGTGGCGGCAATTGAAACGCGAAGGAAAAGCTGATTTATTAATGCGCGAAAAATTCGCCAACAACTACTGGGCAACCTTCCTTGACTTCAAGCGCCGCTCCTTGTCGTATTTTGCTGATGAACTAGCATCAAAAAAGGAGGGAAAGAGCAACGAAGACCCGCCGGATGTTCATAGCCGGAAGCACGACCTGTTTCACCACAAGGACAACGCACTGAAACTGAAGCTGTACCAAGCGCTAACCAGTCGGGCGCTGAACATTCGCGTAGAGGTTGGGTATTCGAACAAGGGCAAATGGTCCGACATCCAGCGAGACGGTGATCAAAAAGGACCGCCTACGCTGGCGAACTATTGGGAGAAGAGACTTCCTCCGCAGCAGTTCGGGTCAGCTGTGTCCTCGATGTTACGCGAGGAAGGTTACCAGGCCGAGCAAGCTGGAAAGCATTTGCGGCGCTTCGAACCGATCCTCCAGGAGATACTACCAGGACCCACGCCGGAGGGTAGTCCTAGTCGACTGGAACCAAGTCGTCTTACCGACGGTGCGCGAGAGCAGCTGGGAGTAACACAAGAGGACCCCTACTGGTACGAATACAAACCCTTGCCACCGCAAGTGCCCGAGAAGTACCCAGCAATGCCCGAGGAGCTAGCGCACAAAGTCACAGAGCAGTTGCAAAAGAGACAGCGAGAAGGGCGACGCTTATCCGGCCCTTCCCCCGGCTGTCAGTTTTATGGAGGCGTCAAGGTCGACATCGACACAGGTGAAAAAATATGTCATCGTCATGCATAAGTATTAAAATCTCAATCCCAGTCCGGCTCCCAGTTTCTTCATTGGCGCATGACATATTCTGGCAGCACCGACATCCAATTTGTCATGATATTTGGCGGCCACAGAAGACTCCGACTTCTTTTGTCTCGCTACTTCACTTAAAGCGATCGCTATCTGGTGCCAACAAGAACAGGTAGAGGCGTAGTCGCAGAAGATTTGCATCCACTTGCCCTCGACGCTGCAAGACTGGTATTTATTTTTATGCATCGCAGAGCAGTTCAACTTTGCCGAAGATTCGAAGCCTGACGCCCCCATGCGCTTGGAGGTGATCGTGACAGGGCCAGCACTTCTTTCTTCGCCTTTGACGATCGGGCTCCAGACCAACAAGTAACCGCAGGCGGGCAAGGACAGCTCACCGCACTTTCGGACGAAAACGACGTCGACCTGCTGGAGCATGATCTTCATCAAGTAGTGCAAGCGTCATCGTCACTTCTGGAGGAAAATAAGAGCAGCAACAGTACATCCACCACTGCCGAGATCCAGCAGAAGGAGAAGATCTCCAGTGCCGGGGAGCTGCTTGATTCGTCAGCAACTTCTACAACATCTTTGGGGACGTCCCTGGCCCCAGCCAACCAACACGTCCACGAGGGAGGTTCGCCGGCAGAACAGCGCTCTACCGCGGCAGAGAATAGTCCTCCTGCAACTAAAAATGAGAAAAACGAGAACAGCCGCGGGGACGACGATCACCGCTTGAGTCGCAAGTACGAGTCAATGGAACAACACCAGGTGAAGAAGGTAGCTGGCACAATTCCTACTTCGCCAGGACGCCGGCAGAGGGAACAAATAACACACATCTCCACGAGGCCCAGAAAGCTGCGGGAGAGCACCAAACTCCGTATTAAGCAGGAGGATGGGATTCCAGTCAAACAGGAGAATGAATTAGATGATGCTGAGCGTCACGACAGGACCGTCATGCCTCAGCCCCCGGCGATCATTTCCCCAGGTATTTTATTGCTTCGGCAAATGCATTCAAATCTTAACAACGCAAGTCACTCTTGGCTACAGCAACTCGCACACCACAAGATGGGGGCATCGGCATGCTCGCACTTTTTTTCTCCCTAGCCACCACGCAGCGTCTGTCTTCTTCGTTAAGGAAGTCGATTATGTTTCATTGTTGTGATGAAAAGTAATTGCATCTCAAATGATCTCTTCGCAGGACGACACACGGACTACACCGAGGGCTACAAGGACGATGAGAAGGATCACGCGCTAGCGCTTGCGCAGCCATCAGAAAATACCTCTCCGATGATCGACGCAGCTGATATGCTATTTCAAAGCAGCACCATCACCCTGTATCAAGAACATCAATTTGTGACGATGTTGCGAAACATCCTAGTTACGTTGTACAGTGCCTAGTACTAGTACTAGTACTACCTGCACTTTTTATTCTGTATGTACTATGTAGTAGTTATTTGTGTGATGAGTTGTAATTATGCATGGGTGATCGTAGCTGCCATTTCACGCGGGATAGTACCTCCACGGGACGATCATCTGCTCACCAGCGAAACGGATTTGGACACCAGCGAAAGGACTGCTCCCTCCACCATGACAAGCTGGTTTAACGACCTGGAAATCATGGCGGGTGTTGATCCCCATGCTGGGCGGCTATCGACGTCTCCTGCGATTAAAGTGGCGTCGTCGGGCGAACAGAGTGGGACGTGGACGAGGGAAAATTCTACTAGGTCTATCACTATCACGCCGCTTTCGTCGTCCCATCAACAGGTTGGTGATCATCACCCTGGAGGTCGTCGTCCCTCTGTGGTGTTACCCGCCAGCACGAGTTCCTCATCAGCCGAAGATCAGGTGGCACAGCAGACGTTGATGCTCGGCTTCGCTTCCAAATTCCTCGCGGTCTTTTCACGGTTTTTGGTAGCGACTGGCTCCTCCTCAAGCTCCGACGACGAACAGCAGGCCTCCTCTCCGTTTGGCCCGCGCGTGGTATGATAGTGGACAACTAGTTCTAATCCTGTAGATTTAGAGCGTTTGCATGGCAGGTGGAGCAGCATTAGAACAAACAAACAAAGCAGCCTATACTGCATGACGAATTTATACCCCGACCCAACTACGGTAGTGCGCTTATTTCTTCGAGTACCGTTGCAGCTTGTCATGCAAGTCTTCCAAGTAGTACAAGGGGCCCTGGATATTGCGTGGTAGAATACCAAACAAGAACAACCAGGACGAGCTGGAGATCGACAGGCGAGTTGTTCCGTATCATACGCGATGCTCCCGGCGGGGATGTTGTACAGCGACGCCATCGCGTATCGCAAGAAAAAAACTGTTTCACGAGGCACAGGAGGCAACGCGGAGGAAGTGTTTGTCTTGCTTCTACACATGCAGAATGAAAAACTTGTGATGCGAACAAACGTGCAAATAATAGATACATCATCACAGTGAAACGCCTTTTTCTTTACGATATCGGGTGCTTGCTGTTGATCATCATCTTTTTCTGTGGTCTGGTTGCGGCCGTGAAGGGGTGCAGCTCCAGTTGTAGTACTTCCAGTAGATCAAGAACGTCGTTGTTCGCCTCGAACAGTCGCAGCTGTCGCGAGCCGCACGGGACGAGGGAGGAGGAGGAGGAAGAGACGCAGCTTATCGCACGACAGAAGAACTTCTTTTGCAACAGCTGCAAGGTGCTGGACTACAAACACTCTTCGGGTTCGGCGTTGATGAAGAACCACGACGATGAAAGTAGTTTTTCCACAACTTGTACGACAACTATCCTGGTGTTCTCTCTGTGCAACAAAACCGCGGTCGCAGTCGGAATTTTGGTTTTCGTCGGGTTCAGCTATTTTGCGGCCACAATGCCGGAAGTACTGTTCGGAAATGATCGGCAATTATACGGGCAGCAACGAAAATTCCTCGGGGAGCAGCTCGTCTATGCGTTGCAACTAATTGTAATCTGGGTCTGGAAAAGTGTTGTTTCTATTGCGTGTCCTCTTGTTGCACTTGTGCTTGTCCCAGAAAAAAATCTACTCTGCATTGCGTGCGGTGGACCGGGAGGCAGCGCTGAATTCTTCGTCATGCAAGACAACGCTGGCTGTAATCTGGTGTGCGGGTGGACGCACGACTTCACTTGAAACAACAACAATTTAAGAAAGTACTTATCCACACTCCAGCATAACAAGGTGGTTCTTACCAGACCCAGAACGATACTTGCACTTCATACGGCCACCCATACTGCGACCGCTGCGGTGCTGTTGTTTTTATCCTCTGAAAAATTGTCGAAATCGTGCCCATCTACGAAAGTTTGTCATGCCAGAATCAATCAGAATGACACGACAGCTAGAATTTTTTATGCGTCATGTGCATGACCAGGTAGGTGTTGAAGATGGCCGCGATTTTGCATAGCATAGCAGTTCCTCATGCTGTACTACGTGTTAAACAGACACCACGCGCGGCGTCTGCATGTTATGAGAGTGCACAACTGTCCTCCCTCGCTCTCATTTGTATTTGGCATGAACAGCAATACGAACACCAGCTGCGCACGTGGAGCCTATGCATGACAAACTAATGTGCCCGATGCAGTGCCGTTCCGGCTTCCGGAATCTGTCGTGCAAACAGTGCAGCAAGGGGGGAGTGACTGGACTATGGGGTTTTGCATGACAAATCAAGGGGACGAAGGGCGGGAGTTGTGCCCCGTCATACATGTCAAAAATGAACGAGAAAATGGAAGCAATCCGGTGCTTTCCAAATACAACAAATCCACACTCCACCACAATGTCTAGTCCTACAGGGCAGAAAAACCTCATGTTTAATTCGGAGAAGTTGAAGCTTTTCATTTCGGGACTTTGCTATAATTACAGTAGTTGAGTTTGGTCGCATCCCATGTTCGTGGTTTCACTCTGACAATTTATCGATTTAGTTAGTTTTAGCTTTTTGTGATTATCCGCGTTTTTCTCTTTTTCATTTTACGCACAGCTTATGTTTCAATTTCATGATAGTACTCAGCCAGCATTGATGTTGTTGAAGTTTCAACTTTATGAGAAAAGTCAGGCTATTAATGTAGGCATCGCTATCACACTCACACATCTTCGTCCTCGTCAATGTATAATAATGTTGACAAATTTCAATTTCAATTTGAGAAAAGCTAATCAATGCGAGCTAGCAAAGCGATAAACTTTATTTGCCAGTGCCAGACTGGCGGAAACAGTTACCATTACCATTAGAAGCGACCTCGAGCAGCTCCTTCTTCGTTCAATTGGGACGACGACGAAGCAAGCAGCGTCTTCTTGCAATATTACCCAAACTGGAACTACGAGAACGTTGTGGAGGTGGTCATACGCTTGCTGCAACAAGCTGCACGACTTTGTCCAGGGCCAGAGGAAATGTTTCGAGGAGGAAGACGTTTGGCTCAGTAGACTCGCACCCGTCGGCCTGTGTGACACATAGTATGTATCGTCTTGAAGTTTCGTTTTCCTTGCCCGTCAGAGATGAAATTCAAATTCTAAACACCGAATAAAGTCGCAACCTGTACAAGCTGTCTCTGTTGGACACAGTAATGGGCGTGGATAGACACATCAACTTTTAGTCCCGTCGCGCACGGAACCTGTGACTGTGTCTGTGACTGTGGTGGCAGAATGTTGATTGAAGATGAACTGTGTGTCGGTAGTGCTTCATGACCATTATTTCGGTTGCTCCTTGAAGCTGCAAAGTTAAAAGTCGTGCATGGTCGGTCGTGGAACATCAACAAAGCGAGTTGATTTTTACTTTTCTCAACATCGGTGGTCCCCGTGTTGGTTAGGTTCGGTTCATTGATCTCTTGCTGGATGATTTCTGTCATGCTCGTAATCACCGCTTGCGTGGTTATTTTTTCTCGTGTGGCAAAAATTAGATTCGGTCGATTTGGTGAGCATCAAGAGTGGAGATGAGCCACAGCCTACTTCTTGTCGGTCAACGTCGTATATTGATTCGCGATTTCTCATCTGGTCGTGGTCGGTCTGGTTTGACACCTCCTGAGGACTTGAAGAAAGACAAAGATCAGCATTTTGAATTATCTATAAAGGTAACTTTGATTTCCGTCTATGAATACTCGCTCATGATCACAGGACGCGAATTACCCCATCGCGGACAGAGTGCATGATACATATTGCATCTCTGTTCTTAAGTGTCCCCTGTGTATGTACCTATTCAACACTTGATTTTATTAATAATTTCTTGAAATAAATAAGTAAGACAAACATTCTGTACGGCATGATGCGCGTCGCCAGGCCACGTATTGCCTTTCTTCTGGGTGTGGCCTGTGCGACCAGCCCGGGTGGTGTTGACGTTGTGGTGATGGGCCGCAAAGTGGAGACGCGGACGCAAATCCAGCAGCAGAAGCTGGAAGTCGAAATGCAGAAACTGGGCACGATTACGCCCGGTAACGACGCGTCACACGAATGCTACCAGGGAGAAAACCCTCCCACCCCGATCAAAAAAGACTTCGGAGGATGCGATGGCGGCGAGAGGTGCAAGTTTCTGTGCAAGGGTTTGGTCAGGGAATACAACGAGAAGCATAAAAATGACATGATCACATGCCAATCGCACGACGGCGCTGCGGGTCCGGACAACGCCTCGGCGGACATGAAGCACGGGTACACGCCGACCGTGGATTGTGCGAACGACCCAGGGTACAACTATCGCCAGGAAAGCTGTCTTCGTGCAAGATCTTTTGGACATTCATTCAGCAGCTCAGACGGACATGGAAGATGATACGCGACGCGTCAATATCAAAGATCATGAGAAGAGCACACGATCAAAAGCCATCTGATTTGTTTTTTTCTTGCATGTCGAGCTAGCATCACGAAAAATCATCGCAAGAGGGAACTTCAGTCCAGTGCACAAAAACCTGAGACGAAGACAGTTCTTTCTTCCCATGACCCTGCAGCTAAGACGAGCAGTTCGGCGGGACCAGCCAAAGAAGCAGAAGGTGAAGCTTCTGTGCAAAACTTGTGAGCCGTACCACGAGATCATCAGGTACAAAAAAACTTCCTTCAGCTCCAATCTTCGAGCAGGATTTTTTACTTATTTTTTTTTATTTTTTTGCGTTCGTCCCGGTCACGCACAACGAGTTGCGCAAGTAACCAGACGAAGGCACTCAGTAACAGTATCGTTTGTCTCGAGGGCGTGTTCCGTGTTTTCTTGCTTGTGTCTCTTTTGAAGCTTCTCACTCCTCCATACCTGCTCAGGCATGATCATGATGGCGATGGAAGATGCATTTGCATGTGGATTGATAATTAGGGGGAAGACAATGATAAACCGTAACCGCAAACCCCAAAAAATACTTTACCAGGAGTCGCGGCGATGAAAAAACTCGAAGATAAATCATTGCCAAAGTTTTGCCAGCCGATTCCGGCATTAGGAGGTTGTCACGGCTGAAGTTTCCGGTGTTTCTGCAGTTCGCAGTTTTTGCAAGTGATTCACGAATTATTATATGTGATTTACATTTACTGAAGAATAAGAAAGGATAAAAGCCAAGTGTATGGCGTGGTCCATAAGAACCACATATGTTCGGCTTTTGACCGTCTCTGTTTCCTCGTGATGTATGATGTTTCCATTATTTGCAACTATTTCTATCTTGTAAACGCACAAGTATCGATGACTAGAACGCGTCACCTACACATTCAGTGAAAGAGAAGCTCAAAAAAAAAAAAAGAAAAACGATAAGGGTATACAACTAGGAATAGGATAAGATTAAGAACAGAAGTAGATACAACCGAATTTCTAGTAGTAAAACGAAGTAAATAAGTGTCTCCTCTGGTAGATTCTTTGTTTTCAATGTTTATGTTTGCGGGCTTCAGTTGTGTCGAAATTCTAATTTGACGCCGTGTCGCTCTCCTGTTTTTGTATGCAGCACACCTCGGAGACATTGCGAGATGGAAAAAGGTTTATTTTGCTGATCTTATCTAACAATCGCAGACGTGCAATTCTCGTTTCCGGTTGCTAAGATGAATCCGATCAGATACTTACTTCTCCGGGACACTCGCATGGATATTGTATTGAACCCCTCGACGTCTGCGAGGTTTATTTCTTTTCGCAGCCGACTATTGAGGCGGCTGAGGTGTTCGTTCTCTGTTCCCATTCGAGCAGGTCGATCTCGTCCCATTTTTCTCCAGTAAGTACGCGGGGCAGTATTGGAGGTCTCTGCCCTTGCCCTTGGATCCACACACATGAGGATCTGGTACGCTCGTGTCTGCGGCCTCTTTGATTTTGATCATGAAGATCACATCACCCTCCACTGCAATTATTATATCTGTTGCAGTTGCTTGGACGAGGAGGTGGTCGTAGTGAGGGTCTGGATCCGATCTGTATCTGTGATTGTACCTCCTCAGGAGATCCTGTGTGTGAAAAAACAAAGATTTTCCCAAAGATCCTATTGCGATTTGCCACTACTAGTGTGACAATGACATCTTCCTAACAACATCCGTTGCGTCCTGCAATCACCAAAAACGAGTAAACCAACATCACCAAATACACCAGCACCCGTCTTCTTCGATTTCTTCTTCTTCTCCGCCGCCTGTTATTCCACCCCTTCGGGTGCAACTTGCTCTGTAGTAGCGCGCAAGCAACGTATGTTCCTCTTGACTGGATCCACCTCGAGTAGGTCTTCTTGAATTGTAGATCATTACCACTTGATCAGAAGCGCTCCCAGTTCGACATGGTTCTTCAGCGGTTCCGACTATCAGGTTTCCGTTGTTTGATTTGCAAGAAGAAAGGAGCACAAATGGTGGCTAGACTACGAACGCCAACAGGCAGAACGAGAAACTAGTTGTTTCATCGCAGTCGTGGTTCATCAAGAAAACTACTTCATCCGAGCTAGTATACTACATCACAAAGTTATAAAAAAGCATCCCCAAAACCACGACCGGTTCACTACCGTTCTGCCCACGATTGTGTCGTCCTTTTTTTGTTTTCTAGAGCTTCGCGTTGTTGCTCTTGGTAGACTGGACGCACCTTCTGACTGCCATTTTTTGTAGATTTTGATTTATTTTTTCTGAAAAATTATACACCCAGACGAGGTAAACTAAAAGTTCCTAGCAGGAACAGCACGACGACGACGTCAGCATCCTCGCCCAACTCTACTCTTATCACAGCCGCGAAAACCAGAGTTCGAGCTCCCGCTCCAGCTTCACCGGAGACTCAACGGAAAATCTCCTAGACGTGTTGCCATAAGTAGTACGCGTTGTACAACCCTTATCGGCACCAGCCCTACGGCTACGTCGGCCAGCAGCGGTGGTAGAAGAGCTGCATAGAACAAGAAGAGGAGCTTCACACAAGCTAGAGAAGCAGTGGTGCTCGCAAAAAGATATTACACCGCTTCGTCACGACTCTTTCTGGGAACACGGCAGTTTACGTTCCATTCTCGACACGACGTTTTCCGCGTTGGAAGCTCTCGTCGAAGGAAACGAAGGAAACATTAAAGATTCGTCCCCTAGCAGGGCTCTACTACTCTAGAAGCGGAACAAGAACGAACAATAACAATTGATTTCTGGCGCTGGAGCAGCAACTGGAACTACACGAAGTTAGTAGCACTACGAGGCAGGATATCGCAAAAGAAAAGTGTTACAGTTACACATTGTGTTGCAGGACAAGCAAGTTCTGTCATGCCGGATATACATAGGAGCCTCGAGACCTAAGTGTTTTCCCGTAGGATTTCTGCATAATTTCATGCAGAGAAATTTGTGTTCTTGCTGAATTGACAACAAATGTGTAACTGTAACACTTTTTTCGTGGAATACAGGAGTGCTGACAGGACATCACATCGAACAAGGAAGATACGACCTCCACCTGCTGGTCGTGCTCCTGTCGCCCAGCATGACAAACATCAAATTTTCTGACCCGTCCGCCGGCATTTTTTCCCTGCGGTCGCGGATGAACACGACCAGCATGTTGACCAAGAAGATGTGGAACAATCCTTCGACTTTCTCCAGGGATCACGCCCTTCACTTTTCGCTGAAAACTTTCGTGTGCCGATTCCTCCTGCCCCTTTTCCTCGCCACGTCGTTGTTGACCGGCGAGGGAGTGTGGGCTACACCGGTTCAACTGCAGTTTCGCGGGGCTATGCAATGCAAAAGCATCGTAGTCGTACTAGTATAAATTGCATACACATCTTAGCCCTGCATTACAAATTGAATTTGTAATGCTGATTTGCCTTCAGAAAGAGATTTGTAATGCATAAATGCAATTACTACGAGCGCGATACTTTTGCACAGGATATCGGCGATCGAGGCAGAACTACAAGTGGACTACGACACGACGGAACTCCAGTTATCCTGATGTAGAGATAGAGAATCGTACCTGGTGGACCACTGTGTCATGCAATTACGCATGACAAAGTCATGTCAAACAAGACAAAATGAGTCTAAGTACTACCGTGCCTCCCGATTTAGCATTCCACGTAAGTAATAAATGACTCATACTGAGTGCCAAGAGGGACAAATCGGGTTGCTACGTAATGCGGTACTTCTTTGCGGTGCATACCACTTTCTGCACACCTTCGTGGAAGCCGAGGTGGGAAAGAAGTATGGTCCCGGAAAGCCGGCTATCAACCAAATAAAAAGTCGTGTTATCGTCACAGATTGCTGACGGTCGTCAGCTTCACAGATTGCAGCTATGCATGAAGAATGTATTTTGCTTAGCACGTATGCAATACAAATTCCAGTGATGTCTATCACCATCTACATCTTTCTACATCTTCATGCGTTCCTGCATGACATTCGTTGACGTTAACACTACTTTTTCCTGTGATACTGGCATCCACTGGCGGGTTGCATCTGCTCGTCGCCGCTGGTGATTCCGGACAGAAAACGGTGTTTAAGACCACGCCCCAGACCTTCAGTTCCGGCACGACTCCGCCTCAACTGCGCCGCACATTTATGAAAGCGACGTACTAGTATGGAAACCCGTAGTACCACGTTTAGTTGCAATTTGTCATGCCGTTTTTGCATTGACGAAGAGAAAATTTGAATTACGCATATTTTTACGTGAGGAGGTGGAGGCGGTGAGGGTACTTATTCCCATGATGCCTAATACTAGTAACTCTTGTACGCTTACCTAGTTGCTGCAGCCCTGACCACCGCCAACAAAAGTAAATTTGCGACGCTGGAGCGAGATCTGACATTTTGCTCTTTCTCATGCTCATCAGACAGCGACATGCTGCAAGAGCAAGAACAGCTGATGTTGGAGTTGGTGGTACTACCCTTGCGAACCATTCTTCCCGTTCATAACTCTGAAAGACCAGCTGCAAAGCGATTCCTCCGGGAGACACCTGGTGGAACAAATTGAGCAGTACTACGCGGGTGGTGCGCACCAGCGGGAGCCGCGACCTCCTGCCGTGGGCATTGTTCCCGGATTAGCGCTTCCCCCGGCGAGGACCGTCGGAAAAAGCAAGGATACCGGGAGGACTTTGTTCCAGCTTCCGATGGAGGTCAGACTGCTCGCCGAGAATGTTCCACCTCCGGACAAATCACGAGGATATCCAGGAAAAAACACCCATCTTCCCTAGTATCCAACTTGTCATGCAAAACATGCAGCAAATCCTGTGTTTGTCATGCAAAATCTGGATGAGGATCATGGGTCTTTTTTTTTTGGATAGAGGACGGGGGACTGCTAGCGCTAGTACCCCGACTGACTCCTGGGGCCCCGAGGGACCGCCGGTGTACACGGTATGAGCGGGGAAAAGTAGTTTCTCATCAACATCAATCAATTTCAATTTGCGATAACGTATGAACCAATGCAATCCTGCACAACCATCTTTTTTTTCAGGCGGCGCATTGATGACGCATGAAGAACGCTACAGATTGATAAATTTGGTGATCATGAGAAAGATTTTCCGCCGCTGCATACACGGACGAAGTGATCAAGTGGATGCGGGCCAATGGGTATTTTTCAGTACTTGCGCTACAAGAGCGGTAAGGATCGAAAACTAATGCAGCAACACAATGGAATGGTCCTCATCTTGATTTTTTCCTATTTCCGTGCTGCCCAACATATTGATTTAACAACATCAGATCCGCCTTACCGCCACCGACGGAATCGTACCTCGCAATGGTGGACCAGCAACGAGTATCCTGTGCAAGCATGTCGTAGACCGAGTGCGCGCAGCTGCTCTCAGCGAACACCATACAGGAGCGAGGTTTTTGGTCAGTTTGCTAACAAGCTTCGATCAGCATCATGAAAAAGAATAACGAACGATGAAACACCCGGAGTTTGTCATGCATGAAACAATTTTGTTTTTGTCAAGCAATCACCAGTGGCGTCGGTGCTGTTCCCGGAAGAAAATTTTTGTATGTTCTATTGGATATAATGGCATTCTTGCGGTGCATAGCGGGATGACATTCCGATGGGGATGTCGCCGAGCGAGTACGAGCGGTATGATCTTGATGCCTGGTGGGAAATTCTCCCAGGGGAAATGCTCTGCCATGTATTAAGAAGGTGCTGGCTTCTACAACCGGGAGCAGCACTCAGATGCATCATTTTTTTTTGTAAGCGGCGCACGACATCCAATTTTGCCGATGGATCATTAGCGTCAATCTCAATATGTTGTTGACAACAACAGTATTCTTAGCACAACAGTTGTGCTGATCATTAGCGCAACAGTTGTGCTGATGAATAGCACGAAGACTGTGACAAGCACTCCTGTCGTTCTCTCCAGTCACCTCTGGGCGTAAACACTAAACAGACACAGAGGACCTATAAATAAGTACGCACTTTTTACAAAGTTCCTTAATTTCCTTCTCCGCAGCGCAGAGACAGACTGAGACGGATTCTTCATGCGCTGCAAGTCATGTTCTGTCCCTCGCAAGGGCGATTTCCCACCGGGCGACGAATTCATAACGAGCGCCGGCAGCGCCGGCGTCGGGAGGAAAATAGTAGCCAGGACGATATCATGGGCAGTACGGAAGGAGCCCAAGTCGCCGGCGCAGAAGGAGGCTCGCGGCAGCAAACCGGATCGGGGTCCACCGGGGTTCATCGTCGAGGGCGGCCCTAGGTCGTTTATGTTGATCGGAATCCTAGTCCACTTAGTTTTCATTCGTGGAAAATGCTTAGAAAATCAAATGGTGTTGTAAGTTCTCAACTGTTTAAAGGAGTTCGCGCTGCACCTCCGCTTGTTGATACACTGCACTCGTTGATGTGGAAAATATTATATGTGAAAGATGATTTCATCTTATGTCGAGGAGCTCGAGATGCAATTAATACATTTACTTCCGTCTGGATGAACAAGGGCCGAGTTGGAGTTTTATTCGGTGCGCACCGAATGCGACTTTGCAGCTGAGTTACCTATTGCGAGAGAAAATGAATTCCAGCGGCTTTCTCGCGCGCCCGAAGATTTGCGTTGATTTTTGAAAGACCAGAAGAAACTATATACATAAAGCGTTGCTGCAGTACAAGACTACCATGTGTATGCACGACAAGGCAAAATCGATATTGAAGCACTAAAGCCATGAATCATGTTCCTGCCCGTCCTCGTGTAGTGGCACCATCTCCATCAAAAGGGCCGCGCATTTAAGAAAATCAGATCGATGAGTCTGTGTTTGATTTCTGCAGCTGTCTTCTGCTGCACCGTCGCCATCAAGGTGAATGATGTTCATTGTTGTGTTTCCGTAAAAAATCCTCCAACGCTTGCTTCTCAGTATTTCTTTGTGGTGCTCGCACCGGCAAAAGGTGGTAAAGGTTGGCTTGAGCAAAAAATGAAAGTTTGTGAGCACTTTCATGGCCAAGAAAAAGTAGAAGGAAGCGACTTAGCCCCTCTAGCCCAAACAAGAAAATAGTCCTTAAGAACCACTCCCCGCGACTGCGTCGCGGGGCAAGCATTGTATTTGTTCTTCCCGTGGGTTATGAAAGAAAAGAGAGTTTGTGCGTCAAGTATTTTTGTATTTGTTGTTGAGGATTGGATAAGGTCAAGGTGCCGGCTTGTTCCGTATGTTCCGCTTCCCCAGTTCGCGCTTGCTCGCCTCCTCTGGTGGCAGCTTCGAGTATATTATACTCGAAGCTGCGAGAGGATAGTTTTGCGCTTGTCATAATTTCAAAGCAAACAAGAGCACCGCCTTCGTTTCGTTCCGCCGTTCACCGCCTGAAACAAATCCGCAACAACAAAATGCGAATCCTTGACACTTGTCAGGCGCAGCGATATTCTTTTTGATAGAGCGATATTAAAAAAAAAGAACGAGTCGGCACGATATGAACGCAAAAAGAGCAGCGGACTCGTTTGGTCGAGCAATAGCAATACTCTTTTTTGGCGTTTGCGTTCGAAGAAATAGGCGTCGGCGCAACGAAAAGCAATAAACTTGAAAAAGCTTCTGAAGAGCTTCTGAAGAGTCTTCTGAAGAGTCTTCTGAAGAGTCTTCTGAAGTCTTTGGGGATTCTTCTGAAGCTTTCGCATTGTCCAGCAAGTCCGCCACTGGCATTGTCCAGTCGACAGAACAATACCGTAGAAAAAGGCAACAGCTATCCTATGAAGTCGATGAAGCAGGGCCACTTTGTCTTTTCAAAGTTTCAAACTGTTTCAGTAGTACTATTCTGCTGATCTTTACTGAGCATCGCGAGAGTGAATCTTTTTCGAAGATGGTAAGGTCAGAGTGATAAGTAAATAACTTATAGAAGCATGATTTTTTTTCGTGCGTCCTCTTGTTCAGGACTGATCCGAAACTGAGCCACGTCCATTTTTCGTGCAGGAGCTAGTGCGCTTGTACTCTGAGGATGGAAAGTAGAAGTGCAGAACTCCAGGGATAAAAGATAATCCACCTACAGGTACAGGATGACTTCGATTCTTTCGATGTCTCCATCTATCAGCATTACCTTTACCAGCAGAAGTGGCTACACAAAGACGAACAGATACTCTCGGTTTCACGAGCAGGTAGGTCGCCCAAAAATTATTGGTGGTGAATCAATTCTTCAATATTTATGAGATTAAGATAATTTTTTAGAAAATTATCAAATATAGTACGTTTTCGTTTATTTTACAGCTTAACAGAATCCTACGTTTCTCCCAATCTGTATATATATTTTTTTTTAGCGATGAAAGCAAATCGCAGACGTGGCAACCTCCACTGAAATATTTTCGATGTTTGTCAGACGAAAATGCACTCTTGTACTATTAGAAGTAACAATAGAAGTAGAAGTACGAGGGGTCCAGACTAAGAACAATATTCTACAAGCTTCTAAGTTTCTGTAGAAGAATCTACAAGCGCCGTACTTCTATCCAAAATCTATCATTTCTGCTCGACAATTGTAACGGTGGGCTTCCACCTACTTCATCACACCAAATTCAGTAATCGGCGTTGGGAGTCGTTTCGCTGGTGATTTTTCACTATGAAATAAATGACGTCAGCAGGGGCTTCTCTTCGTCCATACGGAAACAATTGCAAATCAAGGCATTCCTAGAATATACGTTCTGCAGTTGTGATTGATGTAAATCGTCATGACGTCACATGGTAAACGGTAAAAATTGAGGAATGACAAATAAACAAGTCAACAGAGGTTGATAAGTAGCACCTTCCGATCTCCTCGAAGCACGGTGAATAAAAGATATTCACAGGTTGGTGAGTAGCACCTTCCGATCTCGAAGCACGACGGTGAATAGAAAATATTAAATGCAGACGCCATGATGATATCTCGACGAAAAAAAATCATGATGAAATAAATAAAATGCACCTTCTTGTACAGATGAGGCCGAGAGCCGTGAACAGAAAAATCTAAGTCATGAGCAGCAGCCGGCATGAAAGCCGAGGTCAAGCATCTGCCGCAATTTGCTGTAGTGCTGGGGTAAGTGTAGCTGGTCGCAGTTGAAGTTATATCTTAATCCGGTGCATTAAGTAGGATTCGATAATTAGTTTTCATATGCACTTTTTCTTTTTCCTCGATCAGAAATAAATCTGAAATCGGTCCCGTTGCTTCGATGGCATACAACATCAACGACCAAGAAATATGATCCGCCGAGAAGCCCATCGAGATCTTTAATTCGGGCCTAAGAAAAGAAAGAAAACGCTCGCGATCATTTGATCATAATTTTAAATCTAGTTCTATTTTCTTCCATACCGAATCCATTGATCCACCTGGTGTTGACAGATCATAGTTTGCTCCAGTTGTAAAGTGGGTTGCTATTGTTTCTCGCATCCACGCTTGAACTCAAGAAGTCGCTTGATCGAGGACGACCGAGATCTACCTCTACTCTATCGCCATATGTGAACTTCTAGTTCTTTTCTCATGTTTCTGCCACAAATGACAGACAGGAGACGTCAATGAGTATTCGTTTTGAAAATATGTTGAAGCAGGAATAAACCTAGTGGTTCCGAAACAGCAATGATCATGAGTATGTAAGTAGGCTTAGGTTTTGTAGTTGTAGCAGGACAACTAAGAAGATGAACTACCAATCCCAATGACCATGTCGTCCTCGAGCACCACTTTCCCTTCCCCCAGCGGCGCACCAGATCATGGCCCAGCGCCAACTACCGGCAGCAGCAGGCCTCGGTCCCGCTGGGCTTCTTCCAGGTCGTCCGGAACGAACAAGGCCAGCGGCCCGGCTGCTTCCTCATCTTCGTCCCAAGCAGCTCCATATGCTAGTCGTGTAGGAGCAGCGCAAGCTGCCATTGCACCTGCTGCCGGTGGTGCCTCGTCCAGCACTGGAGGCGGGGGAGGTGGAATAAACAATCTTCGCCGAGATCCGAGTTCAGCTTCAGCCTCAGCTTCACTGGGAATTATCAAGAACCAAAGAACCTACTCCGCCGCCATCTACGCAGACCAGTTGTTTCGGCCGCCCGAGTCCGAGATTAATCTGATCACGAGCAAAAACAAGCAAAGCATCGCGGAGATGTTTTCGAAAACGGAGACGAAGCGGCTGAAGGCGGCGAAGGTTGCGGAATACGAGCGGGCGAAGTTCGAGAGGGACGTGGCGCAGTTGAAACACTGCTGCATCTATATGGAAGCGTCAGGATTGAAATTAACAAAGTTGAAATAATTTGTGATGCATAAAATCTATACCAGTTGGGCCGACAGTTTCCAATCGGCGCATGACAAATTTTCCTGGCCCCTGAAGCAAGTCTGTCATGCTGTTTAGGGCAAGATGGCTGCTCCCTGTCATGCTAGTCAGTAGCCCAATTCTTGACCCTCACCAGCACTAGAATCTGCCTCCCTTGCGCCTTCAGCAATAGAGTCAGTCTTTGTGTCGCATTTTATGCATGACAAATCATTTCAACTTTGTCGATTTCAACTCTGACACATCCATAATCTACATACCCAAGTTTATCGGGACGAGCACTAGCAAGAAGCGTGCTAGCGGGCTGGGCGAGGAGGTTGCTGGTTGTCCGACGTCGAATAATTCAAATGGCACACCAGCAGCGACTAGGTCCTCCTCCTCACGGCCACAAGACGTCCTGAAGAACAAGCATGAACTTCTGCTTCCGCAGGCGAGAAACGCACCGTCGTCACCCCCAGCAACAAGCACGACTTTCTACGACCGTCTGACCACGGAGCTTATGGCGTTCTCAAGCGTTACACTCTCAACTGTTACATGATATGTCATGCAAAATGAGCATCGACATCCAGATCCACACAATAAAGCTACTTCGCATGACAAATGTTGAAAAGGCGAAACAGTGCCTAAATCTGTGCGGAATTTGTAATGCTACAGGTGCGACCTCCATTCTTTGTCGTTTATTGCCATTCTTGCATTACAAATTCATGGAACAGTTGAGAATGTAACGTTTGAGAGCGCCATAGAGCTGGGGCCGAAATTTGAAAAATCGGTCTACCGCCGCTCCAAGCACCCGGCCATCGTCGACCCGGTCCTGTTATGAAATGCAAAAATGTCTGGGTGGTCTGGAAGATTGCAACTTGTCATGCTGTCTTTGGATTCCAAAAAAAAACTGTATTGCGTGACCAACAACACGGAGTCCAGTTTGTGTTACGCGGACGAGAGGGCATTTCTCATGCGGAATAGGCATCAGGAAGCCCTGTAAAATTCTGTGATGCTAGATCATGCATTACATTCATCATGACTCATACAAAATATGCATCACAAGTCCCGGAATCTTCCAGACCCAGACATATTTGCACTTGATACCTGTTGAAGGAAAGCGAGTGCTACCGCGAGGTACTTTCTGCTGTGCAACACCGGTTTCCGAGCTTCAGACTGGGATATTCCATCGCGAATTTGTACCGGAACGGAACTGACTGGACGGACATGCACCGCGATAAGTTTCAGGCCAGTGGGAGAACGGAAAAAGCTGTGGGAGTTGCGGTGGAGGAGCAAGATTTTGTGGGAGCGCGGAAGAGGGTGGACGAGGAGCAGGAAGTGGGAAACACGATAAGGAACAATGAAGCTGTTCCTGTTCGTGCGTCCTCTGCTGAGCCACTTCTTTTGCGGTCAGAGGTAGAAGATGCCGGCGGGGCCGCAGCTGCAACAAGAACAACTAGTACAACAGGAAGTGTTCTTCTTGCAGGAGGGGAAGCGACACACCTCTCCGATGCCGTTCCTGTGCCTGCGAAGAGAACTGGAAGAAAAACTGGAGCAGCTCCAGCTGCTGCGATCGTTTCCTCTGCTCCTGCCACCCCCTCGTCCACTGAGGCAGGAGAAGATGAACGACGTCCTGAAGATGCCCGCCCAGATAATCCGTCAACCTCACCTGCTGGAGATCGAATTGATGAACAGACTGATGCTCAATCATCTCGGATATTGTTCGCTGCGCCGCAAAACGAAACCGATATTGAACAACAAGTAGACCATCTTTATCTTATAGAAACGCTCCTGCTCGATGAAGGCGATCTTCGTGTCGACGGAGGAGCTGACACAGCGAAGAAACTACCCTCGCCTCAAGAACCGGGAGAAGGTCTATCTTCAAGAGGAACTACTGCGATAGAGCAACGACCCCAACAAGCAGCCCAGCAAGCCACACGAAAGCATCAACAATCAGTAGCAGAGGATCACAACGTCACCATCGGTGTTTCTTTCGGCGCGACGAGAACCCTGGCGTTTAAACACTTGAAAACCAGTCGCGAATTCTCCTTCCCGCAGCACGACGGCGATCTGTTCGCCTTTACGACACCGGTGAACAGCGTTTTTCAGCACAGCATCCCAATCGAGAAAAACGTGTATGGGAGCCGGATTAGTCTGATTTTTTGGGGACGTGTGCAGGATGAGAAGCTGATGTGAAGATGGCGATTTGGAGATTGAAACGAAAATCAAGAAGATGTTGACTCTCCTGTCGCTGCCGCGAGGTCGTCGTGGTGGTCTACGTTGAACAAAGCGACGAGCTGCAAGTGCAGCGCTGATTTGTGATACAACTCAAACTCAATCCCCACAGTGTACTATTCCTCAGGTTATTTTTCAACCGAAGAGCAACGCGCGATCTTGATTTTCTAGTGTTGCTAGTAGCGACTGCGACCCGAATTGATGTAGTGACGGCATTTTTTTTTTTCCAACAGGAAAAAGTAGAGTAAAGTGAACGACACTTCTTGTGACCACGAGGAATGGAATTTATTCAACTACAAGAACTACTGACATAGCAAAAATGCATGACGCGACTAATGACCTCGTCGTAGTCATTCCGCTCAACACAGGCACTGTGTTTCTCTTTCTTTTCACGCCGGGAGGTCTTCCGGGGTGACGAGAGTAGGAACTTCACAACTTTGTTCTTATTTTCTAACAGCTGTAACGCGCCAGCAGCTCACAACCAAACTCTTCCTCCAATCGTTTGCGGATCATCATGGTCCCGGCTCTTTGCGTCACGATCTGCAGCGGTTTATCAAGTTTTTTGGTTCCTGTTCATGCCCGTGTGGTAGGTGGTCGTGGCGCCCTCGTAAGCAAAAGTGCGCCGACTGGATCAAACTCAAGGTTCAGATCTTCTGACTCGTTTCTTCTTTTGTCCAAATCCGACATGCAGTTGCGGTTGTTGTAGTGATCATGACTGATACGCCAAAGATCTGCGGCGACACGCCTAGTGCCTAGAGAAAGATCATTACTAGTTTTCACATTTTTTTTTGGCAAACAAGGGTTGGCAGTAGCACCAATGGTCTGTTTTTGATATATTTCAACTGATCTGTAGTTCTCTAGTCCCCGGTTTTGATTGATGTTAGTTTAAACCCTCATTTACTAGGGCGTCATTTTCAATAAATCTGGCGCCTCCGTAACCGTATCGTAAACAATCGTCGCATTTTCGAGTGAGAGTGAAATACAGATCAACATGTTGTAGTTGTAAAGGACGATCCCACGACCTGCCAATCCAACCGTCCGCCCGACAGCATATTATTGCCGCCCTCAACATGAAAACCACCGACAACGAGCGTGAGTGGATCAGTATCCTGAGTAAAAACGTACCCACACCAGAGTCAAGATGGTAAATCTGCTAGACAAATCAACCAGCTTTGGCTGTTTCGCATGACAAGTTTGTCCTTGTAGTGTAATCCTGTTTAGGTAGTTCAGCAGCATCACAGGCCTAGCATATCATGCTGATTATAGCATCACAAATCCCAAAACACGATTAGAAAACGCCTTTCATGGGGCTCAGCATGAGAAACTCTTTTGGCATGCAGATTTGCATTACAACTCTGGTGTGGGTACGTTTTTACTCAGGATAATCAGCCTCCGCGGCTCCCTGCCCGCGTCCGACAAAGCGGCCCTGACCGAGTATGAAATGCAAAAGTTAAAGTATCGTACTCGTCGTATAAATGCATTACAAATTTCCTCAGCATGAGAAGTAAATTTGTCATGCAGAAGATTTAACTTGAGAAAGAAATTTGTAATGCATGATTGCAATACGAGCTCGAGCGCGAGACTTTTGGACAGGATACCGAGATCCGCCAGGTAATTCTGGACTGGCAAACCTTCCTGGTCGACGATCTCTGCTATCACAAGAAAAAGCGTTAAAAACGTTAACGGAATTTGTGATGCAGTAACGCATCAGAAAGGGTAGGGTCGGGTGCCCAAATTTGTATTGCGTAGCATGCATGGAAGGGAAAAGTTGTAATGCATAACTGCCATCTGTGAAAACCGTTAACGTTAGCACGACTTTTTGCATTTGATATCTGCCCCCTGCCCACCAAGATCCACCCGTCCAAAGAGGCGCTGCAGGCGATTTTGCACCTCGTGTTGCGGGTGAAGCAAGGGGAGGAAGAGAGGTCAACAAATGGTGATGCGCAGCTCTTGTTGTCGGACCAGGAGGTCGTCGTGGGAAAAATAAAACCTTTGCTTTCTACTCCTGCTGACCACTCTTCGACCCTCTACCCAACATTTGCTTCGAACAAGGAAGACTTGTACCCCGGGGGCGCCGGTGCCGCTCCCGCTACCGCAGAATTTATTTCATCAGCAACTGCTGAAGTTCGCCTACTGGAAACCATTCTCCAGAAACGGGCGAAACAGCTGCAAAGCCCGGGCAAGAGCCAGCGGGATCTGCTAAAGCACATCATCGACAACATGCAGGGGGAGGCCCGCACGCGGTTCCTCTGGTCGCAGCGCGGGGTGTTCGAGCAAACGCCGCTCGACGTCTTCTTGCAGTGCGAATTCTTAGCAGCGGAAGACTTTCTGAAGCAGAACAGCAGTCTGTTGAGCGTTTTGTTTAGGCTGGAAGATCAGCACCGCGAACAATTGCTGAAAAGGTTTCCGGCCAGTCGGCCACCTCCACTGGCACTGCGGGTGCGGCCCGAGAGGGTGGTGATTCGGCGGGTGGCCACGTTTTTTAAGGAGCATATCCCACGAAAAAACTGTTTCACTGTGGTGATTTTGCAAGATCTGCTTCACAAGTTTGTTACACATGAGACAGAAAATTTGCCATGCGCGATTCCAAAGGGAAAACACCCCTAAAGATTCAAGGTCTTGCAGATGTAGCAAGACAAATAGTTCTGTGTTCCATTCTATACATCACAAGTTCACACTGAAGCAGTTTTTTCTTGCGATAGAGCACGTCCTCCGCCCGATGTTGATCTCCTTCGAAACGGTGTTAATGACGGCGTACGGAAATTTCGGACACCCTAACCACCAGGCCTCCATGGAGCAACGCCGACAGATGGTGCAGCACCAACTCCATATGAAGTTCTCAAGTGTTACATTCTCAACTGTTACATGAATTTGTAATGCAATAATGGCAAAACCAAAAGTCAAAGAAGAGATGAGAGGTTCTACTTGCACCTGTAGCATTACAAATTCCGCACAGATTCTTGAGGCACTGTTTAGCCTTTCCAACATTCGTCATGCGAAGCAGCTTCATTGTGTGCATGTTGATGCTCATTTTGCATGACAAATCAGCTGAGAATGTAACGCTTGAGAGCGCCATACTCCACTACCACCGCTTGCAGAGGCGCAGGATGTTCCTGGAAGAACTGAAATCGGATGAGGAGCGCATCGAAGTAATGCTGCAATTCGCGAAACTGCTAAAGGTATCAAATGTAAAAATGTCTGGGTCTGGAAGAGGAGAGGTTTGCCATGCACATTTTCCATGATCCATGATGTCTGTGATGTATGCCATAGCATCACAGATCTTTTGAGCGCCTATCGATGCACATCCTGCATGACAAATGCCCTCTACGCGTGGCCAAGCTTGGCCCCTCTTGCTGCTCATGCAACACAGATTTTTTCACCATCCAAATGCAGCATCACAAGTTTGCCTCTTCCAGACCCAGACACTTTTGCATTTGATAGAAGGGCAGTAGCCACGCGGGCGGCGGGCCGCGCGAGAGTGGCAACAACGAATGGCTGTTCCAACGGGGAGAGTCTTGTTTGGGAACCGCAGAACTCCCGCAGTGGTATCCGAAGAGCTCGCACTACCTGAAAATGCTGTATGACTTGTTTTTCCTGGTTGAGTATCCCATGTGAAACTTGATAATCTATCGGAAAAATCACCACTTCCAGCCTCAACTTGTCATGCGTAAACAAGATGCCACTAAATTGACATTCTAATTCTTTGCTGATTTGCATGCCAAATTTCCGCTTTTTCGCATTGCAAGTTGAGGTTGAAGAAGTTGGTGAGCAGTTTTTTCTACGGGATACCGACGGGAGCGATTACAGCCCGGCGTTCATGCTGTACGACTGCAAAAGGTACAAAAACAAATGTTTTATGAATGAGTGTGCTTTAATATCTCGTTTTCATCTCCGTTTCACGGTAAATCATACCCATGTTGCCAATGTTTTCAAATCGGACAAAAAAAAGTGTCTATCCTATGCCAGATAGCTACTTAGTACGAGAAATAGTTTTACAACACTCAAATCTCCAGCATCTCCGGCGCGCAACAAGAACAGCGGCAGCCGCCGCCTCTGTCTTCGGTGGGATTCGTTTATGGCGCTGTCAAGAACTTCTGTGATTACATGGAATTATGTTGCTGTCTTGTCGGTTGTTGGTCATGCAAACCGCCCTCTCTGAATTTCAACTTCCGCATAATGAGGCCGCAGGCTAACAAGCGTGCGACTGCGACGCGCTGCCTAGCACTGTGGTCCGTGTCGAATGTTCATGGCAAGAAGCGAAATAGTCCTTGCTTCCTCGTCGAGTCTTGCTTTCCACAACTAAAATGTTGGGCCACAGAATTTGATGGAGCACCATAATTTGACAGCGCCATATATTTCTCCACCAAATTCTAGAGAACGCCTACCAGGCGAGTGAAAAATTCGTCCGGAACGAACTGCGGCTGAAAGGAATCGGGGCATCCATGCCGGGCACTACGATACAGGTCGCCGAAATGGTGAACCAACACGAGCGCGCTGTGAATGGGACTACACAGGTCGCCGACTTCGCGTGCGCCGGCACATCAAGTACTACTTCTACACCGGCGCCGGCAACAACTTCTGCTGCAACTAGTACGACCACTTGCCCAGGCTTCTACCAGTCAGCTGCTGCCAGTGCTGTCATGCCCGTCGTGCCTGGAAATGTAAATGCCTATCCAAGTGCTGCTGGCCCTTGTTCTCCACCATCTTCAGACCAGTTATTTCCTCTCAGCAACGCCCCGCAGGCCATCGGGGCACGGATGCAGCAAAATCTGACGAACGCGGAATTGGGCTTGCCCTCGTTCCTATGCAGTGCAAATATGTCTGGGTCTGGAACAAACTTGTGACGCTGGGTGGCGTATCATGAGGGAGCCACAAGTGCTGGCGCAGCATGACAAGTTTCTGAGCTTCTAGGTGTTGCCTATTCTGCGCGACAGACTGCGTTTCTGCATGACAGAAAAGCGGGGCTGCTCTTGGCTAGCGTGCATGACAGATTTAACACTCATGCCAGACAAGCATGACAAACATGCGTGCTTCCAGACCCAGACACTTTTGCATTTGATACTTCCTAGCAGGACCCGTTACAGCGGAAGCTGCAAATAATCATGCCCTTCAACCTCCAACCCCTACCCCGCCACCTGCTTTTCCTTGTCCTCAGCAGTTTCCCAGCGCGATGAACCAGACGATTCTGTTTCAGGACGGCGAAATTTACCCGCGTATCTGTGGGAAGAACACCATTTACACGAAGGACATTTTGATTTACCACAACCAGCTACAGCATTTTCGGAACCGCTTTCACGTATCAAATGCAAAAATGTCTGGGTCTGGAAGAATACAAACTCGTGATGCGCATTTCAGCACACAGAAAAATCTCTGATGCATAGGTAGCAAAAGCTACCAAGGTCTTGTTTCCAGACAAAACACCAGACAACCAGTACCGCCCTAGTCTAGTCGAGTTTCTCCGGCTAGGGATGGCTGGCATACCACGATAGATAACGCAGTACCGAAATTTTCAAAAGTTCTTCCTTTCGGGGGTCTTCTTTCTCTCCTCTTTTTACCCTTCGGGGTCGTCCTGGTAAAGTGCGAGGGGGACGCGAGCTTTTCGCGTTGGGTTTCAAAATGGTGGACAGCGGGCCTTCTGCGCACTTGCGAAGCCCCTAGCCCCTCCTACAAGACCAGTGTTTTTCTTCTTTATTTTATGTAATTGATACATCACCCATGATGGCTACGGGTCGTATCTCCCTCCTTTTGATATAAGATGAATTACAACTATGAAAATATATATTGTTCTAGAGTGGACGGGAACGACGAGCTAGTGCATTCACGTAGTTCTCTTTTATTTTCTTTCTTCAAAAAGTTCAAGTCGTTCTCTTCCCCGTGCTGTGCCAAGGTCTTGTTTCCAGACAAAACACCAGACAACCAGTACCGCCCTAGTCTAGTCGAGTTTCTCCGGCTAGGGATGGCTGGCATACCACGATAGATAACGCAGTACCGAAATTTTCAAAAGTTCTTCCTTTCGGGGGTCTTCTTTCTCTCCTCTTTTTACCCTTCGGGGTCGTCCTGGTAAAGTGCGAGGGGGACGCGAGCTTTTCGCGTTGGGTTTCAAAATGGTGGACAGCGGGCCTTCTGCGCACTTGCGAAGCCCCTAGCCCCTCCTACAAGACCAGTGTTTTTCTTCTTTATTTTATGTAATTGATACATCACCCATGATGGCTACGGGTCGTATCTCCCTCCTTTTGATATAAGATGAATTACAACTATGAAAATATATATTGTTCTAGAGTGGACGGGAACGACGAGCTAGTGCATTCACGTAGTTCTCTTTTATTTTCTTTCTTCAAAAAGTTCAAGTCGTTCTCTTCCCCGTGCTGTACCAAGGTCTTGTTTCCAGACAAAACACCAGACACTTTTACATTTGATATCACGCGCTGCAGTACGACTTACTCGACTTGGCCGAACAGACTGACGGGTTTACGAAAGTCGTGGTTTCATCTTGTTGTCAAGAAGATAGTAGTAATTCTGGTCCGTTCATCAACTACAGCGACAGCAGAACTGCGACTCCAGATGGTCGTGATGTTCCCGGGACGACAGCTGCGGGAAAAATTATGAGTGCTGGGACGACTGGAGGTGGGGGTCGTGTTGACCATGCTGCACCTGGTGCAGGAGGTGCTGCAGGGAACTACACGAATGCTGGGAATTCTGTGCCACCCCAACTGTTTGACGACAAAAAAGTCACCCTCATCGTCGATAGGAACCCGCCCGTGGGTGGAGGTGCAGGAGCAGCTCCTGGGATGTCTACCAGTACACCTCGACCTCCGCATGAAAAACAACTAGAGCATCTTCAGGGAGCTGCACAAGTGCCAAACCAAAATACCAATTCTGCTTCTTCTGCCACCCCGCAAGCAGAAGCACAAACTATGACGGCCGCCACGCCCGTGCAACACAACACTGGACCAAGCGGCACCACCAGCACGGCGAACAACAAGAAGAACTCCTCCGTTGATATCATTCCCGACCCCGCGCAGGCCCGGTTGGAGGCGAAATATGGGCCCGTCGTCGAAGCCGTGCAACACTACGCCTTGATCTGGTGCGATGTCGCGACAAAGAGTCCAGAAACTGGAAAGTACCAATTGAGTTCCTACCATGGGTTCCTGCCGAAAAAAATCGCGACACGGACAGGAAACGACGGCAACATCATGGACCAGATATGCATTGCAAATATGTCCGGGTCTGGAAGATTGCAACTTCTCATGCTAAATCCGAACCATGCAAAAATTTGTGTTGCATGAGTGCCAAAAGCTGCCCACTTTCGACCAAGTTGGGATCGAGTTTCTCATGCAGGATAGGCATGGCAGAGACCTCGCAGAGTCTGTCACGCTGGGCCCCGCATTCCAGATCTCATGGGACATGGAAAACCTGCATGACAAGTTTACACTCTTCCAGACCCAGATACTTTTGCATTTGATACCAGACTGGAAAAAAATCTACTTCTAAACTACCGTCTGCGCCGCCACAACTTCTACCGGCATCCACCACGAAGGACCAGTACCAACAAGCGACCGAAAGAGGCACTATGATGCCCTTTTCGCACCGGTTGCAGACGCACGTGTCGGGAACACCGCACGACTTGCAGATGACGCATATCCAATCCAAATATGTCTGGGTCGTCTGGAAACAAACTTGTGATGCAAATCTGTGAATGGCAGGCACACTCCTGTAATGCGCAGCCAAGCATGACAAGCTTAATATGACGGGCTATGTGTTTCGTTTTGCGCATGGCAAACTGCGTTTTTGCCTTACAGGCAGGGGGCCCTGCTTTTCCTGCTCACGCAACACAGGTTTAAGACTCCTGCCGAACAAGCATGAGAAACTTGCACTCTTGCAGAGCAGACCCAGACATATATGCAATGCATAACGCACGTGCGGAAGCAAATCGAGTTGGCGTTTCCGGATCAGGAGTTTTCGGAGCGTATTATCACAGTGAAAAGTGCCCCCCACCCCTGAAATTGCAAGAGTTTGTGATGCGAAGTTTCCAAATGAAAACTTTTTGTCATGCATGAAAGGAGTATGAATCTTTCTGATGCAGAGTCTAGGCGTGTATCGTATCGCTTGCATGACAAGCGGCGCTCTTGCTGGGGTCTTTTGCAATACAAATTTTTTGTATTCACGATTGGAAACCTGTGATGCTGATAGATGCAAGAGGGCGAATGTTTCATTTGGAAAGGTTTGCAATACAAATGCTCCTAAGTTCGGGGGTGGGGGTATTTTTCACTGTAATACGTATCAAAGGAGATTCATCTTCAGGCTTCGCCACCGTCGTCCTGCTGCTACTTCATCTACTGACCATCCCTCTACATGTTGAACATGCATCATGCAGCCACCCGCCACTTGTCGTGGCCGCGGGATAGAAGTTCATAAATTGCAAAATCCTATTACTATCTATTATATTCATGCGAAAAAAGAGGTCTACAGAGGATAGAAGAGAGGTGGCCGAGAGGTCAAAAAGAGGTGAAGAGAGGTCAAAAAGAGGTCCACAGAGGTGGAGAGGTGGCGCGGGAGGTCATTCGGGAGGGTGGCCGAGAGGTGGCGCGAGTATAGCCAGCCGAACCGGTCGCCCTAAAGCCGCGCCTATGGGGCCCGGAGGTGGCCGAGAGGGCCCCGAGAGGGTAAGCGAGAGGGGGACAGGGGTGTCGAGAGGTTGCGCGAATAAGGGCGAACCTCTCGCGCACCCTCTGGGCCACCTCTCGGCCACCTTTGTAGACCTCTACCGGCGAGTATAGCCGGACTATTAGCAACACCTCTCGGCAGAGGTGAAAAAGAGGGTCTGCGAGAGGGTTAAAAAAACTCGAATCCGCCCGGCAAGGGGTCGATTTTTTGGGCCTTTTTTGTCGCGTAGGTTCGCACCCTAACGCGCCACCCCCTCGCGCTACCGTCCCGCGCACCCTCTCGCGCACCCCCTCGCGCCACCCTCTCGCGCCACCCTCTCGCGCCACCCTCCCAGGCCACCCTCTCGCGCGTGATCACAAAAGGGCATCGCGGCCCCCGTTCTGCCTCGGCAGGCACCTACGCCGAGGCGGCTTCGCTTCGCCCCCAAGCGTCGCTGCAGCTGCTCCCTGCGCATAGCGCCTGAAGGCGCGGGAAGCGCGCAGGAGGCCCAGCGGGTTGAGATGGCGCAAACCGGCGCCAGTATTTCCTTCGACCTACCGCGCCGTGCGCAAAGCTCTGGCGCTGTGGCCCGATCCGCAAATCGTCCTGCCTCACCACAACAGCCGCTCGCCCCGGCGTCAGCCGGGGCATGGCTGGTAATCTGTCATGCAATAGTTGTAGATGGACGAGACATGATCGAGAATCTTCACTTGTAGTTGTAAAGAATGGGAAAAATGTTGATGATCAAAACACTTCGGGCAACAGGACAACTACCAGATTTTTTTCATTCCATAAAAAATTGCTTTTTCACGGAGCCCGGGTCCCACTACAACCGGATGGACAAGTATTTCTTCGTCTTTTTGATCACGATGATGTTCTTTTTTGATTATGCGACACAAATGAAGAACTTCTTGCCTGTCCATCATCGAACTACACAAATTCCCAGGACATAAGTAGAGAATAACCACATCAACCAGGTTCGCCGACTTCGCCACCAGCGGCAGCATGGACTGGTGCAAGCAAACCTCGGTCGCCGCTTTAGAAACGGTCGCGGGAAAGCAGGAATATTGTAAATCCTTGCACGAACAAGGCATCCACCTGTTGGGCGGGGATCTCCCGCTGCAGTGCTCGGTGGAACTGATTCTGAAAGACCACTTTGTCGCCAACGCAGCGGACGTATCCAGGAAAATAAAACACCCATCTCCATCTAAATTGTCACGCATGATGCGTGACAATCATCACATGCTCACGCATCAAAAGCACTGTTTGTCAACATGCAAAAAATGGATGGGTGTTTTCTCCTGGATAGGGCATGCACTGGTTGCTGTTTTGCAAGTCGGACGACCGGGGGAACGGGAAGATGCGGAGGAACATTGAATGCTGATGAAGATAACCTTTTTTGGTCAATAGTGACATCATCGATAAGATCAACTTGTTTGAATTGGATCCATTCAACCCCGTGACATCTCCCTCGAGAGAAATAGAAATCGTTGATTTGTGATTGAGATTTTTGAACTTTTGGCGTCAATATGGATACTAATTCCAAGTGAAAACAAACAGCCACGATCTTGTCCTTCTCCTTGTTGGTCGAGGACACCACGATGGATTTGTCTATGTATGGTTGTGATGATGACGAGTGCGATCTTGATCCATCCTCTGTTCCACCGACGGCAAGAACCACCACCAGATGACGGAGGTTTTTTCAAATCAAACAATTGAGCCACATTCGATTTCTTTCTTCATGTGTGTGTGCCTGGGTGTGATGTCAAATATTCAATTTCATCTGTATCTCTTTCATTCTACCTCTTCGGATATCGAGTTACGATGTCTAATGATATCCTAGAAAAATTATCCTTGGAATCGATTTTTTTTTTTCGTATGAAAGTCTCAATGTCCTAAAAAATTTTTTTCTTGCCACATCCGATCCATGAATGAAAATTCTAAATGGTGATATTTCTTTCCAATCTTCGAAATATTTGGAGTGACAATTTTTTTCTGTAGATGTTGTTCATTGAAGAAATTTGATAATTTATTAATGATTGTATCATGGGATCATACCCACATAATCTCTCCATGGATCTGAGAAGAATATGATAGATATGAATGAATTCCGATCATCATCTTCTTCATCATAAATCCGATCGATCGTTTATCTCATTTTTTTCGCTCTCATGATCTTCCCTGTCAGAACCAACTCAAATTGAAAAGCTTAATAAACATCTATTTATGAGAAATAACAATGAGAAGATCAAAATCTAATTATTTATCTGTTCGTGGTCAACCAATCATCTTTCTTCAATTCGATATATCAAATACAATAACAACAATTTTTGAAGAAAAAATAGATCCATCGATCATACTTCTTTTTTTTAAACAAAAAATATTATCGAGAAAGGAAAATCTATTCGAAAAGAACATTTTTTGAATCTGATGGATAGATATATTTCCTCGGAAATTTATGATTTTTTTCTAAAAATATCCTCGGAGATTTATATTTTTTTTCTGATTTTCTTTTTTTCACAAATTGTCGATCATCTCATAAATCACATCAGATCCGAGATTATCTATCTTCATTCGAAAAGATTTTGATTGGATTTGATTCAGATTCAATATTGTTTTTTCCATCCAGACATTGGAATTGATTATCATTTCCTATTCGATTTCGTTTCAGATCATGAATCGAAGTAAGATGAGATAACTCAGAAAAAAGAGAAAAGTATTGTCCTCGAAGAAAATATCATTCCGGGATTGATGTCGTGGAAACCCGATGAAGGTGTTTTAGAAATTAGGATGGAATGCAGCAGGTAAATACCGAGGTTAAGGGCGTTGCAAAGGCATCGAAGTCAATGGATGTAGTCAACAGCAAATAATGTATTCGTGGTGTCTGATCTTTATTCTTCAAAATTGTCATGAAGTTGTTCTTCCTTTGAGTTGATTTTTTTGGAAAACTTTTCCCGGAGGTGTGGAACGAAATCGTGCTCCCAGGTCAGCGCCGAGCCGGACCGTGCCACTGTTTCCTCGATGTGTTTCGCGATGCCGAGATCTTCCAAAACATCCACAATGTCGGCGTTCGCTGCCGCGACATGCTCCTCCAACTCCTTCATCATGGTAGTTAGTTCGATGTCGATTAAATCTGATGTCGGAAAACATTCCTGGATCTCCGAAAACAGAAACGACCACATCTCGAGCGCCGCTGCTCCCTGACCCCCGACACATGTGGCGATGTATTCTACTTCGCGCTTGATCTCCTTGATCACAGCTGTTCTCACAACCTCTAGTTCGTCGTGGCTGTATCTCCCGGGCTCGTAGCTATAGTGGCCCATACTCTCAGGCACAATGTTCGACACCCACTCCAGCTTGAGACCAGCAAGACCGCACAACCGGCTCAAGGACGCCAGAAGCTGATCCAGTTTACCTCTGGAATGTAGATCGCGGAGCAGCAACCTCATCGGAGCTCTGAACAAGCAGGAACGAAGCGGTGAGTCCGTATTATTTATTTCCCTGTGGAAAATCGGCATGCGCGTTCCGTATCGACATCCCTGCTGGAGCGAGGGGCTGTACATGTACAGCTCTTGCTGCGTAGGAGCAAATGCCTTGGCCACCAGCTTTGCAGCAGTGCCAGCCGAGAGTTCCGCTGCTGCCAGAGCGATTGCGAAAGCGGATTCTTCTGCAGCTCCCCAAGCGGCCCCGGAAAACGTGTTGTGGAGTAGGAGTGCGCATGCCACGTCGTGTGCGTATTCTTCCCGTTCAGGCAAGGCGAAAAACTGCGTGTCCTTGCTGTGCTTTTTCCATTCTCTTACCGGGAGCATGAGCACGGTCTGGATCAGCCGCCAGAAGCGAAAGCGATCTTTTCCACTACCCGTCGCTCTATAATACCGTGCGGGCGTGCCCCCGTCGGGTATGTACTGCCGATGTGGTAAGTGTCGTGCGAGTTCCTCGACGACAAGGCGCCACGGCTCCGTCTCTGTCCACCGCCACTCCCCGGCATCACCCGTCGGAGGCGCCGGCGGAATCAGATAGGCACGATCGTAGATAAAGTCTTGTGCGTCAGAGAAGGACATAGAACCGAAAAAATTTTCAACGGCTTCCTCAAGTTTCGTTTCAAAATGGTCATGGAGTTCATCGTCATGATCGTCGTCACCTGTTGCGTCGAGAGCCCAATCCGGTTTTTTCAGCTTCAGCTTTTCCAATTCTGCGTGCCAATCGCGCGCAGCCACGATCACGAACTGATACGCAGTCCCCGCACTGAAATCCAACGCTGCGTCGGTGGGCAAAAACCCCGCGGCTGCATCTGCTGCTGCATTGTCTTTGTTGCTGTTTTCTTCAGATAACTTGGACGATGTTTCGTGGTCTTCAGATTGTTCTTCCTCCCACTTCAGCCATTTCAGGCGGTGTTTGGGCGGGTACAATTGCCCAACTTTCAGGAATTTCGCAAGAACCTGGTCCTGGGCGTAGAAACTCTCCACCAGGTCGCCGATGGTTGTACAGACCTCCGAATTAACATTGAGGATTTCTTCGTGACCCGCGAAATTTCGGATCCGGACCTTGGCACAGGAACTAGAAATGGTTGCGGTGGACGCCATTTTGTGTCGTTCTTTCACTTCTTCTCCGCAATTCGTGTCGTTTGTTACGTAAGTATCTATATGTGGATCGAGAGCAAGATCTTCAATCAGCTACAATCTGAGTCTAGACAGCCTTAATGTGCCGACAGAATACGACCATCAGCTCGAGTCGGTTTATCTGTCTTTCATTGGATCGGCCGAACTGCAACTAATTGGTGCTTTTCCTTTGTTAGTGCAACTACTTGGTGCTTTTCCTTTGTTAGTTTTCATTTCATGAGTTCAGGAAAGACAAAGAATTTAAATAAAGTAGATTTAGTAGAGACACATACATGCTGATGTCGCTGAGCACCATGATCTTCGCAATAATCATCGAGAATAAAGCGGGGCAAGATCAAGATGAGTGGCGTTCATGTTATTCTTTCTTAGTGCTTCAACATTTGTAAATGTCGTGGAACAAAACAGGACACGGTTGGGCTTCATCTTCAGGCACAGGTAACGGACAACAGAAGGCGTAACCACAGGAAAATCCATATGGTTGTAGCAGTGCCGTGAAACAATGGATCATGAGACTCATGCTCGTCGACGCAATAATTTCATCTCCGTTCATCGAGCTACAGTCTGCAGCTTCTTCGAGGCTCTTGTGCACTTTCTGAAATAACAACAAGCACGGTCAATTTCCAATATTCCATATAGCCAGCCACGCATTTCATCACTTTATCTGACTTCCGCAGGTAAATCGGAATCGGAAAACTTGTTGTCGACGAACGTATTTCGCAGGCCTGGAGCGAAATTGCGCTCCCATGTATATGACAAATCCACCGCCGCCAAAGCGTCGTCGATCTGCTTGGCGATTCCAAGATTCTCCATGACGCTGACAATGTCGGCGTTCGCTGCTGCGACATGGTCTTCCAGATCCTTCATCGTGGTAGTGAAGTCGAACGAGAGCTCCGCTGTTGGGAAACATTCCCTGATCTCGGAAACCAGAAGCGACCACATCTCGAGTGCTGCCACCGCCATACCCCCGACGCTCGTGGCGATGAAGTGTGCGTCATGCTCAATGCCGTGCATCGTGTGGCGCTCCTTCTCTTCTTGCTTGTACGTCTCCCAAGCGGACTTGTCGTTGTGTTTCATGAAGTATGGCACCGTTTCCGACATCCACTCCAGCTTGAGGCCAGCAAGGTCACACAATCTGCACAACGATGCCTGGAACTGTTCCAGTTTCCCTCTGGTATGAAGATTATGCATTGCAAAAGTATCCTGATCCTCGCACTACTAATATGAACCGCATCACAATAAAAACAAATCATCTCAAGAAAGTTCAGGGGGAAAGTTGGATTTGTGTCACGCATGACTGGAATTAGTACGAACAAGCGCGATAATTTTGCAGATGATAAAGATTGCGAAGTAGCAACCTCATCGGGTGTCTGTAGGACGAGCAACGTTTGGTAGCCCTGCCGCGGTTTATCTGTTTCAGGAAGTCCGTCATCACCAGTGGCGGCTTCTTATCCCAGCCGTATCTTTGCCGGAGCGAGCGATCCGGATCGTAGGTGTAAATCTCTTGCCCGGATGCAAACTGCTTCGCGACAACCTTCGCAGCAGCGCCAGCCGACATTTCCGCTGTATCCAGAGCGATTGCGAAAGCGGCATCTTCCGCGTCGCCCCAACGCGCACTGCCGCAGAACTTGCTGTCGAATAGGAATGCGGCCACGGCGGCCTGCGCGTACTGTTCCCGTTCGGGCAAAGCGAAAAACTGCGTCTTTTCTCCGTGCTTTTTCCATTCTCGCACGGGGAGCATGAGCACGGCCCGGACCAGCGGCCAAAATAAGCTCCTTCTGTACGGCGACAAGTAGTCCGGGTTTCTCCCTGGTTCTCCTTCTCCGGACTTGTCATTACGCACATACTGCCGATGCGGCAAGTTTGCCGCGAGGGTCTCCACTACGCGACGCCAGGGCTTCCAGTCCGCCCGGTTCGTCCACATATCGGCCGGGGACGGCGGAATTAAATAGGCGCGATCGTAAATGAAGTCCTCTCCATCGGAGAGGGACATGGAACCGAAAAAGTCATCGATCCGCTTCCAGTAGCCGTTATAGAAATCCGTCATCCAACTCAATATCATGTGTAAAAACGTCGTTGTTCCCACCACATCAGCAGAGTCACGATCATGGGAGCAAGTCATCTGCTAGACAACTCAACAGGTTTTGGTTGTTGCGCATGAGTAGTTTGGACCCGACGCAGTGTAGCCATGTGTAGCGAGTTAGTAGTTGGGCAGCAACACTGATCGAGGTTGCCGTTGCTTCTGATGATCCTGATTTATCAAGCATACCAAGGTCCACAACACCACTAGAAAATGCTACTCATGTACATGTCGAGGCTGCGCATCAGAAATATCTGATCATAGGCATGCAGATTTGCATGACAATCAACCTGGGGTGCGAACGTTTCTACTCAGGATACTCGGGTCATCTTCATCCTCGTCGCCTGTTGCGACGGCGGAAGCGGTATCCGTATCCATAGCAACCATGTGTAGGTCTGGATACTTGTGATGCTGGGTTGGCATGACTGGGCATCCTCTGTCATGTTAGCAGTCTAGCATGACAATAAATTGTTCAGACGCCTTCTCATGCGTAGCGTGCATCACGAACTGCGATGCATTTGCACGACGAAAGCGGTCATGCTTTATTTGTCAATCATGCGCTGCAGATTTTCCTTTCGTTTGTTTTCCAGTCGTGCAAGCCGAGCATTACAGGTTTCACTTTTCCAGACCCAACCATGTTTGCACTTGATAATCGGCTTTCGGTTCTTGTCGCGGTGGCCTTTTCAGCTTTTCCAGGTTCGCCTGCCAATCGCGCGCAGCCACGATGACGAACTGATACGCAGTCCCCGCACGGAAATCCAACTTGGCGCTGGTGGGCAAAAACCCATCGCCTGCTCCTGCTGCGTCGTCTTTCTCAGCTCCTTCCTCGGCTGACTTCTCCTCTTCAGATGCCTCTTCCTCCCACTTCAGCCATTTCAGGCGGTGCTTGGGCGGGTACAATTGCCCAACCTTCAAGAACTTCGCAGCCAGGTCCTGTGCGTAGAAAGCCTCCACCAGGTCGCCGATGGTTGTACAGGAATCTGGATTCACGCTTAAAACTTCTTCATGACCGGCGAAGTTTCGAATCCGGACCTTGGCAGAGGGAGGACCTCCACTACTAGCGGGCACTGCAGCGGAGGAAGCCATTTTGTCGAGGTTTCGCTGCTTCTTGGAACTTACACTTAGGATCGCTTCTATACGTAGATTTAGGTGGTTAATCTCGATAGTCGCAGTTGAGCAATAAACGTGTTTAGGGTTTATTGCAACTAGTCCGAGAGAAAAATAGAAACAAGATCGAATCTTCTTCTTCGCAATCGCTTCTTTATGTTTCAGTTAAAAAGGCTCAGTTTCGTGTTGTTCCCAGAAAGTGGTATAGTTATCACAAGTGTAATTTTTCTCGAGCATAAAACAAGTGAGTTCCGATTCATCACTTCTGTCGCTGAGTGAGACTGTCTTCGCAGTGATCGTGGATTTTAGAAGAGTCCTTTCCTGATTCTACTTCGAAGGGGAGGCTTGTTGTGGCCACCACGCTTCTGACGTTCCTTCCGGAAATTGACATTGAGATTGCCACCAGTGCACTTTTCTGTTGCTTTGCGTTTCACAGACGCAGAAAATTGTCGCAGAATCTCGACGCTGCTGTTGTTCTCCTTTGCATTTGTCAGACATCAAAGTATCATTTTGAAGCTGCGCGCGCAACAGCTTCTGGGGCAGAAATCAAGAGCTCCGAATGAGATGAAAAATCATACAAGAAAGTCGTGCTGCGAATCTCTTTATTTTGTAGAAGGCATGAAAGCTAGATGAAAGCTTGCTCTGAGTCATTCATACGCAAAATTTGAACCACTTCTCGACGCGTTTCGGCTATTTCTTCCAGTGGTTGCTGTCCTTGATGTGGCTGTTGATGCAGCAGGAGCAGCTCCTGCTCCTGTCGCTGTCCCCTCGGGCATGCTTCTTCCTCCTCTCTCCACCTGCGCCTCCTCCTGAAGCGCTTGTTCTCTCCTCCTGCTTCCGTTGTTCACTGGACTCGTTACCGCCGGCACGCTCCCTGGTGGATTCAGTCCTATCATGGCCAACGCGGCGTGAATCAACTCTCCCGAAACCCGGCGGCGGAGGGCCGAGAACCCGCCGGACCAGGAAGAGGAGTTGTTCGAGTGGCTTTGTGTCAGTTGCGGTTGCCGAATAGCTGTAGCGGGACGAGCCACCTCAGAGGACGCGCTGCTCCGTCGTGTGTTCAGAGGCTCTTGATGTACTGCGTCGGCACCTCCGCCCGTGGCTGTGCCTGAAGCAGCAGCAGGAGGAGATCTGCCTCGGACGAAGTCAAAGTCGATTATTCCCTGATGTTCGTATCATGTGCAAAAGGAAGATCTGGGCGTTCGTACTAGTTGCAGTTTTGCATGACAGATCTGCTATCTCTATGAGTGAATCCGCATACACAAACTTCGTTTCAAATTCAATTTTTTCTCTGTGAGCTAATTTGTGATGCTATTTCTACTAGTACGTCGAGCACGATAGATACTTTTGCAATGTATAATTCGTCCTCCGGGTCCATTTCATCGCTGCGCGGCAAGAACGACATGTGCTGAAACGCGTGAACTTGGTCAAGCGGGAGATTTCTGCTCTCTACCTCGTCGATTCGTCCCGCTGTATCATCGTTTGGCGCAGCATCGTCCTCTTGCAGGAGGTGGAGCGCTCTTGTTCGCGGCACCCCTAAAATGGTGCTGGTACTACTACTGGTGACTCCGGCGGCAATTTGAAGCTGCTGGAGGTTACCACTCGTTGTATTATTTCTACCTTGTCCTTCCGCTTCCCCGCCAACACCTGGGGTGGTCTCTACACTGTTCATACTTCTCGACAAAAACAATCCGCTCCTCCGCACGTTCCGCCTATGCGCCGGCGCCCGGTCGTGCGGCGTGCCGGCGTTTGTGGATGTGCCGAGCGAGTTTGTGCTGCTACCCGCACCGAAAGACCGGTGGAGGTTGGCCAAAAAACCGCTGGTCGCAATATTATTTCTATTGGCGGGAGTCACGACACTTCCACCGTGACCACTGCTCTCAAACGACGCATTGAGAAAGTTCGGTGGCTGTGCGAGCGCATTTAGCGCAAGGCCCAAAACAGTTGTCTCCGGTGCGGTGCCGGCTGGATCTGTACTGTAGTTGCGGCGGACAACGATGCTCCTGTGGTCGTCTGGGATCATCCTCGCAAGAGCATCCAACTCTTCGTCCTCCGCGTCCCAACGGAAAGGGGTTCTAGGTCGGAGATTGTCTACTTGAGCAGGCGCTGAGCCGGAAATTGCATGCGAAATTATAGCCGTAGTGGAGGCAGTGGGTTGTTGTTGAGCGACAGCTGTGGTTCCACTTGAAGTAGCCGCGCTATTTGAAGATGAAGATGCAGAAGTAGTTCCACCAGGAGCAATTCCTGATCCTGCCTCACTCACAGCCGCTCCGTTCTCGTCCACACGAGGCGACGCAACCAGCGGCAAAGTCGCGGACCGATACCTGACCAGACCCGGCGCCCGCGTCGCTCGCCGAATTACCGGGACTTGATCTACTAGGTCAGAGACAGGATCAAGATCGGGGTCAGTTTGATGTAGTTCAAGTTCTTGAGTAGTTTCTCGATTCTCGCCAGATGAGCCTCGTCGTCCACCAGCAGTATCCGATCCAGAAATTGTTCCCAGCCCAAAGGAGTACCTGTTTGGATCTCGCGCCACCCCCGCGCGCCGAGACGGCCTCCGGAACTGATTTTCTGGTAGCAAAAACCTCATGTCAACATTTGGAGTCGCAGTCGCACAACCAGGACGAGCACCAGTGGCGTACTGTTGTTTCTGTTGGTGGTATATCAAATGTAAAAGTGTCTGGGTCTGGAAGAACGCAACTCGTCATGCTAAATCTGAAGCATGCAAAAATCTGTGTTGCATGATTACCAAAAGTCGTCCAGTTTTGACCAAGTCGGGAGGGAGTTTCTCATGCAGGATAGGAATGAGAGAGATCGCACAGAATCTGCCATGCTAGGTCCTGCATTCCAGACCTCACTGGTCATGGAAAAGCTGCATGACAAGTCGCGCATTCTTCCAGACCCAGACACTTTTGCATTTGATATGGTACCTTTGCTTCCACCCGATCCACTGATTCCCCTCGTCGCGGCAGAGCGCACAGCGGTAGGGAATGATCGCCGGTGTTCGCGTATGGAAGTGTCAGGATTGAAGTCGTCAAATTTGAAATAGTTTGCCATGCATAAAATGCAACACAGAGAGTGCCTGTCTTGCAGAGTAGGCAAGGGAGGCAGATTATAAGCCTGCTTGGGAGTAGAAGTAGAGCTGCTGAAGTAGCATGACAAAAGGCGTCTTCCTTACCCAAACAGCATTACGAACTGCATTTCGGATCTACTCAAATTTGTCATGCGCCGCTTAGAAAGTCGGCTTGTAACTAGTATCGATTTTATGCATTGCAAGTTATTTCAACTTTGTCGATTTCAATCCTGACGCTTCCATATCGCGTCGGGCTGGTCCCGCGCATTTTCCACAGTTGCGCCGCCGCGTGCTTGTGCAGGCACTTTTCGTGAAATTTGTGGCCGCAGGGAAGGACGATGATTTTGGATTTCGGAGGGCGGAATTCCAAATCGTCTTCGACAGGTGTGGTTGTTACGGCGCCGTCTGCAGCAGCTCCAGTAGCTGCAGTAGCCCCTGCTCCTGCGCAGGAAAGACAAGCCGCTTGCACTTTATCCTGCTCCTTATTTGCCGCGTCAAGCTGTTGTTGACAGCTGCATTCTTGTCTGTCTCCCGCACCGCCGCGCTCCACAACGGTTGGAGACGAAACGCCGGTAGCCGGGCGCGCGCCACCAGTCCCGGTCGTCAACGAAAGCCCCGCGCCGCAGCCTGCCCCACACACGAACGAGGAGGTTCCACCAAAACACCCACGCATTCCACCGCCGGGAAGGAGCTGCCTGGACAAGGTGCTGCTCGACGGATAGCCACCGCCGCCGCTCCTTGCAACTGGAGGTTGCGCCTCCCCCGCCGTGGTCCTCGTGCTGGTTCCACCTGCGGGAGGGGCAGCTGGCGCTTGCGCACCAGATGAAGCTGCAGACGATGCCGATGCGGTAGAGCCAAACAGCATCAACCGGTCCTCCGTTCCGTCGGTGGAAAGTCGGATAGAAGATCGGGCAGTCGCGCTCCCACCAGCGGTGTTGCTGTTGTAGCCATTGTTCCCGGTGGCTCCTGCGACCGTAGACGGCGCTGCGGTCGTGCGCGAGGAGGCTGAGGCGCAGCTTATGGATTGCAAATATGTCTGGGTGGTCTGGAAGGTTGCAACTTCTTATGCTGATTCTGGATAGTGCAAAAATCTGTGTTGCAAGATTACCAAAAGCTGTCCACTTTTGACCAAGCTGAGAGGGAGTTTCTCATGGATGCAGACGAGGCATGATAGAGGTCGGACAAAATCTGTCATGCTGGGTCATGTATGACAGACCTCACGCGTCATGGAAAACCTGCATGAGAAGTCTTCCAACCTTCCAGACCCAGACATTTTTGCATTTGATACAGCTGCCAGAGGAGCAACGGTGGCGGACCAGGCCAGAATCAGGGAAGTCTTGGCTTATTTCCTCGTTGGTTGCTACTTCGCCGTCTGTGATGCGCTGCATAGCCTCTTGCTGCTGCTTTTTCTTTAATTTTTCCTGTTCCCAAATCTTTTTCAGGTTCCGCTGTTCGCAAAAGTTGCAGCGCAGCTCGGAGTATTCTGGGCAAAAGTTGTAGGATCGCACTCGTAGTAAAGTATTGATTGGAATCATGCAAGACAGATGTGACCACATCGTTGGTTTTCAGCTACCGCAGCATGTTGGGAATTTTCACGTTCTCCCCTGAACTAGTACAACTTGTGATGCAAAAATTTCCACTCACGAAAAGCTTGTAAAGTGCAATACCACATATTTGCAATCCATACATGTTCCGCCAAAGTTTCAACTTGCATCACACTCCGGTCCTGGATCGTCTCTCTCCGACAGTGCGGACTCTGGGATCGAACTCGCATCGGGTTTCCGTTCTCCGTGGGATCGATTTCGCGCCACTTGCGGCAGCACAACACCACCGCCGGCAGGTGGTCGTGCGTGGGGCCGCAGTAGTACCCACCGCGAGCGCGGCGGTCGTAGGAGTTCTGTGGTGGTTCTGGTTGGTTGCGATATAACAGTGCACAACTCCCCCTCCCCCTCATAATTTGTATAGCATGAACGGCAATACAACAAGCATCAGCAAGAATGCCGCCGGTTTTGCATGACAAATTTCCACTGGATTGTAGTGCTATTTGGGCCACCAGAACTTGTCATGCAAACAGTGCCAAGAGGCAAAGGGTGGATTTGGTATTTTGCATGACAAACGAGGGGGAGGGGGAGTTGTGCACTCTCATATGCGATTACTCGCAGTCCCACTGTACCGGCGGACGCTCGGAGGGGTCTGTTGATCGCCGATGCCAACATTTCCACCCGAAGCTGCAGCTTGCTCTGGTGCATACCGGCCCCTATTCCGTGCCCTTTCGGCCCGCCACAGATTCGCGTGGAACCGCGCACCGCCGGCTAACCGGCGAAAAATGTTGCTTCCCGAAGACGTTGGCGTTCTTGCACGGTCTTCGCCAGTTGTTCTTCCCCGGCTTCTATTCCGAACCGGTCCACGTCGGCTGGAGATCGGGAGTCGTAAGCGAAGATTTTCTGCTTGTGGGCTTGTGCCAGTGCCGCCGGTACTAGCACCATTCGAATTGTTCTGTGGTGTAGACGGAGGTGTTAGTGGGGCTGCTGCTGTTGTTCCACCACCTATTGATTCTCCGCTGGACTGCGCTTGCGGTTGGTTAGAAGTTGTACTCTCTTGGCACAAGCTGCTGCTGCTGATCTCTGGCGATTCCAGTTTGTCGAGTAAGTCCAGGCAAATCGCACACACATTCTCGCTATGAAATGCAAAAACGTCTGGGTCAGGAAGATTGGTAGTTTTGTCATGCAGGTTTTCCATGACCCACGCGGTCTGGCACGCACGGTCTAGCATGACAGGCTCTGTGAGATCTTTATCATGCCTTTCCTGCATGAGAAACTGCCTCTAAACTTGTTCAAAAGTGGACCTCTTTTGGTAATTATGCAACGCAAATTTTTCCACGATCCAGATGTAGCATGACAAGTTACACTCTTCTAGACCCAGACATATTTGCAATGCATTCTCCCTCTCCGTTTCCTCACTGAAATTCGTCGCTTTCGTTGAAGCGTGGGGCAAAGCTTGCTCTTCAACATCGGTGGGTGTAGTTCTTTCCAGGAGTTGTAGTTGCTGCTCCAAGCGGTCTAGGTCTTGCAGGTCTGCATCTCCACCAGCACCAGCAGCGTCTCTTGTAACGCGTCCTGCAGTTGAGGGTCGAGGTTCCTCTTGCGATACTCCTCTGGAAGTTGATGACGCACGAGCCGCTAAAGCAGCTACAACCACGAACGGATTTCTGACCACGTTTGCTTGCTCAACACTGCACAACAAAGACACGAGGACGAGAAGCTGCGCAAATGAAGGCGCGAACCAAGAAGTTGAGGAGCGAAATGAAGATGCTGGCTGTCCTGCTGATGCACGGAGCGACGACCGGAAGATTATAGCAGACATAGTTTTGTTTTGATTTTTTCTACTTGCGCAGGGGGGCCAGCGACTGCATCCATAACGGGATCATGCCCGGAGCAGGGAAGAACCAAGGACCTTCGTAGCTATGATGCGCTCGTGATTCTCTGTTGAATTCGATTTAGAAGCGGAGCAATCTAGTAGTTTAAAATAAGTATTTCGTCGAGGAGTTCCTCCTCCTCCTCGTCGGTGGAACACGATTGATTGCCAAATTCAGAAAATCTACGAGGACATGTAACCTTCCCAGTAGAAACGCAGCAAGGCGTCGGCTGTCGATGTTTGTATTTGATGCCCCACGCCATCCAAAGACCTTCTTTGTATATGGCTTTTATCCATCGATGTCTCATCCTTGAATATTGCTGATACTCTATCTCTTTCGTCACGTCATGCCCTTGATAGGGAAGATCCACCCAAAAGCAAAAGGTCAAACACCCGCCGCGCCAGAGCTACTTGTGCGAAACAGAAACCCCACTGAATGCATAACAAGTGGATCGGCCCGGGTGCATAGATATTACCCGCGAAAAGGTCAAAAAGTGGCGCAATAAGTTGTAGTGCAAGCTACCGCGCTGGGTGTTGTTTGGACCTTCCAGATCAGAGAAAAATGGTTTGTTCCTGGACTTATCTATTATTTTTTCACTTGCACCACGAACGGAACGAACGTGGCCTCTACGATTCGTGTTGCTTACTCTGTCCAAGAAACACGCATGTCAGTGACGAGATCGAGACAAAGCATTAGCGAGCAGTCTTAGTGTCTGTGTCATACTCATAGTAGACCCGTCTCTCTCTCGGGTAGATTGAGAGAAAAAGCGTGTCAATGAAATAAAATCATACATGTGAAGATAATCATACTTATGTAGCTTTTTGTGTTGGAGTACAACACTACTTTACAGTACTTTCATGAGTTATATCAGTTGTACAGTACTTTCATGAGTTTATTTTTAGTCTTGATGTTGATGTTCTATTTTCTGACGTCGCAATACTGGCTGTAAGTAACGAATGGCTGCTGATGGTGCTCCTGCGTCGCAACTTCCTTTTTTTCGATAAAAAAAGAAAAAAGAGAGACGCGGTCACGGAGATCGTATAACTACAACTGTCTGCAGAAATAAATCGCACACGTCGATCAAAAGAGAGAGGTGGTCACGGCAGGAGCAGTCGTAACCCTAACGAGACCTGCAACTTGCTCACTTCTCGTTTCGTGGGCCTTGACAGTGTGCAGCAAGCTGTGGCACCACCAGATAATCAAAAATCAGCCAAGGCGGCAGCTCCACGTCAACCAAAAGTTTTTGCAGCGGCACTGCACGCACCTCTTGCAAGAAAGTCCAGAGGTCCACCTTGTCCGCGTCGTAATAAAGAGTGTGAACCATATGCATATATTCCTTTCAGATGGGTCTTAAGTCTTCCGTAATTTATTATCATTTCTAGCACCACTACCTCTTTCAGGTTACCGTCCAATGAACTTGAGAGCCAGCATTCCTCGAAGCAAAAAAGTATAAAAAAGGAGCGTGCGGATGCGACTGCCATTCCTTAGATTGGGTTTGGCCTCGGCGTTCGCAAAGTCGCACGGCCTTCCTTCGCGGCGACCCACTCGTTAAGAAACACGACGCCGTTCCCAGCAGTGGGCAGATTGAGTCCGCAGACCGAGATAAAGTCGTAGCCCTCGTCAAGCGTGCGCAAATTGATCTGGCCGCCATTCTCGGTGAGGTCCGGGTTGACAACGTCCCTCTCGCTTTCGCGGCCGGGCGGCATGTCAAAGCCATTGCGGCGGCCACGTGCGTTTCTGTAGGCGGCTTTTTTGCGCGCCCGCCAGTGGTTCGTTGCCCCAAAAAGATAGGTTCCTTCGTCGTTTAGGTTTTCCTTCAATTCCCAGCGTACCTCCTTCTGTCGCCGAGCGAGTACGTCACTCAGGCTCGTTTCCTTCTGTGCCCCGGAGGGACTGCCGCGCGTCATCACTTCGGGCATGATTGCGGTACCGGTGTTCTTCATATAATCATCGAAAGCTCGCAAATTGTCTGCAAACTCAGGGCTCCGCCAATCGGCGGCCAACCGAGCTTGTCGCGCGCCTGCATTCTGACGCCTGCGGACATCCCAAAAGCGGTCAAGGTAGAAGTTCTGCTTTTCCCTCAGGGCATCCGCATCCAATGCCACGACGCACTCCTCTCCAACGCGCGTTTCTTTTTGCACCTCCGTCAGGCTAAATAACCCTTGCTGTAGGTTCGTGAAGTAAACTCCGGGTCCGAGAATGGCATTTGCTGCGTCATTCGAAGGCCTCAATGTGCCGGAGGTTCTGATCGCTAGATGAAAAGTAACGATGGTGTAATGATACAGAATCTTAGGCGTGCCGAAGATCGTGCGGTCAAATCCCCAGTGTCCCATGCCCATTTTGTTGGCGTCAGAGTGCGGATTGTTGAATGTTTTCGTGCCGCTGGTGGGGTTATTCCACGTGTCATTGCTCGTTTGCATGATTCTGCGTCCCACGCGAATGCGAGCCAATACAAGCGCCCAAAACATTGTCATCACGAGTTTGCGCATCTTCTGCTCGGATAGTACGTAGTACGTGGAGACCCAGGCTGCGCTGTCGGCGTCCGTGATGCCAGTGGTGTCCAGGTCGTATTGCTGGAACAAATCATCCATGTCTTGGTGGTGAACACGGACGGACAGCAAGTCCTCAAACCGGGCCTTCAAGCGATACTTGAGCGCGTTGACCTGCAGTGCGTTCCAGCTACTCGACCAGCTTTGGACACTGCTATTCCACACCGTGTTCAAGTCCTTCGGCCGAGTATATTGCGGCGGTGCCTCGGCGGTGCCCGTTGTCAACTGGTCGCGCAGTTTGGAGATGGTCCACTTTTCGTCCCAAATGGTATCCAAATACCAGGTTACACCGTTCGTGGACTCGTAGTAGGTAGTACGCCAAATACTGACAGCAAACGGCACGATCGAAAGAACTTGCTTGTACGCGAGGTGAACGCGGTCCTGTGTGATGTTCTCGCGGAAGTGGTGCTTCAGGGTTTCGTTCGCCGTAGCGTTTAGAATTGTATCCGCACTCCCACCGGCCTTGAACGGATCTTTTTCGTGCGCGTCATACGCTATCCAGCGAAGCCACGTGTCGCGCGCCGCGCTTCCCCGGTTGGCCTGCGTCGTCGTCCCATGCGAACCAGAATTGGTCAAATTGGCTGGCTTCGCCGCCGGTTTCGGACCAAATTTCGGGGTCGTCACCGCAGGCAGGTCTACCGCATCGTCTGGGTCGTTACTCACGATTCTGCTGAGCTGTTTCGGAGCCGAGCGATTTCCAGCGGGCGGGCCCGGAGGCGACGGCGGATTTGTCGGGCCGGGTGGCGGGCTTGGAGGATTTGTTCCGGGTTGGGGATTTGGATTTGGTCCGGGTTGGGGAGTTGGATTTGCTGGCCCCGGCTGGTTGGGGTTATTGTTAGTGGAATTCGCGACACAAGCAACGACAACGCCGATAATACCGCCGACCACAAGAACCGACCCGACGACGATCAGAATGATCACCCACACTGGACATCCACACCCGTTCCGCCCACGAGGTGGCTCGACTACCTCTGGCTCGTCAACAAGGTGAACTGTTCCGTCTTCGGCATAGTAGTATTGCGGAGGTTGCGGTTGCAGATGCTGCTGCACTCCAGGAGCCTGATGCTGCTCAGGCTGCGCGACATGGCCGACACTAGTCGCTTCCCCATGGAGGTCTTCGCCTGGACCGGCGTGCGCCAAGATATTTTGCTGGTTTTCTTGCATTTTGATTTTCAAATAAATATTCTGCAACAAAATAAGCACCAAACTTGAAGGTGAGTCAAAAGATGCGCAAAATATATTGTTATATGTACAAAATATAAAGTAAATAGATGAGAACGGCCTGGCACTGGTGTTCTATGCAAAATCGATCAAAGAGCAGAACGATCTTTATTTTTGATTTGAAATCTTACACGAAAAAGTTTGCAGTTCGAGTTACTCTTGTTCTTTATGGGAATAGCAATTTATGAGTGTCGTTTTTGCAATTGATGTAGCACACAGCCAAAATAAGAGTGATGAAATGACAATCAGAATAAAAACAATATGGCGCAAGCTTCTTCGGTACTGTAAAAGCTACCAGGGTCAGAATCAAAACAAAATGACTGCGTTTGATTGACAATGCACAGAGTGGTGAAACAAACTCGACGTAGTTGGGCCGTCCAAAAACCGATTGCGCGAATGAAAAATCAGGATCAACTCAATCTCCAATTTTTAATATTAAAAGCGCAACTTCATCATGATCGAAAGGAGTTCGTTATGAAGTGGATCTTTGCCTGTATTACTTGCTTTATCTTATGCTTTCCGGATCAGGATCGCTTTTGCTGCCTTTGGTTTCGCTTTCAATTTCACGAACGACTAAAAAATGTAAGTATAGGATCGGATCGCTTTGCTGCGCATGATCGCTTATTTGAGCGATTACATACAGGAGAGTAGAACATGAACGGAAAAGAAAGACAGACAGAACATGAAATGGATTATCGATCTCCATCGACCCAGGAATGCTCTTTTCTTTTAAGTATTCAATTATCAACAGTACCGCAGTTGATCTTGATGACAGCGCGTTTTCTTGCATGCTGCCCTTGCTTTTTTACTTTCTCAGCATGCGGGCGGTCACGGTCAGCACTTCATCTACGTATCTATAATTGCAGGTTGTTCAACGTGCAGCGCGAGTAAGTATGAAGCTGCGCTAGCTACTAGTGGGACTACAGCGAAAGCTCGCTAGCAATTTTACTTAACTTTTTCGATCATTGATTCCAGCTCTCTCTCTCTCTCTGCACCTTGTCCTTACCGCAATGGACCAAGAGGCGGTCGCCTACCAGCTCGACATCCGCATTGGATGCTTCACACAAGGAAGCATCCCGCCACCCCAGAAGGACGGGTAGGACCAAAAGGGTCCGGAGCTGCTGCGGCATCTTCACCATGTCCCGGGTTGCAATGACCTTGGCCTGTGTCGGCAGAACCCTGCTAAGCTCCTTGACCACACTGGCACGGAGCTGCTTATAGCGTCGCTCGAAATGCACCGACTCCTGCAGCTTGTTGCGGCTCGCTTCATAGCCAACCGCAGCCCCGAGGTAATTTACCGCGGACAAGTAGGGCTTGGACACCAGGAACTCCGCGAAGTCGGTGATTTCCTCCACCGTAATGGTGGCACTCGCACCGGTCCCGAGTTCACACTTGAATTGGGTCCATAGTTTGACATTGCAATTGCCACCGTAGTCCTTGCGAAGGGACACGGATTTCTGCACACCTGTAAACGACATCTTGCAGCTGCTGCATAGTCCTTTGCCTTTAATTACAGAACAAAACAGGGCTAATTTTAAAATCTTAATTCAAGTGCGCACATCAGCAGTTCACCACGACATCGCTCATCGACTCACCCTCTCTTCAAAAAAAAACTGCTCAACGACAAGACACTCATGTCAACGACAACGACTTACACGACAAGATCACGACACGATTACGACACGATTACGATAGAGATCCAGCGACAGCAAGATGTCAACGAAAAATCAAATTCTACACCTGCAACAGGAGCTTTAGGGTCGTCGTCACTCCTGGCCCATGCATGTGCACCAGACAATCTTTTCAGAACAACAAAGCAAACAAGCAGGGCGCACTTGCAACAGCATCGGGCGCCATGGGAATACGAGGAAATTATTTATCAGCACATGCTGTGCTGTGTGAAAACTTTTTCGATCATTGATTCCAGCTCTCGCATTGCAAAAGCAAAGCTGAAGCTAGTCTAAATGAGCAACATCTTCACGAAGCACTAGCAGATCATTCTCTCGTGGTATAATCACAGCAGTTCTTTGTATCCACTTCCTATGATCACGCCGGAAGGTTTTTCTCGAAGTGTTTTTGAAAAACTGCACGAACTTGCTCCCGAATGCTGTCTGCTTGTTTCCTTGCCCTTTTCAGAAGTTTCTTCGCATCTGCTTCGGTTGATGAAGCTGCTGGTGGTTCGGTTTCGTCGACGCTTAATGCAGATTCATCCGATTCTTGTCCCCCGAAGACAACCGAATCCATTTCGGTTATCACCTCTTCTTCCGAACCTAGCTTATTGCCCTTCTGCTCCAGTTTCCGCCTTTTCGCAGCACCAGATTCGGTCGCTGCGGCTTCGTCCTCTACATCTCTGCTGCTACACGACGTAGCCACTTTCGCGAATCCCAACACTCGTGCCAGCTTGTTCGTCTTCGTCCCAACATGTCGAGCAACATCTTCTGTAGTACTATCTGCTTCAACGCTGTTGATAAAACTTGTCGTCGACAACACGCAAAACGGCGTGCCATTTCTAAATTCTAAGCCCGCGTGCAGACAAGCGCAGGTCAACGAGTTGAACAGCTCCGGGCCGCAAAATGTCGCTGAGTGCTGTGGTCGCGAAGTACAAGTAGATGACCCTGCTAGTACTGCCGCTGTTGACATAGACATCATGGGGTAGACGAACACCCGGATCCCACACCCGGCGTATTTTTCCGTCGCGAGCAAATTTTCCAGGAACACCTTCAATTTCTCCTCCACAACACGGTCTGCGGCGGTGGAGGACAAAGACGAGGTTTGATTTCTACTGAGGCTTTCTGATGCAGCCGATGCGGTCGTCGAATTCGAACCACCTCCAAAACTCTTGTACACCAGTTCGATCTTCAACTTTTCCGGTAGTAAGTGTCCCTTGTGGATCTTACACGGGCCGTACACGGCCGCCAGAAACCGTGGGCCATTCCAGATGGAAGAGCCGAACATCGCGCTGCCATCCGCGTTGGGGACCTCGCTCAGGGTCAGGTGGATATTCGTGGTGGTTGTGGTGGCGGTGGCCTTGTGACTGGGGGCCACTGAAGGTGCGCTGCCAGAGGCTCCTGCAGGGGCGGTAGGTACTGTCATGGTGATGCTCGGAAATTATACGAAGAAAAAGAACTTCTTTCAATATGAGAGAGAGAGAGAGAGAGAGAGAGAGAGTTCGCTAGATCAGTATCAGTCGTACTAGACATAGGCGCAGATGAGAGAAACAACTTTCGATGATGCTTGCGGTCATCATCTGAGGCACTGTCTATTGAGCGGAGAAAAAGCCAATGGATCAAGATTTTACGTTACTCTTGATCGATGTATCACATACTGGGGTATATCTATATGATCTTTTCCGTGGGCGGATCTATCGCGGAGACATCAGAAGATTTTTTGAATCCACCCTGGCTCGTTCATCTACATTCACTGAAATGTGTGTCAATTTCAAGATCATCAAAACCCGCACTGATCCTTTGATGTCAATAAAGTCTAGAACTAAAAAATGATGTTGAAGATGCATGCAATTTCCTAGGATTCACAATGCGCAAGCACTGGCTCAGCCAGTTGCCTCGCAGTGACGGTAAGTAAGATCCGATCTCTTACTTTTTCGTTGGTTTCAGGCATTCGCATTGTAGCGCCAACAGATGGATCGCACTGCTTTCATTGATTCATGTACATTTTTCATCCAGCATCTAAATTTGGTGGACGCGCGCGGTCTGATCGTTGAATCGATCATGGCGCTATGCCCATTTCCATCAATTGTGATCAAAGCTGTTACTGGCGACAAACAGAGAAAACGTCCTCTGCAGCTGCAAGTCAATGTCTTGCCCATCGCACTGGCACTTTGGGACGAGGGTCGCTAATAATCGTAATCCCAAGCGAACACCTGAGCAAACAGCGACATTAGTCGGCATGCCCAAGAATCTTCTGTTGCTCTTCGCTCAACGGCACCTGGAAATAAACCGCCTGGCACTACGAGGCGCCGACAAGGCAGATAAAATAAACGGGTCGCCTGACTAGTGGCTGCTGCGGCGGCGGGTGGTAGCCGATCGAAAGGAAGCTAGGTGGTACGAAACGACGCCCGCGGCCGGACACCGGCGCCACCTTCCTAGGGCCTACGACGGGCTTCGCCGACCGCGCGCCCCGGCGCGCGTCACTTAATCCTTGGCAACGCAGGCGCATGGCCAACCACACATCGATCCGGGGGGGGGCACGGAGGCAGGGCGAGGCGGGGGCCGGCGCATCCTCACACGAGGCAACCGGGGCGCCCAACACAGGTCGCCGAGCGCCCCTGCCACTCTTCCACATGCGCTCGCGCCACTGAGCAGGACAGTGCCCCGCGCCTGGCTCGCACGCTGCTCCACACGTTGGCACCCGCGCAACACAAGGAGGGCGCCCCACGCGCTGGCCGCCAGCCTCCCCAGCGGGCCCTTTGTTTCGGCTGCCAGAAGGCGGGGGCCTCGATGGGGGCCGCGGCCTCACGGCCACAGGACGGGGGAAACACTGGCAGGCACGAAATGGCAAAGCGCCGGGCCAGTTCTTTGTTGTTCTCCGGCATTCTCGGAGGGCCGTGGCTCGCTCGGGATAATTGCGGCGGCAGCTGCGAAAATCACTTCCGAGAGTATTGCGCTGTCGTGCGTCTTCAGTGTATACGACACCGCCCGGACGGCTCTTGTGCTTCTATTTGCCGGAAGGATGTCGCGCAACGCTCCACGCGGGCGCGCGCCACCAACACGGCGCCGGGCTGAAGCGCCGGCCACTACAGGGGCTCCATAACAGACCCGGAACCGTCCCACGGGAACACGCCCGGCAAAGTTCGCAGGAGAACCCACCCGCGCGGGGGCCACTCCACCGATTTCCATGCTTTTTACCCCGAAGCACCAACAAGGGCGGCCAGCGCGCGACCTGATCTCTCCACTGCTAGAAAAAGCCAGCGCCTCCATTCTCACCACACGAAGAAAACTGTGCTTATGTAAAACTGTAACCCTCGTCTTCGTCCTCAACTCTCTCAACGCTCCACATCCTCCGCACTCAAGAAGAAAACTGAGGAAGATAAAGTAATGGAGACATAGCAAAGTAGTAGAACAACACTGGCCACCAGCTGAGCCCAGCTGCGTCAAGTCGTAAGTTCGGCTCAACACTAGTGCCTCCTCACACGTCGAAACGTATATATTTTTTCATTTTTCATTTTTTCGGGGTAGTAAATTGTAAAATCAACGAGCAACGGGTTGTGGTTCAAAATGCAGAAGTTAGTGTTTTCCGCACGACAGAGTACTACGAGCGTGCGACCATATCTTCCTCCCAATTTGTTCTCTACCTCCGTTCTGCTTAACATTAGCTTACCCTTGCCGTACTGAAAAATAAAGCGCAGATAAGATGAAAAGCAAGCGGAGTAGTTAGTTGCTTGGTGTACAGTTTTTGATGTACTAGCAGTTCAGTGGGGACAATTTCGTGTTGTATCGATACCATGTGCAGGACATCCGATGAAAACGTCAAAAGCTGAAATTGCACCTAAGTTTTCACTTCGCTTAGGAACAATTGAGCCTCCAAACGTTACAAACGTCCATCGCAATGCGGCTACTTATTTGTAGGATCTTCAGCACTTGCACTCCTTTCAAATATCAAAGCGCCTTTTATCATTTGTTGTACTTTTTTTTGTGTATAATTGTCCCCTCCCGTTAAGTGTGAAGCTCCTGCTTTATTCTTTCTCCCATGGAACAAGTGGTCTTGATCATGTTCTTTCTTCACACTCACCAACAAAAAAATCAACTCGCTCTACCACAAACACTCACCGCGTACGGTACGGGTGGAGCATGAGCAATATGCGTGTAGTTTTTTGTCGGCTAACTATTTTTCAGATTCCTTGTCAGGAGAACTACAGGACGCTTGCAGTGCCAAATTAGAAGATATATGTCGTTCGCTTTTATGTAGTACTAGTAAAGAAAATGAAAAATCATGTAGCGAAGCGAAGTTGAGAGAAATCTTTTTTGAATTCACCCACTTGCACTTCGTTCACATCATCTTCAGGTTTCCAGCTAGGAAAAAGTATAAAAAGTACCGAAATCATACTCCTTGCTGAGTCGGTGGAGGATGTATTTTTCTCTCAAATGATCTACCATCTTCGTTTATTCTCCTTCTTTCTTATTATTTGTTTCGTTTTCTAGTCCATAGTGCAGCAGCGAACCAGCAAGGTGTTCAGTAGCTAGGCTCGTAATTCTTGCGTGTCGTACCCAAAGAGATTGATAAAGATGAGAAAAACTCTGCTGCGCATGGAAATTCACCTTGACCTTCCTGGTTGTAAATAAGCAGGGCCACAAATAGAAATGGCCAGCAAGCTGTAACGACCGGCGGGGGGATAAAATAAACTTCATTTGCAGCAAATTCTTTCGGTCTCACCCGATCAGTAAAGGTCGATAATTCTTTCGGTCTCACCCGACCAGCAAAGGTCGAATGGTAGGGGGGTTCTTTGGTACTACAGCAATTTATCGTACATCTACATGAGCGGCAACTTGTTTTACTAGGGTGCTGTAGTAAAGGGCGCGAAGAAAAAATAGACGATAAGTTTGACAAAAATACCTCTACCGCCACAGCTCGGGAGCAAATTTTCTGTACCAATTTAATAGTGCCACTCATTTGATGTTTCTCATGTACACCAGCAGACTGGCTCTGGCCAATATAGAAAGTAGAGATTGGCAAAAAACTCCTCCACGTTCTTCATTCCACCTGCTGTGCCTTCATAGCTATGTGGTCCCTTTATTTCTTGGAAAAAAGTAGGAATTGGCCATGTACTTCATGCCACCTGCTGTGCCTTCATAGCTATGTTGTGGTCCCTTTATTTCTTGGAAAAAAGTTGGAATTGGCCATGTACTCCATGCTTGTGCATAGAAAGAGTCAGTGCCTAGTTCTTGCTTTAAAAATAATGCAGATCATAAGTAGTAAGTTGACGTTAAAAATACATCCAGGCGGTGGCGGGTTTACAGAAAATATAAAGTACTGATTTTTTGCAGATGTGGTCATACTTTTCATCATCATTCTCGATCCTTAGTAGCGTTCTTTAGGTGTGGTCTGTTTGCTATACAAATCCTTCTCAACAAATTCTCTTTCTTCTCCACTATGAATTCGACTCTAGAAGGATGAATTGTGGCGACGTGGAGTTTTCACTAATCACCTCAATTGGACCAGAAAGTCAAAGCTTCGATTTAGGTTCTTTTCCGATTCATAATCGATAGCTTCTTTTTATAACATTCGAAATTCACAAAATTCACTACATTTCTAGGGAACAGTTATTGTTATAGTACAGCAAAACAACATGATGATTTTTGTTTCGACATCCTTCGCGCAGCTCCTCACCATAGATATGGGACGAGTTCTTGTCTAAGGATGCAAACATTTCGAAAAAGGCAAAAATTAGAAAGCAGCTCGCGATATCTTTAATCTTCTCCGGTTTTTTGATTTGTATAGTGCATAAATAAAAGTATTACAGTATCATTTCGTAGCGGAACGGCCCGGCAACTTTTGACTTTTGATAGCAGGCTTTATCACTTGAGTTGACAACTTCTGAACAACATATGCTGGAAGAAGTCATGATCGAGTGCAGAGTACCAGGTACAGATTGAATAAAAGTAGACCTAAGTTCCTCATTTTCACGGTGTCTCAATAAATTCAACATCTCAGAAGCTATCAGGTACAACTTGTGGTCATAGCTTGTTCGAGATCTTCGGGAGCAGCTACGAGACCAAGCAGTCAGCACTTGTGCGATAATGATAAATGAGTCTCGCTCGCGCAGATAGTACTTACTAACTTGCATATGCATACGATATTAGCGCAACTGCGGCCCCGCAACATATAGTCCCACCCTCGTCTACTTCCCTCGCCACTGTGAACAAGATCACAATTTTTATCGCAGAAGTTGTTTCTACTTGAAGAGTCTTCTTCGCCGTCTTGGTCTTATAGCTTTTACATTTGCATGTAGGAACTTCGGCGCGACGACATGTTGAGCCCAAGAACGCTTGACTCCGCCACCGACGGGCGTGCCTGCACCTCTCCCATCGCGACGGAAAAGGAGCTACTTGGGCGGCCTCCCACGGGGGATGAACTCGAAGAACTCACCGCAGTACCGTTGAATGTGTTTGATACTAAGGATCCACCGGCGCCGCAAGAACCGCCCATCGGCATTGGAAACAGGAAATCGGTCAAAAGACAACTGTTGCTGGTATTACTTCCCGAGGTCGTTGCTGCAGCAGTAGACAGACCGGAAAAGTTGTTGCTGAAGTGGTCACTAGTCCAACCATTAGCTCTGTTAAACAACATCGCCTGCTGAGTGTTTTGGCAAGCGGAAGCCCGGGCGGCTGGGAAAGTAGATAAAACAGGACTGCCACTGGCCGCACTGTTGCGAGAAGAAGCAGAAGCAGGAGCTGCTGGGTTCTTACTAGTAGAAGGCACCAGCTCGGCGGAGAAGGGCGGCAGCGTGTAGCTGATAGACTCGTATCAAATGCAAAAGTGTCTGGGTCTGGAAGAGTGCTAGGTTTGTCATGCAGGTTTTCCATGACCCACGCGGTCTGGCATGCACGGCCTAGCATGACAGGTTCTGTGAGAAGATCTCTATCATGCCTTTCTTGCATGAGAAACTGCCTCTCAACTTGTTCAAAAGTGACCCTCCTTTGGTAATCATGCAACACAAATTTATTTTCCACGATCCAGATGTAGCATGACAAGTTAGAGCACTCTGCCAGACCCAGACATATTTGCAATGCATAACTCGATCATGTTTGCGACGTTGCTGTTCTCCATCAGGAACTGAACGAAATCTTGTTCCGGAGTAGATTGCGGGGCAACCTGTTGGTTCATATTGTTCACACCCATGATGTTGCTCCCTCCCTTCATGGTCCCGGAAAACGCATCGTAAACATTTTGCTGCTGGTGCTCTTGGTTGTACATCATCTGGTGTCCACCTAGTTGTCCTGACTGCTTGGGCACCTTCAGCTTCACCGTCCAGGTCATTTTCGGGACATACCTCGAAAACGTCAACGGCGGCCCGGTGGTGCTTGGGGGCGGCCCGAAGAAGTTCATCTTGGTGCTGTTGCTCGTGATCCCGGTGGAGGTGCGGAGCACGCTCTGGGGCATCAATCCGAGTTGCAGCTGCTGGATTTGCTGCTCATTCTCATCCAGTCCCTGTTGCACCGTCGCCATCAACAATTGCATGCGCAGCCGGTTGGCGCAGAGGACAGAAGTAGTGTTGTTTTCACCACTAGTACTGCTGTCGTTCTGCTGGGTATTGTTCAACAGATGTCCGAATTCCTGCTGAATCTTGACGCTGTCCTTCTGGCACTGCTGGCTGCACTTCCGGCAAACGCGGAAGGTGAGCTCACCATAGTGGAAAGAGGGATCAGCTGGTTGTGCCGTGTCGCAGTACAGATTTGTTCCAGACTGCTGGTGATCACCACCAGCACCACCTCCGCCCTGAGTACTATCATGATTGTTCCAGTTGATCTTGGAGCTCAGCTGCGCATTCACGGGTCCCGGGTGGAAGCAGGTATTGGTTTTCGTCGTGCCGAAGATCGCCTTGAAATTCTCCGTCACTTTTTGCGACTGGTGGAAGAAATTTGTGATGTCGACTGACAGAACCGGCTGCATTTTTTTCGTGGACAGAGCAGCATCGGAAGAAGTAGAAGTGGTCCCATTCGCATTAAAATTTTCGTTTTCGAAAACCTTCGCCACGATTGCCTCTTTGACCACCTTCTGGACGGTTGAAATCATTTCCATCATTTGCCCATCGTGTTCGAGAAAATTGTTGTTCTCCAAGAATTCCACCTCCATAGAAGCCTCCTTCCGGTTGTTTGCATTTGCATTCGACGAGGCCGTGCAAGCAGCTGCACCGCTTTGGTTGTTCTTGTTTTCCTCCGAATTCCGACCGGTGAAAATAGCCGAGCAAGCGATAGAATCCCGAGCGCCGGCTGGAGAACTTGAATTGTTGTTCATCATGCTAGCCATCGGGGAATTCCGGCAACTCGTGAAAGCGGAGGTGGCAATCGTGTTCTTCCTCGTTCCACCATAGACAGACGAACACGGGGACGATTCCGCATGACCGGAGCAAGCGGACTGAAACGTGTCGGCCGTGTTGCGCGGGGTCGTAGTCACGTTGTTGCCTTGCAAGGGAATCAGAAAATCGGCGCTCTGTTTGTGGTATCAAATGCAAAAGTGTCTGGGTCTGGAAACTTGTAATGCTGAGTGACGTAGCATGAGGAACCCACAAATAATGGCCTAGCATGACAAGTTTCTGAACTTCTAAGTGTTGCCTATTCTGCATGACAAACTACGACTCTGCATCACAGAAAAAAAAGGTTTTTGGGTAACGCGCATGACAGACTTGAGAGTCCTGCTAGCCTAGCATGACAAACCTTGCATTTTTCCAGACCCAGACATTTTTGCATTTGATATGTGGTGTGCGGGCGGGAGAAGATCCAATAATTCCTTTTGCCCCCTTATGGAAGCGTCAGGTTTGAAATCGTCAAAGTTGAAATAATTTGTAATGCATAAAATGCGACACAGAAAGTGACTCTATTGCAGAGGACCCACGGGAGGCAGATTATAGTCCTGGTAAGGTTCAAAAGTTGGACTGCTAACTAGCATGACAGAGGGCAGCTCTTTTGCCCTAAACCGCATGACAGACTCGCTTCCAGGACCGGGGAAATTTGTCATGCACCGACTACAAACTGTAGGTCTAGCTGGTATGTGTTTTATGCATGACAAACTATTTCAACTTTGACGATTTCAATTCTGACGCTTCCATACCCCTTGTCGGGCTTCCACCCGCACCGTAGTTGCCCTTATCATCAGCAGTAGATGCGACGGTCTCCCTATGCAAGAAAAAAACTGTGTAAGTGTAACTTTGTAATGCAGAACATGCAACAGAGTTACACCTGTGATGCCAGACAAACGTGAAGTTCTCTTTTCATGTGTGCTTTCCCCTACAAGCCACGCGTGACAGGTTTTCGCTGTCATGTAGAGCAAATTTGTGATGCTGTCAGCCAAGGAAAGTTACACTAACACAGTTTTTCTCTTGGATACTCCCGCGGGTCAACACGAGTGCTGAATTGAGTCGTTGTGTCTCTGCCTTGTGCCCCAGCCTTGCTCGTTTCTTCGTTTTTACTGTTCACGGCCGCCTGGCGCGAGACGTAGTAAATCTTTGCAACGGTGATCTTCGTGGGCTGCAAAGTTCCCATCGCCGCAGGTAAGTCCACCTCCAGTTTCCACCCCGCTGCGGGGAGGCGCTCGCCCGTTCGCGGGCAGAGGTTGAAACTCAACTCCTCCGCGACCTTCAATTCGAAGGAATTGGTACTGCCGAACTGCGACAACGCGTGCTGGCCAATCTGTCTCAACTCGTGAACGATCTTCGCCTTCTCCACCTGGAACAACGGCGCGGGCAGTTTCCGGATGGAAATGGTCTGCAAGATTCTCTTGGTCTGGTTCGCAGGCACAGCAGCCTCGCTGTTTTCCGTTCGCCGCAAAGGGGAGGCTTGAGGAGTGGTGCTTCCCAAACTTCCGATGTTGTTCATGTTGCAGCCCAGCAGAGGCGACGACGAATTGTTGGGCGTATTCATGGAACAACTACCCAAATTGGAAGTAGTACCAGCTGGAACCTGAAGCAGAGAGCTCAACGCGCTGAAATTCAAAAGGAGATCACTGGTGTTCTGGTTGATGTTGTTGTTGGCACCGCCCATGATGTTAGCCGAGACAGCACCTCCGGTCTGGTGCACCTGCTGCTGGTGACCCTGCTGCTGGCCTCCGAAACGGATTGGCTGGCCTTGCTGCATCTGATTTGTTCCCAGTTGCTGCTGCTGCTGCTATGCATTGCAAAAGTATCGTACTAGTATGAATTGCAATTGCATTACAAATTTCCGCAGCATGAGAAATGGAATTTGTAATGCTGATTGACCTTAGGAAAAAGATTTGTAATGCATAACTGCAATTACTACGAGTACGATACTTTTGCACAGGATAGCTGCTCTTGCGCGACAATGGCCTGGTTCAAATGCTGCAACAGCGCGGCCGTCGTTTGCTGGTCCAACGTTATCAAATGCAAAAATGTCTGGGTCTGGAAGATTGTAACTTGTAATGCGTGTTTCAGAACACAGAAAAGTCTCTCATGCATACATAGCAAAAGCTCCCACTTTTTGTCAGCAAAATAGGGGACTTGTCATGCGGATTCGGCATTGCGGAAGGTTCTCGAAACCTGTGATGCTAGAGCTTCCATGCCAGACCTTCTGTGTCATGCAAAAACAGCATGACTCTTCCAGACCCAGACATTTTTACACTTGGTAAACGTGATCCTGGTGTTGTTCGCGCTTGCACTCGAGGTGCAGCTCAACGGCGTCGAGGCGGCGGTCGGCTGGGCACTCGTTGAGATCGACACGGACGTGCCGGTCAAGTTGTTCGAAGGAACCATCGGACTACCCGTATGCAAAGGAAGACGAAGGGGAAAAGTGATGTTGCCAGAGCTTGTGCTGATTTGAGGAGCTTTAGCTTTATTTGCTGCACCTTGTGGTGCAGGCTGTGGTTGATCGTAGTTATACGGGTACATCTTTTTTTACTTTTAGTAATTGGAGAAAAAAAGATTGTTTTGATTTTACGCTGCGACTCTCAGGTGACCGAAGTTCGGCGTTTATTTCTAGACCGAGAACAAACTCGGATTTCGATTTTACAGTTCAGTTGGGGTATGACAAGAAATATGATTTTTCACAGCTACAGCTCGTGAAATTTCTAGAAATAAGACGTGGCGAGGAAATGAGTACGACTCTAATTCAGGTAGAGCTT